TCCATAAAGCTCGACCACACCTGCTGCGGACATGCAGCCCCATACAATAACTCCTCCACCGCCATGTTTTATAGTCGCAGAAAGGTGCTCTTTTTAAAGTTCAGTGTTAGGTTTTCTCCACGCAGATTGAAAGAAATCGAATTTACTTTCATCCGAGAAGATTACATTGTCCCAAAAGTCGATTGGTTTGCTTAGGTCTTCTTTAGCATAGGCTAAACTTTTCTTTTGGTTCATTTTTGAAGTGAGGGGTTTGCGTCTAGCTACTTGAGATTGAAAGTTAGATTCATGCAATGCTCTGCGGATCATTATCGGATGAATATCCTTTCCCAACTCTTTCTTAACTTCCGCAGCGATTTGTTTGGAAGATAATCTTGGGTTTATTTTTACCTCTCTTACTATTTGGCAGCGTTCGCGGTCATTTAAAGGATTAGGCCTGCATGTACGTGTTGCGTTTTGTAAAGATAAAACCCTCGCAAACCTTGTCACAATGCTTCTTATGGTATAGCGGCTTCTATCCGTTATTTTACCAATTTCTGCATAAGACTTGCGCTGTTTATACAAATATAAAATTATTTTCCGCTGAGATATGTATCTTAGTTTCACTTCATTTGCCACTAATTTTTCTGAAAATTACGCAAAGTCCACTATAATGGAAGGAACTATGATGTTTGCGGTTTGATTTTTGAAAAAAACGCAACTGCTTATGTAGTCACAACGGGGCTTTTGAAAAAAAAAGTTGCTAGATCAATCAAATTTAAGCGAATTAGCCCAGAGAAATTTAAGTGTGCCCATACTTTTGTTTGTTGAATATTAGTACTTTTTTCATTTGTAATTAGTATTAATTTAACATAAAATACAAATATTTTTTTTTCGGAATTAAAAATATTTCCATAAGCGGTCAAGAACTCAAGTTGAACTATTGGGTTGCCCAAAAAGTAATTGCGGATTTTTTAAAAGAAAGTAAATGCATTTTTATTAAAACTTAGAATGAACTTTAATCAAATATATAATTGCCATTTTGTTCGATAACCTTTTGCCATCTTCCTGGCAAACTTAGTATTCCACGCTNAATTTCGCGCACTTTTTTTCTAAAGCAAGCTAAAAGTAACAGCTGATAACTGACAGAAGAAAGAATGCAATTACAGAGTCACAAGCCGTTGAAAAAATTTGTCAACGCCGACTATATGAAAAATCCACAATTACTTTTTGGGCAACCCAATATCTTTATATTTCGCATTAAGAAAATGAATTTTTAGCAACACAATTCGTACAAAAACACACAATTAAAGTTGACGAAGTAAAAACCAAACTCACAAGGACATTTCTTATGGAACTTGCATTAATCGACTTTGACGCACAGCTGTGTAATGACATTCTTGTTATTAGTAGAAACAAACATCACGTGTACATGTTTCGAAGCATTTTCTACTGTGATTATTATCAATTTCGCATAGAAAAACCGATCATTTGGCCTAAAGTGCAATGTGTTGCACCATTTCTTAAGCCACTCATTCCTGTTTGTGACTCATTCGAATCGAATCTTTTTAGCATAACTACTTATATACTTACATATATGTTTATGTACAAATATAAATATTTAAATTAAATACATGTATGTAAATATATACATATGTAGCTAATGAGACGTGCAAATGGCTGCAAAGGTAGCTATTATAAATACACATATATATATGTCTATGTACGGTCACGGTATCCAAGTGATTAGCATTGCATACTGCCATTCAGAAGGCTCGGGTTCATATCCTGGTGTCGTACTATAGTCCTTAAAGTTATAGAAAATTAATTTAAATAAAAAAATAAGTCAAATTTTCTAATTGCAGTCGGCCTCCGCCTATAAGGTCCTGTCGAGCGTATTGTGTGAAAGACTGAAGCCCACCATCAACAAACTGATTGGACCTAATCACTACGGCAAGATTGATATAGTTCAGCGAATCAAAAAGCAGCGGCCACGCTGGCTAGGTCATGTGATCCGTGTGGATGCGAATACTCCAACTTTGAAAGTTTTCGATGCAGTACTCGCCGGTGGAAGCAGAGGAGGAAGAAGACCTAAAATCCGTTGGAAAGACCAGGTAGAGAAGGACCTGGCTGTACTTGGTATTTCCAATTGACGCCAAACAGTAGAAAGAAGAAACGAATGGTGCAATGTTGTTAGCTCGGCTTCAATCGCGTAAGCGGTGTCTACGGCAAATAACGTAAGTTGGCCCTCGGCAGGGTACGTCCATGCCTCTGTGTGTATTTCTTTCATGAAATAAAGGCTCCTTATAAAAACCACCAGCCATTTGGAGGCGGCTTGGCATAAACTGGTCCCTCCATTTGAAAAACATACAGAAGCAAGGAGGAGGTGCGCAGCCGAAAGTCGCTTCAGCGGTTGCAAATTTATATATGTATGTACATACATTTGTATATTGCCAATGAATAAGAACTTTGGTATGAAATTTGCCTCTTTCCAATCTACATTTCGACGAGCTAGTCGAACAAGTGTATACTGACTGTAACCACTGATTAACCAATTAGAATAATGCATTGTAGGAAGTGAATTGTAAATTAGTAATTAATAATATCGTTGCACCCACACCCGGGGAATAAACTAGTTTATTATTTGCATTCAATTTTATTAGCATACTCGTACATACTAACTATACACATACATATATGTGCATACATATGTACATACATACGTTAAAATCTATTTTACATCGGAATCATTGAACGTACATGTGTTACTTTAAAAGAAAAGGAAATTTATTATTTATTTAAATATACTATATTTGAAATCTATCAGTCGCATCTTAAAACAATTTAGTTTAATTGAAAAACTAGGCGTTTTATATTTTCCTAAAATATTTTAAAAGTTTTTTTGTGATACTGTTACATACCGTTCGTGACGAATCATTAATGGGAAGAGAGGAAGTAGGTAAATAAATAAAAAAAAAATGACACAAAGGCACGATCAACGTAATCACGTGTTGTCGACAACTGTATATCACACTTTATCTAGAAATGTATGTATTTCGTTTTCTATAGCAAATACAAAAGTTAAAACTAATAAAAAAATAAATTAGCAGCACTCAATTGTTAGTGCAAAATTTTAATAATAAAACTGCAACAAATGACAAATTGAAATATCAAAACGAGAAAATTATTATGCACCATTCCCGAGATGGAAGGCATTCCCCCTGCGGTTTAGGGTTTAACAATTTACCCGTGGTAAGAAATGCCTGTCGAAAGAGGCGACTAAAATCCAATAGTTCCCGCGAAAGTCGGGCCTCTACATTGAAACGACACGGATTTTATACGGCCAATTACTGCCACTTCCGCAATATTCCCCGAAAACAAAACCGGAAAATATTTTGGGGTAACAACAACAACAACATATGGAAGGTATAACAAGAGTAAAATTGAAATTATATTTAGTAGCTACAAATAAAAGGAAATATAGGTAAACTTAATGTAACACTTCTTGTCCGTATAACCGAGTATATGTATTGGGTTGCCCAAAAAGTAATTGCGGATTTTTCATATAGTCGGCGTTGACAAATTTTTTCAACGGCTTGTGACTCTGTAATTGCATTCTTTCTTCTGTCAGTTATCAGCTGTTACTTTTAGCTTGCTTTAGAAAAAAAAAATCCGCGCAAAATTTTGTTTACATTTGTTTGTTTGGCGTCAATTTTAATATGGAGCCCACAAAGGAGCATTTTCATCATATTTTACTTTATTATTTCCGTAAAGGAAAAAACGCGGAGCAGGTTGCTAAAAAGTTACGAGATGTGTATGGTGATGAAGCCTTAAAAGGAAGACAGTGTCAAAATTGGTTTCGCAAATTCCGTTCTGGAGATTTTTCACTTAAAGATGAGCCACGTTCAGGTCGGCCAAATGAAGTTGATGATGACCAAATCAAAGCATTAATCGAATTGGATCGTCATGTAACTGAGCGTGAGATAGGAGAGAAGTTAAATATACCAAAATCAACCGTTCATTATCACATAAAAAGTCTTGGACTGGTGAAAAAGCTTGATATTTGGGTACCACATGTATTGAAAGAAATTCATTTAACACACCGAATCAACGCTTGTGATATGCACCTTAAACGCAATGAATTCGATCCGTTTTTAAAACGAATCATAACTGGAGATGAAAAATGGATTGTTTACAACAACGTTAGTCGAAAACGATCATGGTCCAAGCATGGTGAACCAGCTCAAACCACTTCAAAGGCTGATATCCACCAAAAGAAGGTTATGCTGTCTGTTTGGTGGGATTGGAAGGGTGTCGTATATTTTGAGCTGCTTCCAAGGAACCAAACGATTAATTCGGATGTTTACTGTCAACAATTGGACAAATTGAATACAGCCATCAAGGAGAAGCGACCAGAATTGGTCAATCGTAAAGGTGTCATATTCCACCAGGACAACGCTAGACCGCACACATCTTTGGTCACTCGCCAAAAACTGAGTGAGCTTGGCTGGGAACTTTTGATGCATCCACCATATAGCCCTGACCTTGCACCATCAGACTACCATTTATTTCGATCTTTGCAGAACTCCTTAAATGGTAAAACTTTCGGCAATGATGAGGCTATAAAATCGCACTTGGTTCAGTTTTTTGCAGATAAAGGCCAGAAGTTCTATGAGCGTGGAATACTAAATTTGCCAGGAAGATGGCAAAAGGTTATCGAACAAAATGGCAATTATATATTTGATTAAAGTTCATTCTAAGTTTTATTAAAAATGCATTTACTTTCTTTTAAAAAATCCGCAATTACTTTTTGGGCAACCCAATATTTACATACATTTAGCTAATCTTGAAAATTTTTTCAATAGAAATATTAGTCACAGTTACATATAAATTTAAGGGTATACAGAAAATTCTCGTCACAATTTATTATTGTCATTCTAAAACAATTGCAAAACAATGCGACATTTAACCTTCATCTAGAAATTTATTGACCATAAAATTTGTAATTTGAATACAAAACTTACCTTGGTATACAATTTGGTGGCGTACGATCCACTTCCCAAGCGGCAAATAATTTCATTGGCACCGGTTTTTGACCATTTTGACTGCCAACACCGGCCTGCATGAGGCTACCGGCACCATACCCGCCAGTAGCAGACCCACTGTTGCCGCCAATATTACCAGCACCTCCACTGCCACCACTACCACCGGCGCCCGTACCGCCGATGCCAAGGTTGGCGCTATATTTGTCTAACTTGGAAGATTTATCTACCATTTTCATTTGGCAGGCCGTTTTAGTAGCTGCACAAGGAAGTCAAATTGTGATGTGGCAAGTTGCAATTGCAACAGCCTTTCTTGCGACGAATGCGGAAAGTATGGGTGGGAGATTAAACTATTATACCAATATATGAGTAATATTTTTGTTTTGCACTGTTTTGTGTTTTACACGTTTTTTTTGTATAGCCGCTTGGCTAGTTTGCCACAGCGACTTTGTGGCCACAATTTTTATATATAATGTTGCACCTTCGAATAAACCACATTTTGAATAGAATTATTTGTGCATACATGTATTTTTTTTTAATTACGACGGCACACAATTTATCAGGTTTTTTATATAATTTTCTTTAAACTGAAAATAAATTTTAAACATAAATATTTCTAATTTATCACATTTATTTAAATCACAATTTTGAACATGGTTTCAATGCACGCAGTAACATGGTTTCGAATTTTTTTTCTTGCTATAAAGTATCCACTTTTATTACTTTTTAGTCCGTCCCAGTCACAAATAATACAAACATAATTCATTATTTGTGAAAATAAAAAACTTCATTTGTTAGTTTTGAACTTCACTGCCCTTTTCGTAATTTAAGCTAAGATTCAATGCATATAATTTATGTATGTACATAAGTATATATGTATGTTATGTATCTGCAAAAACCAATAACACTTATAACAATTTACTCAATAATAATGCAAGAACACTGGTATGTATCTAGGTATTTAAGGGCGTGCCGTCCTTAGTAGCTAAAAAAAAAAGTTATTTAAATCATATTTGACGAGACCCCCGTTCTAATCTTTTACGCATAAGCGACAAAGAATACAATCAGAGGTAATTACACTTGTTTTCTTTTATCGATAACATATTTTTTATCTGCTATTTTGCCCCCCTCCAGTATATTTCTATATTTGCCAAAGACTTGTCCACATGGTTCTATTTTCATTTTTGTTATTCATTGCATTTCTTCGCAAACGTTCCCCCACCCTTCTAGGCAGAAGCTGCATATGTACGAGTATGTATGTGTAAAGTATCTATGCGGACACACAATTATACAATACATGTTTTTCTTCGGGCTCCATCGACCACATCTTGCATCAAGAATTTATTTTTATTTAAGACCTTTATTCACTTAATTTCGCATACGTATTATTGCATCAACTACACAATATAACATGTAACACATTTGCCTTTGCAATTTTATGGCTTTTATTAAGCTCTATTCGCATTAATACACAATTTGTGGCTTCTTTTACTTGTCTTTTGATTATCTGATTTCTTTTGTATCCCCGACTTGGCGTTGCACTAGGGCGCTGGTTTATCTGGCGCTGTCAGCCGCAAAAACTTCCGTAGTGCTCCAAAGTCGCTGCAAAACTTGTCTTGCATATTTATTTGGACTCGCATTAAAATACCCACTGCAGATACACAAATAGTTAAGGTGTTGCCACAGAAGCAAGTAAAGAAGTTTAAACAATTAAACGAAATTGAATTTGTTCGGTAAGCAAATTATAGCATTTCCAATTTAATTTCCTAGTTGTACAATTTCCCTATAACTTTATGTTTGACGCCATATTATCAGTTTTGTTAAAAAGATCAAAAATATTTTAATAATATTACGGCAGCACCAACGGTACTAAAGTGTGGTGAATATCTTGGCGCAGCTGCTGGGAGCGCCAAGAGATAAATTCGCCTTGCAAGCATTAGAAAAATTCCCCGCCGGCAGGGAGACGAAACGCCGGAAAGCCACCTACAACTTTGTATACTATAATAAAACAATTGAAGAGGAACCACTTATAGCAGCAAACATACATTTCTTACTTATTCTCATTTCCAGCAAATTATTATTTATTTCTATTCAGAAATGTTTAACGTGCCTTTCACATTTATTTTATTTCCAATATTATGCAAATACATACATATGGAATAGCTTTTCACAATATTTGTCGATTGATAATAAATCCACAAAATTTTCTCCATGAAACGCGCCGAACAAACAAATTTATACTAATCTCGTTAATTCCGAATTGTTTTTGTTTCATTGCTTTGTAATTTGTCTAGCTAAATTTCACCATGAGAAATGTCAATTAGACTGTCAGACGCAGAGAACTCTCTCAGACATTGTCTCATGTCAACTATTCCACAGTGATGCCAAGTTTTAAAACTAGTGCTCTGTTTTTCTTAGCAACGAGTTTTCTTTAAACCGATTACTTTAATAAGATGCTTCAAGACTTATTTTTTCTTCAAAATCTTAATATGAACCCACCTGTGTACTCATGAGCATCATACAAAACCAAAAAAAAATTATATAAGCTCTCACTGATAGGGAATACCTTTAAGATTCACAGCACAAGCAAGGTAACGTAACCAATTCAAGTAAGAAGACATCCAGGAAGATATCGGCAATAGAGATTTATCTTCTACATCATCAAATTTAATGTTGGTCATGGTGTTAGAGTGAAATAAACTCTTTCCCGAGCACAAGAGGAAAAATATTTGGTAGCCGATATTCGATATATGTATGTAAATGGGGCTTTGTAGCCGCTGAAGCGATTTTCGGCCGAGATCCTCATTGTGGTTTAGTTTTTCCAACAAATGGAGAGACCTAGAGTTTATTTTAAGCCACTTCGGAATTTTTATAAGGAGGTTACTATTTTCTGTCAGAAATACACTCGAAGGAGAGATTTCCTGCCCTTGGGCGACCCCAATCAAAAATATTAACATCCTATAAATTTTTATGCTGTTCGAACCAAGACCCTAACCCTAGTTTTCAGAATGGCCATACTCAATGGTAACCACTCGGCTTTGGAAACACTTTCGCATGCTGCGCCACAAATCAAACGATTTGAGAGGACAAGCCGGAATCCGGAAAGCATCTGGAAAAAAAACTCTAAAACCCTGATTGTGACCAAGAATATCATCATCAAATATCAAACCGTCTAAAGCAGAGCAAAACTACAGGTACCGAGAATTTACTTGGAGAACGGCGAGGAACTGATAAAGCTTATGCATGGTGAGAGGAAAGCAGGCAATTGATATAAACTTCCTCAATAACGGCTATATTTTATTTACTATATTTTTATTTACTATATTTAAGTTCATAAGTTTTATGCCAAGTGAATCCTCGACATGATATAAAAAAGTAGCCCCTTAGACGATTATGGTTACGAGGGCAATAGCATGCTATTGTTTCCTAAGTAAATGCATGCTGATCCTCCTCTGATCGTTCCGAGTGTTTTTCTCTTAGTCTGCTTTCACTAGAACACTTTAAAAGCTCGGAAGTTTTTATCCACTTGTATAAGGTCGATGTTGTTCGTTCAACTTTCTATCGAAATTCCCAATCGCCAATACTGTCAATGTTACTGTAATTACGCCGGTACTGCCTTTCGGAAGGCGACGGTTTCAATCCTGATCCGCCCACCATTCAAAATTATAGAAAATTATGTTTCCCTCGGCAAATGCCTTGTTTCTATCCTCTGTTGTTAATATCTTTCTCGCTTTCTGACTATTGAAGCGTGGCATTCCTCATCATACAGCTCTTCTTTTTGACATTGTCGGTATCTTACAATAAGATGTTGAAGAATGCTTTCAGATTGTTGGAATGCATAGAAGGGGAAAATGGTCGGACCACATTGACTCTAAAATCGCTTCCGACATTACGAAAGGAGCTTTCACCACGCGACTATTAGCTTGATATCCCGCAATAGAAGTTTTGTCTAAACTGAGCTTGAGCAGCTATGTAAGCAGCGAAAGAATAGGAAAGCACCTCTATTGATCTGGATACTATGGGATGGATATCGGTATCGAGAGCAACGAAATGGTCGACAAGCTAGCTAAAGAGTAAGTACTCTAGGTGAGACTCCTCAAGGAGGCAACCAGTTGAACCTTACCAAACCTCCCTGAGCAAGCCATTTTCAGAGAAGATGACTGTCTATTGAGTGCCTTCAATAGACGAATATTAGAAAAAATATCTTTGGAAACAAGTGGAACTAAGGGAGAATATTTGTACTTAAATTCATATAATTGATTCCTTTATTTTGTTGGACAGATTGCAGTTATTTTATACTGAAAAAATCTAACTAACCTATCCAGACGATGCGTTGAACAAGTAAGTTTTTTTATTTAACTTCTTAAATCTTAAAAAACTCTAACTAATTTCAAACACCATTCCGCTCCCATTGCTCTTGTTCCGCACTCAAATACTGACTGTCACTCCAACCACCACTCTGAGATTCATCTGTATCCTTTTTTATTTCTTTAAATGGTTGTCGGGAGCTTTCATAATGGAACTGAGACATACGTTGACGAGCTCCAATATCTACTACATAGTCTACAGCTGTTATTTCATTATTCGCTGCAGCTTCCGTCGGCGCATCCCTCTCACAGGGCATCTCCTTAAGGCACTGTTGCAAATGATTGATGTAATTAATCGCAATGCTGAAATTTTTAGTATTTTAATTGGGTTAGACATACACACAACGAACATTACAGTTATTTATTATATGATTACGTACCGTAAACTTTCAATCTTTGAATATTTCTTTCCATTTGGCTTCGAAATAGGCAGTTTGGAGCGCAGTAAATCGAATGCTCTATTCATGTCCCGCATTCGCGTGCGTTCTCTATCACATGCAGTCTTTTTATAATCTGGAAAACAAAATTATTTAGTTAAACTGATCATACCCAGCGATATTTGTCAATATAAAAATAACAAGATTTCAGATTTACTCAAATCCATGCAAGAAATTTCTACTCTCCGTAATTATAAAATTCTCGCCCCTCGGCAGGAAATGTTAAGCCCTCCGAGTGGATTTCCGGCATGAAATAAGAAGCTCCTAATAAAAATCAATCGCCCGTTCGGGGGAGGCTTAGGATAAACTGTAGGTCGCTCATTTGTCCATTAAAGGTGGAGCTAGGCCGAAGATCGCTTCAGCTGTCAAAAGCGCCAATTCTATATATATCATCACACCAAATGCGATACTTTTGTTCATTATCGTAACAATTCAAACAAAAGTGAACTTTAAGTTCCTTTTTGGTATGTTACTGTGATGTCCTCACAAAAATTAAGGCTGATATCTCCGCCAACCAAGAGAATGAAAAAATCAATTTCCACGCTAAGGAAAACTCCTCTTTGTCGATGTCACCTTTTCATATGAACTGATCGAGTAAAAGTTTCAAAATCTCCAAACTAAAACTCCTTGCGAAATATCGCTAACGATCTGTTTATATTGGACAGAAAACTTGTGTAATGAGGAACACCTCTACATCGGCGAAACTTCACAAGGCTAGAGAACAAAAGCAAATTTGAGAACGTGACAGAAGAAGATAACCACAAATAGCAAGGGTTTCCCGTCAACGCGCTGCAGAGATACACCGATCTAGCACAAAAGCGTACAACAACTTCATCGTTAGTTTTGCATTTACCAGGAACCCGTACGACCATTGGCGTCCGCAATAGCCGACTGGTTGCAATGTGTGCTGCAATACGGAAGGTCATTTCATTAAGTCCTGATCCAGGACTACTAATCACGCTATTAACAAAATAGCGGCTTAATTAGCGCATTAAAATAATAATGTATTGAATAATAAAACAATATATGGCTGATGTTGGCACAGTGGTAGAACACTCGCCTGTAAGTCAGCATCCGTTGGTTTGATTCCTGTCTTAAGAAGTCCGATGAGGAGATGTGGTGATATTCGAAACAGCTGTCACTTCTGCCATTTTTCTTTAGCTCACTTAAAACTTATAACGAAAACTTTTGTCATGGCGGTCGCACCTCGGCAGGGATGCTTATTTCTGACATGAAATATACAATAATAGCATAGAAAAGTCCCACAGTCTTTTACAAACAGCCCATTGAATGGGAACAATGCAAAATGTCTCCTATCACCAAGCACGAGGTCAGTAGGGCAAGTTGCAAGGTCCTTCTGTAATAGAATGCGTTATGAATGGAACAGATACTTCCACGATTACAGTTCTTGTTTAACTCATTTCCGACTGGACATTGCTCATTTGAGAACCACGCAATGAGACTTCGGATCTTGTATAAATTAGGCTGACGAATTGAATTTGCAATTGCACTAGAAGTTTCGTCACTACGGAAACAGCCAAATTAAACTAGTATTGCGTAACAAACTCATCCCGGCTATTTGATGATCGCAAGCAACTCCAGCAAAGAGGATTTTTCGGTTCCTTGCTCACATTCCACCAGGCTGTACCCGACTTTGGAATGGCAATTGAAACCACTTAACTATGACTAAATATCTACCGGACACTTCATCAAAAATTCTAGCAAAGAAGGTATATAGTAGTTTGTTTCCATTCTGTTCGGCTTTACTCGACCTTCCAACCTTTTATGAAACACTCGCATGAGAGCAGCTGGAACTACTTAACCATGATATAATATCTACCGGGCCCTTCACCAACTTTTCTGTGACTCATTCATATCTCATTTTCGGCTTTTATTTTCAAATTTTCACTTAATCTTTTCATTTCTTACCTTTCTCCAATTGCAACGCCTTCTCCTTCCATGACGGATTTGATTCTTTCGAAATTATATGCTCGCGCGCACCCAGGTAACTGATACTAATTGGCGGTGGCACCAATTCCGTTAAGGATTTCCCTTTCCCATCGCCATTAATTGGCCAAGCGCTTACTGTGTGGGGAATTTGCATAGCGTAACCAGCAGGCGTAACTGTGGACATCGCACTAGTCACAGCAACATCTGAAGCGATTGTATGTGGTGGCAAGACCGTACTCGCCGCTGGCGCAGAAGGTGTAGGTGGCTTTAATTGATTATCATATTGAGCATAAGGATTGCTATAAATTGGCGGGGGTGGCGGAGGTGTAAGATGTGTAGAAACCAATGGCAGCATGTGGTGGTGAGGCTCTGGTGACGAATGAACTGCATATGATGGATAATGTGTTGCCATCAGATATGCGTTGGCACTCAAATGCATATCCAAAGGATAATCCGTATTGTAAACTGACGCGACGCTTACGTTTTGCATTGGCATTGCCGGATGCGGTTTTGGCGGTGTACCCAATTCCAATATTATTTTCTTTTCCGTTTCCGATTGATACACATCGGCATCCTCGCACACATCCGCTGTGCCGTCGGCAGACGTCGTAATGACGGTGGGTTCAAGTGCCGCCGGCTCATCATTGGCACTGCTGCTGCTGAGCAATTCATCCGACATTTTGTTTTAACTTAATTTAATTTCAATGTATTTCTTTTTTTGTTTTTGTATATTATTGCACATTCATATGGCCGTATTCCATATCACAATTCACATGAAAATTTAATTATTATATTTAACAGGAACAGAAGAGAATTCAAAAATACTCGTTACACCGCCACGTTCGCACTTTTCGATACGCGTAATCATCGTCCATCAGCAGCGAATGCTTTAAGTAAAATGTTGCAAGATTTGAGATCGATTTGTTATCGCACCTTTCAGATCACTTTCGTTTTTTAAGCGTTAAAAGTCGAGCTTAGGTTCTCTTTATGAGGAATATGTGGCTGCGTTGGAAAAAAAATTGTATGTGTGTACTTTCATATGTATGTGCAAACATACAGCTGTAGACCGACGCACACAAAGCCGCATTACCTTGTGAAACATTTGCGTGTACATACATACATACATGCATACATCCATTCCTATATATTATATAATAAAGAAGTCGAATTCTTACCTAGTAACATGCATACAAACATACATATGTATGCACAAAGCGCATACATTTGTAATTGTCCGCCTGTCGCCTCTCTATGTATTGATGCGCTCTGCATCAACTTCATTTGTCGCAATTAATATACTCCGCCATTCATTATTCAATTTGGTTTTAGAGGAATTATTTTCATAAGTAGATATAACGGCTTAAGGTGAGTGTTTTTAGTTACTCATGACGCCAAGGCAGACGACACCCACTACTTATGTACATAACATATGTATATGTATGTGCAGATAGGTATATTTTCTCTTATTCTTCTTCTTCTTTACTGTCGTAGACACAGCTTACGCGCCTAAAGCCTAGTCATCAACATCTCCCATGAATTTCTTCTTTTCGCAATTAGGCGCCTATTACAAATACCAAGTACAGCCATGCCCTTCTCGTCCTGATCTTTCCAACGGAGTGGAGGTCTTCCTTTTCCTCTGCTTCGATTGGCGCCCTGCGTGGAATACTTTCAAAACTAGAGTATTCTTATCCATCCGGACCACATGACCTAGCCAGCGCAGCCGCTGTTTCTTGCTTCGAGGCGGTATATTTTGTACAAAATCCTACCTTATGGCTCGACTCTCTCGAAAGCTCCCAGCGCCGACTTATCAGATGTTGTTTTCTCTTATATATAATATATAATCGGCGCTTTGTAAACACTGATGCGATTTTCGGCCGAGCTTCTCCTCCAATTTGTGGTTTTGCGTCTTGATGTTTTTAAACAAATAGAGGGACCTACAGTTTATACTAAGCCGCCTCTTAACGTCTGATGGTTTTTTGTTTTTTGGTTGACATTTTTAATTCTTAATTTAAATTAATCTTCTATAATTTTTGATGTTGATCATACCAGCATAGGGCTGACTTATGACTCAAAAAATTACCGTTGTATATAAAGAGTTCGATTAAAACTCACGAATGAGAGTGTTGCTTGATATCCTTGCAACTGAATAGTGCATCGCCAACTCTGAGATCTCAGTTAAAAGGGTCAATATTATATTTACAAGGCGACATGAAGTTAACACATAGTGAAGCTATCGCCTGCGCGAAACCCACGACCTATGGCGACCTTGTTATTCTGATATTATCCAGCCGATAGAGAGTATAACGCATATTCGTTGGTTGGATTCTAAAAAGAAACGAAATCTTCAGTCTATCTCGCACTGATGTTCCCAGGACCTGATGACTTTATTAAAAATTATAGGGCTGTGACTCAAGAAATTCACATATAGACAGACTCTATCAAAGTGGGATATTAACCAATCAGGTCGTTTAGTCTTTGAAAAATGGAGGTTTGTGACATATGAAAAATACTGATTAGATAAAATTTAGAAGGGGATAGCGCTCATAAAGACTTAAACTTTATATTTATAATTCTCTCGTAGGCAACTCTCGTGCGTACTGCCATTCGGAAGGTCAGGGTTGGAGTTCTGGTGCGACCAACATCCAAAATTAAATTTTCGAATGACGATCGTCCCTCTGCAGGGAATGTCAAGCCCTCATGAGTGTATTTCTCACTTTAAAAAAGGCTTCTCATAAAAATCCATCGGCCATTCGGAGGCGGACCAGAATTAACTGTTGGTCCATTTGTTTTTTAGAGAAATATCAAGACGCATATCACAATTTCGAAAGGAGGTCGGCGATTTTCGGTGGCTTAAAAGCACCAATAATATACATATATGTTTATATTACCTATTATACAAGTATATATATAAATGTACATTTATTATGAATTTAAAACATTATTTTTTTATAAATATTATCTATATGTAGTATACGTCATACTACTTGAAGGGAGAGTGGTATCTCGGCAGGCCTAAAATAAGAAAACAATAAGGTTATAGCCGAATCGACAATAAAACTGTTGTCCTGCTTCCAAGCATCGAATATTTTTAAACATGGGGTGTTTTCCCCCATACGGACGAGATGACCAAGCCGCTTTCTCTTTATCTGACAAACTATATTAATATTACCGTATATACCGAAGAGGACCATAAATCTTATCAATATCTCTCAAGGGAAAAGTACTAACGCCGACTCATCGAAAGTTATCATCGTCCACGCTTCAGCAGCATACAGGAGGACTGAATGATGAGCGACTTGTACAGTTTGGTGTTTATTTGCCGAGAAAGGATTTCACTTCTCAATTGCCTGCAGAGTACAAAGTAGCATCTATTGGTAAAAGTGATTCTGCGTGTTAATGCTGGTTACTAGATAGACGAAACTGTCTACTACCTCAAAGTTAGAACTGTCAATGGTAGCGTGAAAGCGAGCAGGTGTAGACATAAGTTAAGGAGGGCGATTAAATTTATAAAACCTATTTAAAAGTTGGTCCCAGCACGACTCGTACTCATAAACCTCTAGCCCGTGGCATATACTACTTTCTATTCGTCTTCACGGGCTGCATTGTAAAAAGTTTTTATTATGACATTGACTTTCTTACTGATGAAATGGAATTTGTTTCTGTAAAAAATAGTAAACGCTATGTACATACATATATGCATGCATATAACAAAATACCTAGATACGTTGAATACCTACATAAATATTCATATGCTTCGGTGGATTGGAATGTATATGCTTATATGATTACATATGTACATATGTATATACCGAGTATATTTAACTACTGTGGCACGGTTCATAGAGAACCATTTATTGCACTTTGTCACACATCAAGTGTGTTTGTACTTGCATGTGTACATAGTGTACCATTGCATATTTATCATCCGCGGCATTTCCCTTTACTGCGATGTAATTGAGATCATTTGTTAGCCTATCAGTTAATTTCAGCGTGAAATGGACGAGATCGTCCCAAAAACACTACTCATTAATTAGATTCGCATTATAAAGGATGATGATGATGTTGACAAGAGTAGTGCGTGAGTAAATAAGTGTAAATGTCGATACATACATATATACATTCATACGTGTATATCATGATGTACATACGAGTGTGTATGCTTACACCTGCAGCCCGAAAGTCAGCCTATACGACACCTCCTATATGTACGTATGTATCTATGTATGTGTGCAAGTGTCTCGAATAAGGCGAATGATAAATTGATATTTACATATAATTTTTTCTCGTTTCATCCAAATACTTGAATCCGTCAAAGAATTTTTAAAACCGCTTAAAAGTGTATTGATGCAAAAGTGTTTTAGCAGATAATGGTTGGTTGGTTTGTTGAAGTGGCTTCCGGGCATCAGCTCCCCTAGGGTACCCATTGTTATATCACTGAGGATCCAAAGGTTGTCGCCCCTAGAGACGTCAACCTACTCCTCCAAGGTGTGAGGCATTCGCAGAGAAAGTGACTTGAAGTTTCATATTCTTCTTCTTGTCTGCTGTTTCTGCGGAAATCGTTTGATGGTAATCCCAACTTTTCTGTGTGCATGACGAATAGAATATGCCCTGCAATAAGACCTATAAATCTCCTTTCTTTTTAGCTCGATAAGTTCACGTGATCTTCTTCTGTTCCATTCTGGTCACATTGTTTGTAGATGTATTGAAACTCCTTCATCTTAAGTTAGCATATTTAATGAATAACTCTCTTATATTGAGCTTAGAAGTGGAGATCGACATGGCCAAACTCTTCCATGATGGCGAAAGTGAATGCGAAGTGCCCTTCCTTGCAAGCTCATCCGTCATCTCACTACCCGGTATGCTACTCTGTCCAGGTCCCATACCAGGTTCAGAGGAAACTGTTTAGTCATCATATTAAGTTATCTGCGGCAGTCTTCTACGGTTTTAGATTTTATTCCCACAGATTTTATGGTTTTTAATAAAGTCTGCCTATTTGAAAAAAAAGGTATGATTAACCTAGAGTACCTTTGAGCTGCGACAATTGACAACCTTATGTACAGCCACCAATTCCGCTACTACAGTGATCCGTTAAATGAAAGGCACCATGATCCTTTGAGTAAATTCCGCCACCGACCCTGTTATCCAGCTTTGATCCGTCCGTATGAAAATAAATCGAATCGGTGCCTGCTCATATTATCCTGTTCCAAAGCTTTCCATGCGGTGTAACTAAATGGAATCTGTCCTGAAGTCAGTAAATGATAAGCAGTAATCCGTTTTTCTGGTAGATGAAATCTGCTTAAGTTGATAGTATGCCCGTGGGTTATTACTATCCATTCAGACACCTTTTGTAGCCTTACCGGGGCGGAACTGCATTGTGCTGCTCCATTATTTTAATGGGGAGTAGATCCAAGGGAATATTCATAACATCAGTTGGTGTGGTACGAAGTGCTCCTCTGATACACAGAAGCACTGCCCAAGTACAACCCCAGAGTCCTATATAATTGGCGCTTTGTTACCGCCGAGCTCCTCCTCCAATTTGTGGTTTTGAGTCTTGATGTTTTTCTAACATTTGGAGGGACCTTCAGTTTATACTAAGCCGCCTCCGAACGGCTGATGGGTTTTTTATGAGGAGCTTTATTTCATGTCCAAAATACACTCAGTGGGGTGGATATTCCCTGCCGAGGGATCCATAACTGTTGGATGTTGGTGACACCAGGATATGAACCCGAGCCTTTCGAATGTCAGAACGCAATGTCAACCAGAGTCATATACTTGCCTAAAAACTACAATACAAAGCTAACCCATTATTTTGGATAACATGGCCCATTTCCGGGCTATAGCACCTTTACAGGTATAGAGGACAATGGACGCCTTACGCATTATTTCCTCATGGGTCATATTCAGAGTCAATTTATAGCCGGCTCTAAGTAAGTTAGAACTGACTCTAACCAAAGTTTATGCTGCCACACGACTATAATTATGACCCTATGAATTGCATCGTTACAGCTCTGAAGCGGCTTAGCTTTGCCTTACAAGAGCTCTTTTAAACTCTTTGACGATGAATTGGTTGATTAGTTTGTGTTTTGTTCAGAGTCTTCATTCTCAGACTCATTCATCGCAAGAATTTGAAGGGGAGCTTCATCTGGAAGCATCTCTTCTTGTTCAACTATGGGAGAGAGTTTTGACGAGTTTCCTTTTCATCTATACTATTGTACTATTATAAAGCAGCAGCCGTGCGGTTAAAGGTTTCTCGATTGAAATCCTGGCAGATACTTAAAATTAAATTGACTGTTCTTTGATTAGCGTTTGCCATTGGGTAAGGAATATCAACCACTCGAAGTGTGTTTTTGATATAAAATAAAAAACTGCTCGTAAATTTCCATCATCCGTCCGGAGTCGGCTTAGAATAAATCGTAGGTCTACCCATTTGTGGAAAACAGCAAGCACAGCGTAAGTTGACAAACGATTTATTTTTACCACACTTCGTCGTACAAGGTTTATTGCTCCATCGTTTACGGTATTTGCCGTTACCATTGGGCAAAGGACTATAAATCTTCAAAAAAAAATTAATTTCTAAAACTTAACTTAACTTAACTTCTAGAGTTAAGGTTTATCAATTTCCTACTCAGACAAAAGACTGACATTGTTAGTGTTGTTAGTACTAGCTCCTAGGGAAATGAAATTATCTAGACAAGATAAAGATTCCTTTAAATTCTGATTGCAATGGTAGATTACCCGATCTATAGTCATAATGATAATCTCCAACCAGTTCGTTGACGGTAGGCTTCAATCTTCTACCTTATACGCGACATTGGGGAGGCTTATGCCATGCGAATTGGCGCAGACTGCGCCAAGTACTCAAAAGTACTTTATCTCCAAAACTGCAATGAGTACAAATCCATACTTAGTGAGGAGAACACTACTGCAAAACATACATGTAAGCAGAGCGAAAAGTAAATTGCTCTACAGATGCAAATAATGATGACCGGTTCAAAAAGGTTGTGACGTGAGTACGGATAATCCCCAGGGCTCAATCATTAGTGTGTGAGAAAGTTCTTTCTCTCCTCTCTTGTATGGAATATAAGATTTCGAAACATTTGCTCTTCAAAATTAAATTCTTTGCACTGCGGTTGAAGGGATTGTTCCAATTAATATTTTAAAACCACATACATATCTGGTATAATCAGTTATCACATTTTCTCTCCGATCCCAATCATAATTTCTCTGTAAAACTTTAAACTTCCGTTGCTTTTCGATTAACTAATTGGTGCGTATTATCTAGTAATACATAAAAAGACTTTGTGGAAAAATCTTCAAAATAAAACAGACTGTGCTGTTTTTTCTTCAAAATAAACAAAAAAAATGGTTATAGTTTCCTTTACGAATGAGATAAGTTAACCCCATTTTAGTCATTTGATTTCTTCTTGATGACACACGGGTCTCGTTCGGTTAGAAAGGGTTAAGGCTAACTCTAGATATTCTCTATCCCATATATTTATATTAGGCGGCTTAGGCTTCTCCATTTGTTAGAAAACATCAAGACGCAAAATCACGAATTGGTGGAGAGATAGGTCCACTGCAATGCATACGAATAGGATTAGAACAAGTTGATGTAGCCACGTCCATCTGTTCGCCTATTTATACGGAAATTATATATTTTATACGTCCTAACTGCTGAAGCGATTTTCGGTCGAGCTCCTCTTCCATTTTGTGGTATGCGTATTGATGTTTTGCCAACAAATGGAGAAGCTTACAGTTTATTCTGAATGCTTTAAAGACTTCGGCTTGACCGGAGACGGCTTTTCTTTACAAAACTATCGAAAGCAATGGTCAATTTGATACGTCTCCAAAATGAGCTAGGTAAAAAAAATAATGTACTTTCAGACTTTGATATTAAGTACATATATTTTATGGATATTTGTACATACATATGTATAACAACGTGCTACATATTTACTTTCTTTTATTGTTTTTCATTTTATATTTTATTCAAGTAAACACAAGTGTTTTGCTTAATCGAATTTCGTTTTTACTTCTCTATAGGAATGTACTCATACTCTCAGATATGGTCAAATGCATTGGTATCCCCTATAAAATGTACCTATGTACATATGTGTATATATGTAAGACGGTATTAATAATTTTAACTAAACCTCTCACTAGCAGTACAACGGTGTTTTGAGCCAACTGGTTAAGCGCACAGAGTAGATCCACCATATATTCCTCCTCTTTCACTTACTCGTTTCCTAGTGTAGCATAAGCTTCCTGTGAGAAATTCCACCAAAATGTGCTCTTAAACAAAGACAGTTAACGGTATCTGTCTAACCTGTCTCTTCGCTGTTTGGCGCGAATTGGAAATACCAAGTAAAACCATACCGCTGTCCACCTGATCCTTCACAAGTGACGAAGTGAAGGTATGTTTCTCTTCTGCTTACACCATCCATACGGACTACCGACATCGCCCACGCTTCTGCTTCAAATAATAGGACGGGAATGATGAGGTGATGAGTGACTTGTAGAGTTTGGTTTGTAATACCGCATTTTATTAAAGAAGAAGAGTAATACCTTGTTTTTTAGTTTTGATGAATAAAAGCTAGAAATTGAAATATGACCAAGTGCAGAAAGAGAGAAAATAATGTGACATATAGAGTTTTAAGAGGGTTTCCTTCAGGAATGATAAACGTGAGCCGATAACTTATGAGTACCGCTAGTTTATTGCCAAGGCCAGCTTATTCTTCTTTATGGCCGAACTAAAGTACGATGATGTTCAGAACCTGAGTGGTCTTAGACCAGGTATACAAACTGTTCTAACATAAAGCAGATATATAGCACTCGCCAAATTTTGGAAAAGACCTTCTCTCGTAGATTTTAAAGTTTTGAATGATAGTCTGAATATGGTTTCTCTGCGCTGAATAAGTAATGTAACTGGGTCTGGTATCCTTATCTCAAACAAACATTCAGCGCATTCGTTTCTTAATTCCCACGTCACTGCCATAACTTTGAACACAATTTAATAGATTGGCCTTGATCCAAGTAGCACTTGCTGACTAGGCGAGCAAACACCTGGCTCTACAATTCGATCATCCTGCCCCTGCGGGTTAGGGGCTCAAGAATTTACCCGCGTTAAGGCATGCCTGTCGTAAGAGGCAACTAAAATCCAATAGTTCCAGCGACAGTCGGGTGTTTATACCGGAACGACCCGGATTTTTATCCGGCCAAGGACTATCACTCCCGCAACATTCCCCAAAAAGTACTTTGGGGAATAATTTTGCGGTTACAAAAACAATAACAACAACAAAAACAACATGCGATCATCATTCAAGTCCTGCTCGCGAGATGAGATGACTACATATGAGTGCCGACACTGGTAGAAAAAGGAAATCCTTAACTCCATTAAAGAAATGAGGTATAGAAGGACCTAACTCTATCTGATACCTCCAATTGGCTCTGAGCTGCGAATTGCCATAGTTGAATCTGTCATAAGCGCGTAAACGGTGCCAACGCCGATTAAGAAGAAGCAGACTTTTTATGTATTGTGCATTGTAATTTGAGATTTTCTTTACAACGTTCATGTTACGAAATTATTTTGTAGCATAATAATAATAACCCGCCAGTAAAAAAAAAATAAATATATTACTAAATGTTCTCAGCTACATTCATATGGATACATATACGTTTAGATGTTTGTATATCATATGCATCATATGTACAAACAAACGTATATAATAAACTGTTAAATAAGTATTAAGTAGGTCAATATATTAACTTGGTTTACTACGATATTTGAAAACAAAAACCTTTTCCATTAAACATACGAAGCATAACAAAACGTTAGCGATTTGTTTATTTTTATTACCTTTCTGAATTGAGAAAGTATAGCAATTATACTGGATCTTCGCCCGGCAAATTGAATCAAAAATAAATATTCAAACTAATTAAGAAAATGCCTTTACTGCTACTACATAAAAAGCACTAATTTGCGAATTTCAATGGACGTATCTTGAAATATTTAGCCACCGTTTCGTCCGTGAGAGCTTTACGTGCTTTTTGATGTTCCTCCACAATGGGACTGACAGCTTCGATAGCCAATTTCTTCAATTCCCCGGTCAACATATCACCATTTTTGTATGCAACACGCACCTCTTCCAACTTATTATCATTTTCTAGGAAAAATTTCAATAATTGAAATGCTACATCCACATCAGGATTGCCACCCAATTTACGATGCTCCTCGACTGTGGCACGTCCACCGGAAAATGCATATTTATTGATTTTATTTTTTATTTGTTTCGGTGTGTCTGTAAGAAATACAGCTGAATTCTGTTCACTGGCAGACATTTTTGATTTTGCTCCTTGCAAAGCGGGGAAAAAGCTTGAATGGATGAGTGCACATTTAGGGAAACCCAGACGCGGTGCTACATCTCGCGTCATACGGAAATATGGATCCTGATCGATTGCACATGGTATAAGGCAATGTACGGGTTTTTTCCCGGTGAATATGAATGGAAAAGTACTTGAAAGTGCCGGTGCAGCTTGAACAGCTGGAAAACTGATTTTACCAATAATATCGGAATCACCAAAACCGAATATGCCTTTCACTTGATTAAACGTGACACACTTTTGAATGCGAATCATGTTCTGGTACATTGCTGGACATTTCCTGAAAATATATATAAATATATTGTAAATTGTTTTAATTTGTTTTTGTATTAAATTATGTAGTATTTGGCATATTTACCCAATGAAGTCTAAGTCGTTAAAAATAAAAGTCTTTTCGGGATCAAAGCCTATAGCTATTATGTCTTTTGCATTTTCATATGCTAGTTTAATAGCTTCTTCAATTTTTAGATCTTTCCATAGTGATTTCTCATCATCAGTCAATTGTATGACCAATGGTACATCGAACGTCTCTTGCAACCATCTGAACAAAAATGTATACAATATTAATAATAAAATCAATTAAACTATCTTGAAAAAAGATAGGTGGAATAAATGTGAAGAAACAAAGTAGAAATAAATGTTCTTATTGGGAAAAAGCATATAGAAGCTAGGTGTTTTATTCATTCCACACATACTTATTTTGTTCATATATCTCAAATACTTACTTGGCCATATAGAATGGTATCAAGTGTCCTATATGTAACGAACCGGAACTTGGTCCACGTCCTGTATATAGATAAAACGGTTTACCCTGCTCTTTTAGGGTAAGTATTGTGTGAAAATCTCGATGGGAAAAGAAAATACCACGACGAATAAAATGATGAACTGGTTTGCCTGTTATCTTTTCGAAACGCGCTATCAACTCTTCATCAACTTTCGATGACCCAAAACGTTCTACAAATTTCAAATAGTTAAACTTAACACTTAAAAATATTTATAAATCATACTTATTAGCTTATCATAATCAATGCCCTCGTCATTAGTACTTGCAACATTCCATGGATCAACAACATCGCTATCATCTTCTGTAGCTTCCACGCCGTTCGGCACTTTTTCAACTTTTCCATCGCCCGGAGTAGTCAATGTTAGTGCATCCACTCCTTCAGTGACACCTGGGGATTCACTCGCATCCATTGTAGTTAGTGATGTTTTGTGGAGTAATCGGGCTGCTCTAACACGTGTACACTGCATGACGAAATTTTGGGATTGAAAGAAGGAGTTAAAAATATATACACAAACTGCTTTGCCTTAACTTTTCTAACTATGAATCCACTTACCTGTCTAATACCAAAACTCTTTAAACGAGTGCAGTAGAAAAAAGTATTGCCAATTAACACCTAATACCCACGGAATGACTCAAATACACGTTCCAATCAAAAAATAGCAACAAATTTACAATTTATACAGTTATTCACATAAACTGCGCTTGCCAACACCAGCAAAGCAAAACAGCTGTTTATCTAGGTGACAGCTTCAGACAACGTAGTTTATCTAGATGACACCTTGGCACATATGTTATATGTTCTCAAAAATCAAATAATCGAAATATGTTTGCTAGTGTATTCTAAAAGTTTGACTTAATTATCCTTTTATTTGCACTTAACTGGGTTAGTTGAATTCATTTCATAGCTTAGAATGAACGAAGATTATTATTTATGCCTGAATTCAAAAAAAAATTATGTTTCGCAATAGAATGTATTGTTTTTCGATTGATATTAGTCGATGTTTCTTGCGGCTTTTCACACCATCACTATCCTATCTATTTGTTTTGATTTCTGAATCAGTGGGTGTATCTTCGAATTTTTCCAAGACGACATAAAAATATAAAACAAGATGCCAATTATGTACAATACCGGAGATTGGTTTATCCTACGTCCGGACACTTACAGGTGAATGAGACAAGTGTATTAAATATTATGTGAGTAAATTTGCATCTTTACATCGATATTAAACAGAAAATTGGACCTTTTTACACCCGATTGGCCTCTGGATGTGGATTTGGAGTATATGCAAGTAGTTGCCGCACCATTTGGAGGCCCAATAGCTATGACACGCGATCCAAAACAAATAGTACCTATTAAGGGCAGTGTCAAACCCATGATACGGATTTTTGATACAGCTGGTGTGGAGTTAGGAAAAATTCTTGTTAGTAATAAATAGTAAAGGTTTTAGTTCTTTATACTATAGTGACAACATCTCTTTTGTCTACAGTGGAATCATGGCAAACTCATTAGTATGGGCTGGTCCGATTTGGAGGAACTAATATGCGTACAAGATGATGCACTAGTTTTTGTTTACGATATGTTTGGTAATGAAAAGGAATCGTATAGCATGGGACAAGAAGCCAGCTTAACAAAGGTTGTTTTAACAAAAATTAAGTATTTTCATTAATTTTTTTTTCCAATAAATGATCTAGGTTGTAGATGCAAAAATATTTCAATCAACTTCTGGTACTGGAGTGTCAGTACTTACAACCACGGGACGAGTGTTTTTGAAGCTTAATAATGCCAAGGATGTGCGCACACGACAATTGCCAGAAATTCCAAGTAAATTTATTTTTCTTATATTAAGAATAATTAATTAAATATATGTATATATATTTTTTTTTTAATTTACTCTTTTGTCAAAAGAGTCTGCTTCAGAGTGCACTTGTTGGGAGATAATTACCGAGGAACGTAATACTTATTGTCTGCTAGGTCGTGACCAAGAAGTAATTAGATTATTTCCCGGCGAATCTGTTGGAACCATCACCCGTAATCTCTTTGATAGGCCATTTGAACGAATCTTGCTCATGTCGGTCTCTTACAACCATCAAAATCTAGCACTCTATACAAATAATGGTCTGCTATGGTTGGGGACAGTGGATATGAAGAAAAAATATTGTGAATTCGACACAGGACGAAAAGACATCCCACGCCAAATTGAATGGGTTATGGATTCGGAGAAGAACCAAGCCGAAGCTGTAGTTATTTCATATCCTTCATTTTTGTTGATTGTTAATCGCAATGGCGATAAAAATCTATTCACCTATGATCCAGCAATATTTCTTGTCGCGGAAATGGATGGTGTGCGTATAATAACAAATAGCGCACACGAAATGATTCAAAAACTACCAAAATGTGTGCAAAATATATTCGCTGTAAATAGTCAAGAACCTTCAAGTTTCCTGTTTGAGGCACAAAAGAAATATCAAGAAAAATCCCACCAAGCTGATGAATACTTAAGTTTGTTTCGCGATAAAATGGATGTAGCTGTTGACGAGTGCATAGAGGCGGCTGCTTATGAATTCTGTACAGAAACACAAAAGAGCCTTCTGCGGGTGAGTACTCTAAAGATAACACAAACATCAAATTTGTGACAAAACCAGAATATTATTTTTTAGACGGCTTATTTTGGCAAAGGCTTTATACCCTCGCATAATCCTGACGAGTATATGCGCATACTAAGAATATTACGAGTACTCAACGCACTGCGACATGAAAAAATTGCAATGCCATTGACGCATAAACAGTAGGTTGGCATATTTCCTATTCTTTGTTCTAAAATAATATTTATTGCCTTGCATTTAGATTTAGCCATTTAAAGGCGGAAGTCGTGCTGAGCCGTCTTGTGTTTCGCAAGCACTACGCAATAGCTATTCAAATAGCAAAACATTTGAAGTTACCAGAATCATGGATTTTGGAGCATTGGGCTTACCACAAAGTCATTAACGATAAAAGTATACCAAATAAAATCATTTATATTTTAATATAATTAACATTACCTTACTATAGACGACAATGAAGTGGCGCGTAAAATTACTGAAAAATTTAAAAATCCTTCAGTGCAAGGAATATCATTCTGCAACATTGCCGAGAAAGCACATGACGTGGGTCGCGATGAATTAGCCATAAAAGTATTTTTATTATATATAAATATTTTTTTAAGTTCAAGAGATAATCATATTTTTATTTTAGTTGCTTGAACTGGAACCACGGGCATCTCTGCAAGTACCACTCTTGTTGAAACTAGGAAAATATGATCGTGCTATTAAAAGTGCTACTCAATCGGGAGACACAGAGCTGGTAGCTACAGTGCTTTTAGAGATCAAAAAGAAAATGATGCTTGCCAATTTTAATGTAATAATTATCAATGAAAATTATACTCATTCATAAAGATTATTAAGAAACATTCTCCTCACATAGATTATCATACGCGAGTACCCAATGGCATTAAATATCTACAAAAAAATGATGAACGAATGGAGTCGGACAGCTCTGTATGATATTTACAATCAGGAGGATGATCAGAAATCCATTGCCGAATATCATTTTCGCAATGCACTCGAAAGTGATAGTTTAGAATCGAATTTGCCAATTATTGCGAATAGTTACACACAAGGTCGTAAACATGTTGAGGCCGAGTTGTGTGCCGATACTGGCAAAATGTTGAAGTTGCAGAAAAATGTACTAACACCAAAGTGAGGAAGAAAACCATATTATTTTATTTTTATTATTCATTTAATGAATTAATATTTTTAGGTATGGCAAAATACACCAAATCACATTCAATGGTCTCTCTATACATGATACCATAAAGCAGTTGTTAGAAATTGGTGAGTTAAAAGAAGCTGAAAAGATTAAAAGTGATTTCAAAGTACCCGATAAACGTTTCTGGTGGCTACGTATCATAACGATGTCTGAAAAATATAAATGGGATGATTTAGAGAAATTTGCAAAAAGCAAAAAGAGCCCTATCGGTTATGAACCATTCGTAGAGGTGTGTCTCAAGCAGAATAATTTACATGAAGCACGAAAGTATATTTTAAAATGTCGGGATGATCGCAAAGCACATTGGTATTTGCGTGCAGAGTAAGTTAGAACTTCATATATGCTTGCATATAACTACTATAATACAAATAATTTATTTTATATTAATAGATTGTGGGATGAGGCGGCGGATACCTCGTTTGAACAACGTGATATTAACACTTTATATGCTATACAAAACAAGGCTTCTGCTAATGGCAATCGTATGCTTTTAGATAAAATCAGCTCCTACATTGCGGCGTTGGCATCAAAGAAATAAAATATTTATAAAGACTTCCTTAATAATGTGCCCCCTAATTTTTGCAATAATAATATAAGATGTACAGATATAAGTGCAGAACAAAATACATTCATTTTCTATTAATTCGATGTTAAGTAAAACAATATGCGCTTGTTTGTATGTATTTTTTTTTTTTTTTTTGGAATTTTCAAAGGACCATTTATTTTCCATATATATTTATATATTTATTATACGTATGTATACTTGTATATACTACGCTATGTATGCAATTATATGTGATTTTGTATTTGTATAATGCATGAAGGTATTTAGGTAATAGATCACATAAAGCAAAAAAGAAATATATTCGTATATATTTATTTATATTTAACTAAGACTCCTTGTTTTTTTTTCCAATTCAATATTATTCATTATTACACATTATTAATCCGTATGCACCTAGGTATATATATTTGTATACTAAATATTATACATATTTATGTTAAGAACAATGCTTTACATAAAAATATTTTTATTACTTGCGTTTTATAATCTTGATTAGTTGTTAATATCTTATATGCATTGTATAGTACAGTATATTGACAATTATTAATTAAATAATTATACATACATATATATTTATATGTTTTTTGAACAAAACACAGCAGTCTTATATAAGATGAAATATTTTTTGTTTTTACTTTTACAATGTATTCAAAAAAAGTTTTTTTTGTTTTTGTATTTAATTTATTTTGTTTTGCTTTGATTTCTTTTTTTAGCGTGCTGATAATTTTTGTATATTTTTTTCTCTTTGGATACAATTGTTTTCTAAATATAATGAATATATTACTTGTTCTCAAACGCAGATAAAATATTTATATTAAATGAGAATATAAATTATGATTGAAAAATCATAATGATAGAAAATAAAAAAAAAAAATGAAAGGAAAATTTTCATTAATTTATAGATAAAGATTTTTATCATTTTTTGTTATTAATATTAAAACTTAATCATTAAAATTTTCTGCAAAATAAAACTTAAAAAAAAATAAATTAAATTATTTTAATATTTATTTCTCACAATCTGAAAACCCACAAAATATAATGGATACCTTACAGTTCATCTGCCGCCTTCTAATATTAAGATATTCACGATTTTTAGTACAATAATCTGAACCATGAACACACTGATATTATATAATAGTATAGAAAAGCGATATTAATACTATGCTAATATGTATTTAGTTTCGCTAATTCTTTATTTCATAATCAAATACAAATATTTTAATGTCAACTATTTTGTTAAACTTTCAAATACATACATATAAAGAGGTGTTATAATAATTTTGTGTTGAGCACGGGTTTTCATATATGTTTTTCAGTAATTCAAATGGCCTTCAAAATTCATTTACCCACGAAAATATTAACTGCGGGGAAACCATTGAAACCGGCTCTATTATCAAATCAGCATTATTTAACTAGGATTTTTACTATTAATTACATTTCGGTTACATAAAATATTATTATTTTTATTTCTTTCCAAAGAAAAATTACATACATACATTGCTAGTAATTTCATATTTTTATTTTTTCTTAAATAAGTCCACAAATTAATGCCTATCATTTCACTATTTACCAACTATGCTAATCAGTATTTACAATAAAAATATTAATTTACAATTAATTTTTAAAATTATTAACTAATTTACCTACAAGAATAGTGACTAGTTAAAGGAGCATAAATAAAATTTCTTACAGAAATGGAGTTAATTTTGCTATGAAGAAAGAAATAATAATAAAAGCAAAAAAAAAAATAAAATTAACAGATGGAGTTTTTTTTTGTTGAAAAAGGGATTTAGCAACCAAGCGGGAGAGAGGCTAGGAGAGGTAGATAGTTAAGGAAGCGGTATGTGCCTATCAATTTCTTCGCCATGAATAAAGAGTACAAGTGGTAGCATTAGTACCTAGTTACATACATAATATAGGCAATATTAGACATTCATATTTGTTAAATATTTTATTGGATTTTTCCCTCATTGTGTATAAGTCAATTAATATATAACTTTACTTTTAATATTGCCAATATTTTAGCCATATACATATATACATATATTTATTTATATTTTTTTTTAGCTGATTTATGTTTTTTATGGTTGTGTTTAAGTTAATAAGGATACAAGTTTACTCATCAAGAGATAGTTTTTGGTACAGCGAGTTTAGTTTTTCAATGTTTTTCTTTTTATTTTTGAGCGCATTTAAAATGTGTATAATCAAATGCCAAAAAGGTGCAGCGATTTCCAATGGATTTTATGTGCACTGAGCACAACAAAGCGAGTGCCACTAAAATGTTTTAAAAATGTTCACCTTTAATACAATTATCTATGATGCCAATCATTTCTCCATACGTACTCAAATGATAAATAAATAACGTGCTTTTTATTTCTGTTATCTGATTATGTTTGAATAGTAGTCCCAATTTCTGCTATTTTAGCTGGTAAATGTTTTCCAACAACAAAATATGCCAATATAACCAAAATGCACGTAAAATTTTTACAATAATATTACATTAATTTATATATCCAGCCAAAAATTATGTTCAACCAACACCTTGTTGTCGGAAGCGCTTTCTGGATTTTTTGAGTTTTTTTTTTTTAATATACATTCCTCAAGTAACCTTCTTTTACCAAGTTTCAGTTCATTTTAAGGCGATTCAATTAAAACATATTATTTGATCATAAAGCAATAAATTTAGTTTTCCAATTAAAAAAATATATACATTTTAAATTTTCTAAAAGTTTGAATTCCCAACATAAAAGTAACTAAACAAAACTTATATATAAAAAAATATTTAATGTCAAATGGTAAATGTAATTGATGAATTCAAGGCGTCAACGAAAACTGATATTTTAAATTTGTATTTAATAATTAACGTAATAATGTTGAAAGGACTGTCAGTTGGCGTCAGGATACTTTTTATAAATTTAACCTCAAGTCCAGCAAACGAGCGCTTTCTGTCCATATATCACGGATCTAGCACAACTCTCTGCCTCCTCAAAAGATCTTCTCACACTCTCTTTGCCGATTTTAGTTGTTAGCCATATGATTTTTCTCTGTCCTCTTGCCGCTGTGCATTGCATTCTCTTCCTGTAGACTTTCGTCTATTCCGTCACAGCCAAAAATACTATGCCATTATCTACATACATACATACATTTTATTACATACATATATATGTATGTATATACATACATAAGTACATATAACACATATTCTCCTATTGCACGCAACGCCGCATTTGCACTCACCTCCCCAAATGTAGCTTTTAATTTATTGTCTTCTGGTACATTATCTTTCTATTGTAGTTTTCACTAAATTGTTGTTGTATAATGTCATCAATGCTGTGGGTAGCGCCAATTGTTGGGACGTTAGTAGTGTGAAGCTGACCTAACGTACCACCACCGGCTCCATCGTCACAATCATTTCCGATTGCATTTGCATTTATATTACTATTTAGATTATTATCATTATTATTATTGTTGTTATTGTTATATGTTGATTGTTTGTTATTGATATTCTTGTTATTATTACTGCTACAGTTATTATTATTATTATTGTTGTTGTTCATATTTGATTTATTCACAGCATTTTGATTGGCACGTAAATTGGCCAAAAATTTCTCTTTAAACGTATTCGCCGAGTACTTGTGTTCAATGAAAGTAGGTGAAATCATGGGCGGAGCGCCATAGATGTTAGGCGTCATAGTAATATTCATATTCATATTTATATTGTTATTGTTATTATTATTGCTGTTGACACCACAAGCAGCAGCATTAGCCACTGTATTAATTGGTGTGCCATTCATGCTGACCGCAACGGTAGCCACTGGTGAGGCAGCGACATTCGAACAAGCGTTGGCGATTGGCGTAGCACCAGAGAGAAGTTGCCCATTATTGTAAGGCATGCAGGCGGCGGAGGTGTTTACATTTATTTGTTCTAGAAAAACGATTAAAGAGAAAAAAAGAGAAAAAGAAAAGAAATAATAGTAAACCAAAAATAAAACAAAATCAAATGAGAAACGTTATCTTCGGCAAGACCGAATGCTTCATACTTTTCATGAACGGAATTTAATTCAGTTTTATATATGCAAATGAAATCGGTTGAAAATCAGTTTTGCGTCAATTATATGTAATATCGTCATATATCCGGGGAGTTCGTTTTTCGGTCACTCGGTATGTCAATTCATTTTATCTGTACGAGTGTTCAAAGTAGTTCGCGGTTGGTATAGCCGAGTGGTTTGCACTGCGGTGTGGTGGCTCAAATCCAGAACAGAACATCAATTTGATTTGAAGATGTTTCTAAAAATATTAGCTGCTGCCAAAACTGAAAACCTTAAGTGGCTTCAGTCTTTTTGTGAAAAAGAATGTCAGATGTTCGTTCAGTCGTTTTGTAGAAGAGAAGGAGAGAAGTTATGTACATAATGTCGAACAGAACAGTCGAGACTCAACAGCCAATGCAATACATCGGACTGATTAACATCGATATAAATTTCATTGGGTTTTTCTAGTCCTCTTCTGGATTTAAAAATATGGAAAAATTTATAATAACACTTTAAGTTCATGAAAAGTACATTACATAATAAACATTAAAAGGAAGAAAGTTGAAATGAGAGAGAGCGCGGGTATAAGTATTGTACTACATAGAGTGGAGAAGGTTTAGAAACGTAGTTGAATTTTTTTTACATACGCGTGCATAGCAAATCATGTAGCTGAATTTTCTTTTGTAAAAAAAATGTATACGTATATTTTAATTTGTGACAAAAAAAAAAATACATCTCGAATTTAACATCAGCCATGAACCCATTCAAAAATAGCTATCGTTCCAAACGAATTTGGTTAACAACAATCGCCTCGTTTAATAAATATATTAGCGTAATTTTTTTAATTAAAAGTGATAGTTAACAACGTAACCTGCAGTACTTTTTTGAAATTATCTCTTTTTATATGTTTTTCGAAAACTGTTAACTGATAGCAATTACTTTTTGGTCTTTTAAAAGAATTGAAAATTATAATTTTTTTGACTTTTATAATGTTGCCCTAGTATTAAGCTCATAAATTAAAGAAAAAATCTGATTTTAATTAAAAATTTACAGCATTCAACGAGCTTCAAGAAATTGGCAACGCATGCGAAATACTTTGTTATATATTTCAGTATAAATTGTATCGAAATACTGATTTTCTTAGCTTACGTGAATTTATTAAAAAAAAAAATAATACTGAAAGCATTTCAAATAACACGGAATATATGTAGCGATTAATTTAAATATTATTTGAATTACAAATTACAATGTTGCTAAACCTAAGTGATTCTCATTAACCCAGTTTTCAGATCAGCCTCATTTTCGTATATATTATATAAAGTTATGGGACTATTTTTAAGACATAGAAGTGTGCTAGATTTAGTTTGAAATTCAGTATCTAGGTATCTATTTTTTTATGAACCACGATTATATTAATGAATATACCGAAGCAATTGAAATGCATACACATAATTGAAATCAATCGGTTGGTCTATTGTTTACAGCTTGGCAGAAATATACATATTTATTTATATGTGCCAAGGATGAATATGATATATACAATTGTTTCAATGTTATAAAATTAGACAAAGTGTTCAGCGAAATGAAGTAACACTCAATTTGACTATTTGAGGACGTATTTTAATTTTCCAAAGTGAAATCGAATATATAAACTTTATTTTTAATGTGTATATAGTATAGCTTTTTTATATTTTTAAAATTTTCAATTTGAATAGGAGATCAGCAGTTATTAAAGCAATATAATACAATAATAATATAGTGGTTAGGAAATTCAGTATAAAAATATACACAAAAAATGAGTACAAAATAATAATAATTAGCTAAATAAATTATATACTTATAAAAAAGTAGTATTGCACGAATCAACTAAAATGTACAAAATTTTTTAAATTCTAAAATAAATCGCAGCAGTCTAAATTTACAAGGATACTTGAAGGTTGTCTCTAAGGACATATATATATTCGTAAATATTATAAATATATACATATACATTTGCATATTTGTATATATAGAAAGGTGAAACGTATAGCTTTTCATTAATTTCAAAGCATGCCATCGTTGGATATACATTTGTATGTGTGTATATTATTACTTTTGTTCGAGTGCAGAATTTAAAGCGTTTAATTTAAATATACTTTTGTATTTCTTTCATATTGAAGTGTATTTAAATTTATATATGTATGTATGTAAGTAACTTAATTTTTTTAAATGTATGTATGCAATATTGGTTGCTAAATGCTTATGTTATTTCGAATCCGTACAGATAATTTTCAAGGAACCTAAGTTAGTTGTTTCTGAAAATGGGTAATTTTTTTTGGAATATTGAAAAATGGTTTCTCCCACATGAACAAATTTGGTGCACAGGTATAAGATATTGCAGTAGCCTGCCTGCACACAAACATACCCACCATAAAATTGTCAATGCAAAACAAACATAAAATTATATAATGCCGAAATATGTAATAAATTTAAATTTTAAATTCATACTATTACTAATTAGTTACATTTGTTTATAGAAAATAAATTTCTGTTTCTACTTCAAAGTCAATTCTCTTTTGTTTTGGTTTATTTTCCCATGTGTGTAAATATATGTATACTAAAAATCAAATTAAAAAATCTAGATATGCAGAGAAAATTTCATTTAATGAATTAAATTTTTTTCTCAAAAAAAAATTATTTGCGTTTGCATTTCATCTCTAGGTGTTATTGCGTACTCATACCCATTTATTTCAAGTGTGCACAAAGTACTACTACGGTAAGAATCAATTTTTACACTTAAAATTCTGCATCAACACTTTTAAGGAACTGACAAAAATTTCTTGGTGTAATCCAATATGTGCTTGTTTGGCAAAATAATGTTTTCCTACGGCAATAAGGAACTGCCATACATTGTGGCATTTGCTACGTGCCTACACTAAGTTCATTTACATCAATTATAGTTTTTATTGCCGTTATTTTTGTGCAAAGTTATTATTTTTTGTTTTGTTTTTGGTTTACTAAATAATAAATTAAATATGTTTCTATTTAAATTCACGACGCATGAGTAATGTCTTTAGTATAGGCTACGTTTCGTCGTTGATAACACCTACAATTGCGTCAGCAGGAGCAGCACCAGCAGCAGAGGAAGAAACAACTGCATTTGCCAAGCCTGCAACGCCAGCGCCAGCAACAACACCACTACCCACTGCTGTTGCAGCAACACCAGCAACACCATTACCACTGATAACATTTGCGGAATTTGTATTATTGACACTGTTGTTATTATTACTGCCGCTCATACCAGCATTTGGCGCAGTTGTAGATGTGGATGTCGTTGTGGAGACATTCGTCAGATGTATACTACCAATTATCTGTGTGGCTTTTTTAAGTTGCTGTTGTTGTTGTTGCTGCTGCTGCTGTTGTTGTTGTTGATGGTGATGCAACAGCGTGCTAGTTGACAACGCAATACCTTTTTGTTGCTGTTGTTGTTGTATCAGAGTCGGCCCACTTGGGCTGACAGGTGTCAAAGGAAGATTATGTGTCGGCTGTCCTTGCTGTTGTGTTGACTGTTGTTGATGTTGTTGTTGCTGCTGCTGTTGTTGTTGTTGTGTGAATGTCAACGTCTGTATGGATTGTTTCGTGGGCGAGGTGGCCGGCGTCAGAATGCCTAGATTTACCAGATTTGGCAGTGCGATCTTAGTTGGTGTAACTTGTTGCTGTTTCAACTGTACTTTATCAACAATTGCTTGCAGCTTATGTTGTTGTTGCTGCTGCTGTGCAATTATATCGACTGGGCCAACAGTATTGGCTGCGGCTGCAGCTGCTGCAGCCTGTGCTGCGGCATTGGTAGCCAATTTAAGTATTTTACTTGCCGTTGCATTAGCCGCCAGCAAGTTGGTAGCTGCAGTCGCATTTTTATTTGCTGTTTGCGTTGCCAGCAAACCGCCACCGCTGATGCCAGCAGTGTTGCCGCTGTTGCTGCTACTGCTGCGCACTAAATTGTTATTATTACCTGATGTTGTTGTTGTTGCTGACGACGATCCTAGGCTATGCAAATGTGGTTGTTGTTGTTGGTTATTAAACTGATGTTGTTGCTGCTGCTGTTGCTGCTGCGAGTGATGCTGGTGATGATGTAAACCTAGACCACCCACACCATTTGTTGTGGCAACAACATTAGGGCTACCATTGGATAGTGTGCCATTTGTTAATTGTTGCAACATATTGCTGGTGGCAACAGCGGATGTAGTGTTGCTGCTGCCACCAACATTATTATTGCCAGCAGAATTGCTATTGCTGTTGTGTGTGTTGCTGCTGGCACTACCGTGACAGCTGCTGGCACTACTCGACATGTTGCTGATGCTGGATGGACTAAGTGATCCCAACGACTGCGAGGGCGAGCTGCTACGTTGCAAGATAATGCCTGAGCTCATGTTAACACCAGTGCCATTGCTGGCAGTTGTTATATTGGACACATGTTGTGTACTCAGGACGCTCTCCGGCGAGGAATTATGTGCCACTAAAGCATGATTCTTCAGGCCCTGTGCGGTCTTGTAGCTTTTACCACAGTGGCACTTATAGCCTTTGCGAACTCTGTAATAAATATTTAAAAATATATTTTGTACATACAAATATACACATTAAATGTGATAAGTACAGAAGCGAATAGTTAAGAAATATGTATGTACATACGAGTGTTCAAAAAAGCTGATTTTTAAATTTTGCGGGCTTTATAGGTTCGAATATCGATTTTTTTTTTTACACTCGTACACTCGTACACTCGCATCGACATTTTCTACGTATGGTATGTATGTTCAAAGTTTTATCTACAGAGCATATTTAGGTTGTTATACATTTTTGCGTGATGGGAAAGTAAGTAAAAAGAATTTTGATTGGTTTTTCTTTTTCCTTTTCTGTAAAAATCACATAAGAATTAGCCAGTCATGATTCACTGTGCCATTTTTTTGGTCCCAATATGAAAGAAAACTTCAAAGAACGGCATTTTGTCAAGGTAACGGTAGAAAAAAAAACATAAATCAAGAAAATACCAAAGAGTACTTATTAGAATAGTTTTTATAGAATTAAAAAAAAAAAATAAACGCTTACAGAAGTGTAATAAATCTATGTAGACCAAACGGAATTTAATAATTAAACATTACAATATACATATATGAATAAATATTTTTTGTAAAAAAAAAAAAAAACATTTCACATTTGTGGAGCAACCTTCGTTAAACAGTTTTTTGCTCCATGGAGGACTCAAATTTTCACAACTTTTCGGTAATCTCAACTTTTAACTAGTATTTTGTAAAGCAAACCCTTACGAAATATATTTTCAGCTGCCTACACAACTGTGAAAGAAGAAAATTATAGTGCAATGAAAATTGCATATTGATTAGGTGAGCTCGTGTAATTCCTAACGAGGTACTAAAAAATTTCTCAGTCAGTCTACCCCCTTCTATCTAACTTTGCTTAACTTATTAGACGTGATTTTCTTCGCATAATTTACTTACTTACTACGCATTGAAAATTTTTAAAAGCATATGCATACATATATGTATGTAAATCCAAATTTAATGCTGTGTCTGCACTTACTTTCCATCTTTTTTGTGGCCATTTTTCGAATGATACTTGATGCCGTTGACATTCTTATAACGCTTTTTGCAACCAGGCACAGGACATGCAAACGGTTTCTCATTACCCGGTGCACCATTACTGCCGGTACCAGAATGCCTTCACAAATATACATATTTAAATTTCAATGTTCATTTTTTTTCTTACAAACAAATATTTTTTGTTGAGCAATCACCTGCTCCCATAACGCATTATGAATTCAGAACTGAATTCTTCAGTTGTCCATGAATCATTGCTATCCTCAGACTCCGAGACAACCATTTCATCATCGTCCATTTCGCTGCCTAGATTTTGTTTTTGTTGTTGTATGGTTCAAAAGCAAAACATACGTAAAAAAAAAGGAAATAGATATGAATTAGTAAAAACAAAGGTCGATTCGTATAAGCAGAAAAAAAAGCCTTTCGGTACAATGCCAATACAGTTTCTGTTTTCTATTGATACGCTTTCTCACCAGTGGGCGTATTGCTGCGATTTGACGACGACATACTGTAACTGTGATGTTTGATCGCCAACTTCCGCTTGAGTTCAACGCCCGACGTATTGGTGGATAGGAATGGAGCCTCCTTGCGTGCATCTTCGGATATAAAACGAAGCACATAGCTTAACGGCAGGCATGCAGGCTGCGCCTGCTCTTTCTGTTCGACCACTTTAGGATCATAGTCTGTAAAAGATATTTTGGAATTTTTAATTAAATCTTATTACAAATGTAAAGACTCCAAAGTCATAAAATGTAAGATTATATAAAGTTTACACATACAATGGTTAGGATGTAAGAAGCCATAGGAAATTATGAACTAAATCTAAGTTACAACCATCGCTTTCTCTCCATCTGAAGATGCAACATTATGCAAGATATAAAGACATACTTTAACGTAGTATAATTAATTTCAAATACTTTATACCGGTACGTAGATCCATGCATCTGCCTGTGTATATGTAAATATGTAATATGCAACAAATGAATTTTAGAAATCAGAATCGAAGCCTAACAAAAATCTATTGCTTCCGGCACTGTTGTGAAAGTACACGATAATGTGCTATTGTATTGGTAGTTTGAAATATGTACGTATATGTACTGGTGGCTTGTGGTCTAATGGCTTTTTTAATTTTTATTGCCGTCATAATTTTGCCACGGGGAATTCTTTTATGCATTCATTATATGTGATTGTCGTTTTATACCCGAAACAACTTTTAAGAAATTCACATTCTGAACATTTGTACATGTTTAGGTATAAATATGTACATATGTATGTATGTATTGTAATTATATTTAATAAATATTAATTCCATTGCAAATTTAAACAACAATTTGATATAAATTTCCGGTGACAAAGAATATTTTACAACAACTACTAGAAACTGTGGGGCTACGCATACCTGTCGCCCGAGGCGACTAAAATACAATAATTCCCGCGACAGTGTTTATACCGAAATTAAGAGGATTCACCCGCGTCCCTATATTTGTTGGGAAAACATCAAGACGCACAACCACAAATTAGATAAGGAGGAGCTCGGCCGAAAATCGCTACAAAGCGCGATTTATATATATATAACTTATATATATATAAAGCTTATGTAAACTTGAAAATAATATTAAGATATAGTTTTATGAAAACAAAGTCTTACACCTATGCCAGTACTTCTTTGCAGACAATATTTTTTGTTTTTCCGTAGGATGCTAGAATCACCAGGCTACTTTGTGAGCTTACTCACCATTACATGCCACATACAACTGACAATGGAGAAGGAGATTTCGCTCAAGTCTGCGTACATGGCTGATGCGAAGCATACTTTTGATGGAGTCCTAGGAACCAATACAGATTGTCTTTGAAAACAATCTTATGTTTCATAGCAACATAATTGGCGCTCCGACTCCTCATTTAATAACCGATTTGAAAGGCCGCAAATCGTTAGTGTATTCAAGAAATCGTACCCCAACAGACGTCTAATAGAAGCTGAACCTTAACCCAGGCACATCAAAAAAAGGAGTACTAGACCTGAAGGACACAATACAACTACATGTGAAACAAGCGCTGGTCAGGACGAGTAAAAAAGATACTAAACGCCATTCACCAGGAGTCAGTCAACACCTTCAAAAACTCCCTCCCTGTGAACCATAGCAGATTTAGACCTCGAGAGACCTGCTTAATACTGGCGCAACTTAATTACTTTACTGGCCTAAACACCGATTACGCGATTATGGCCGATTTAAAAACATTGCGCTATGCGTTTCTCTGCGCAACTTAGTTCTGGATACTGTAGCAAGTTAAACTCTTACTTATCCAGACTCGACCCCTACATACTTAATGTATGTTCAACATGTAACGAGTCCCCGCACCACACTGGCCACCACTTTACATGCCCCCCTAAACCCAACACATCTCACCCACCTCTCCCTCTGGTCCGAACCCGTCGAAACAGCTCGTGTCCCAGATCTTCCATGAGGTGATCTCGGTGACTTAGCCAGTCTAGCCTGCTCCTAAGTTGAACAAGTGAACCACTACAATAACTATGTATTCATTAACTCCACCGGATAACGAATTGTATCATCGGTGTAAGTCATGTTGTTGTTGTAGCGGTTCCCTTTAGTTCATTTATACCTTCGGTTTCACTCTTTCTTATTATAAGATTTCATGCTCAAATAACCATTCTCCAGGCTTATCGTGAATGTAATGTTATGCTTTAGTAAATTTTAGCTAGAAATTGTTACTAATACTATAGGAATAATTATATTATTATTCAGTTCCCCTCCAAAGTTTCAGTTCTCCGCGATCAGCGGTTTAGCCTGTGGGTTGATGCGTCAGTCATTCAGGACAAATCCTTATATATATCAGGTGTACAACTTTGCTTCCGCCGTTTTCCGATAGGTAGCTGTACCGGCTAAGGCTGGTTGAAATAAATAGATGAAAATGCCTTTAAAGTGAGTGTGGACAGTGCCTAACGAATTGTCATCGCCGTTTCTTCAGTGACAGTTGTTCTTGTTTTCGTATTATTTACGCTCGAAAATGTCCGTTTATGTGCCTAACTCTCAGCATTTGCGGGAAGTTTTAATTTTCTGATACAATCCGAAAAAAAATGCAGCTGAAGCACATCGAATGCTCTCAGAAACTTACGGTGATGCTGCTCTGAGTAAAAGAACGTGTCGGGAGTGGTTTCAACGTTTTAAAGATGGTGATTTCGATGTCGAAGACAAACAAGGTTATAATTTGCATTTGGTTGGATCAGCTCGGTGTGATTTACTACCAGCTATTAAAACCGGGTGAAACCATCACAGGAGATCGCTACCGAACGCAACTGATGCACCTTAGTCGCGCGGTACAAGAAAAGCGGCCACAATATCAAGAGCGACATGACAAAGTCATCCTCCAACACGACAATGCTTGGCCTCACGTCGCAAAAGTGGTCAAAAAGTACCTGGAAATGCTGAAATGGGAAGTCTTGCCCCACCCGCCGTATTCCCCAGATGTCGCCCCTTCTGACTTCCACCTATTCCGTTCGATGGCACACGGCCAGGCAGATCAACATTTTCAATCCTTCGAAGAATTGGAAAAATGGATTGCTTCATGGATAGCGTCAAAAGAGGACTCCTTTTTTCGAGCCGGGATCCGAAAATTGCCGGAAAGATGGGAGAAAGTTGTCGCTGGCGATATCTGTAAGCACTTTTTCGCAATAAAGCTTTTAATTTTGGAAAAAAACGGCGGAAGCAAAGTTGTACACCTGATATTATACATATATACATATATGTACATATATATATATATGGATAGCTTAGAAATAAAGGAGATATTTAAGATTACGACAAATATAAGCAACTTTAAAAAATAAATAATATTATATTTTTTTTTACAAAAGGGGTAAAGTACAACTTTCTGTATCTGGTAAACCTGATCGATACTTTCATTTGTGCTCGGTCAAATATTTTTATTTATAGGTCAATTAAAAATAATTTTCGATATCTAATAAACATAAAACTAATTAAATATCAAAAAGTTAAGTAAGAGATCTGTACAAAAGAGTTGAAGCCTAGAATACACCACCGAGTGAAAATCAAAGTTCAGTAAATTTAAAACAATAATCTAAAAAAAAAAATAAAAAATAATAAAATTAAAAAAAGCTTCACTCTTACACATGTATATACACATGTGGGTATATATAGATATATGTATATATGTGTTCTCCACTGCAAGGCTCAATGGCGAGCTTGTGAGTTGAGCGAATGGTTGAATGCGGCACGCAATAATTAACCTGATTTAAACAAGTTCCCAAAGAATCTAAATCACTCAAAAAAACACAAAAAAATAATAATTACAAATTAACAAATATAAAAATTTTAAGGCTAAAACCCTTTCGACTGTAACAACGCATTTTTATAATAACAAATTTAGGCAGAGTCTCAAGGTCATTTGTATTTGCAAAAGATAATTTTGTGAAAAATAATTAAGAGCTTGGGTGAGACTTTTTTTTGGTTTCAATAATATGTTACTATTGAAGTGGAATGATTATAATGGTATGCCACTTTTACCAAAAAAAAAAACTTTACTTTAACACAGATTCTCTGCTCAATTTCTCATGGCCAATACTTGTATACACATAAATACATCTGTAATAAATCCATGTATGATAATTTATATAATAAAAAAAGTCGCCTATTTAGATTACAATATTGTTCAACCACCATCAAAGGAGGATTGGATTTTTTTCGTCTGACATTGATAAGCCAGAGGTAGAGGCTTTATGTAAGTTACACACATATATACATACATATATAATAAACATATTATGGCATGTAATGGTGTAGACTTTATCAACAAAAAAAAAACATTAATATCAATATTTTCAGCGTAGAAACGATGCAAGGCATTTATTGAGTGATTTTTGTTTTGTTTTTATTATTTTTGTGGCGTATTATGAGTCATGAGTAGAGATAGTAATAGATAACATATATATGACATGTATCCATAAAATTCATAAATATATAATGTGTTCATATTAATATGATACTTTGCATATTTACGTGTATATATGTATGTATGTATATAAATTAATTTATTTCTAATTTGAGTACAAGCAAAAGAGACCCTTCCAAATTAGCATAGAAAATACTAGTAGTGAACTAGTTTTTAAAATGCAGTTTGGAAGTATAACTCCACTAAAGATATATGTATATATGTATGTAATAACAACTGCCATCATCTTTAGAGTCACTAGAGTAGAGTATTTTGCTTACCCATGACACAAAATCAAGGTATTAATTCAACATATATAAATGAACTAGTATTTTACTAAAACGATGCTGATACATAGTCGAAATGTTGCCGTATTCATATCATTCAAACTAGTAACATTCTAGTACAGAATAAGTATTATTGTCTGCAAGAAACTTAAGTATATGGATATTAATCATGCAAAGTGGATAATATCATTATATGTACTTACATACATATATAGTAGGTATTTATGTATGTTATGGTTATTTTGATATAAGATTACAAACAAACAAATAAAGAATAAAATAAAGAATAAAAATTGGGTGGAACGATAGTCTGACATACGGCGCACCCTTTAAAAAATATGCATACATACGCACATATAATATTGAATAGTCTTCTAATTCTAAAGGAACATTCATTTTTTTCTTTCAATATGTACAATAATACTGTAGTATCATCCTATGGGGTCAGGAAGTATTTTTGAAAAACAATTCTTGACCGGAATAGGGATCAAACAGTCTTAGAGTTGCAGGACAGATGTTGTTTAATATAATATAATAAATTTTAATATTTCCAATTTGTTTACGCGAGGAGCGTAAATCCTTGCATAACTTTGGGCGCAGGCTAATTGCTTCCTGTTATTTGGGTTTTTGCTTTCTAGCATATATGTATGAATGATTCTCAAATGATCCGCGAAGTGATACGGCTAAAGTGTTCATTGTTTGCAATGGAATTCACCTTCTAATGGTCCAACCTTCTAATGGTCCAGGTCAGATATCTTGTTATCTGATCTGTTTGCGTCTTCCCATCCATGCTCCTTGAGTAAGCGATTGGCGTCTGCGCAGCGTCAGGTGCCTCCTTTGGCATTGAGTAAAGTCCACAACTTTTCGTAACGAGCCTAGTGCTCAACTTGAATACATTTCACATTCTCCCCCACTCGCTTAGACACAATTCGATTTACAATATTTCATTTATATGCAAATTAAGAAGCCAACAGAGTACTCATTTACATATATGTAAGTCCTTTGATATATATGTATCCATATATGTATATATGTAATAATAGCACCTACAGCATTAAACATAGGCACCTAGCTAAGTACGTAAATCAATAAATCGTACGATAAATCAAAAAACGTCACAACTCAAAAAAATGTCAAATGTTGAGAAAAGGCAAACAAAAAAAATCAATTGACGCTGTCCAAACGAGGCAAGTAACATAATAACAGGCACTACAGTATTTTCCAATTAAAGAAGACTGTGATTTTAAGGAATTTTTAGGGATGCAAAAGATTGGTTCTGTAAACGAATGGGGAAAAAAAATAATTTTTGTAAATTTTCGATTTGTGTTGTGATTTACATATCTACATATATTAGTTTATAATAAAAATTTCTGAGTGCCGCCTCTTACAACAAACCAAAGTAACTCACTCACAAAATTACGAAGACTCAATACTAATAACCACTTTTCTTTAGAAGAACTTATCCTTATATTTAGGAATATCTATTTCTTTACATATGTGCGTACGTTGTTATGCATAAATGTACATTTCTATCTATATACCTACATATACATTTGTATATACAAAACCTAGCAACACACCATCTGACCTAACCGCTTGTTCAGTCTTCTTTCTTATTGATTTGCCTAACTTCCAATTTCTATACCAATCTATTGATAGCTGGTAAACCATCACCATCACATACAATGCAATACGACGCACAAGCGAAAAAGTTCAAATATTAAAAGCAGCCAAATGTAAGCAGATACATTAATAGCAAAATGTTTAACTTTGTGGCTCCCATGAAGTCCAAACAATTTTGATATTTACCGACTAAGCCCGGCGTTGCGAACGAAAATTTTGCGTATTGAAGTAATTAAATTACTCTTGCCTGAATTAAAGTATTTATTACTTACTTATATATGTATATGTATGTATTTATTAAGTGATTATTTGATAAATATAAATCAAATTGTAAGATACATAACAATGAAACAAAGGAATATCTTAAAATATGAAAATTTTGTAACGATGTGTCCACTCAGTTATTATTTAACATAACCTTTATACAAAAAAAACTTAATAATAATTCAATAAAAATTTAAAATAACTCAAAGTTTGAGGTTCCTAATGAAATTCTCTGGCCACGCAAATAGCACATTTTGAGAAAGGGGTCTTATCTGTTAGTATTTTATAGTAAATCCACGATTTTTAATAACAGCTTCATATCTGCGACCCATGCTCTCAACAAGTTTCTCATATTTTTCTTTTGGTATGGGGTACCACTCTTCCTTGACGCCCTCCCACAAATCATGGAATTTTTTCCATATATTTTTGTTTTAACATCGTTCCATAAATTTTCTATTGGGTTTATGTCTTGGCTTTGCGCAGGCTAATCCAAAAAACGAATTAAGCCAATCTTGTGTAACCTTCCCGATATGCTTAGGATCATTATCTTGCATAAAAGTCCAATTTAGTAGCATGGAGTCCATTTTTCCATTTATTCGTACAATTGGCTATACACTATGCCAGGAAAATGCCCTCATAATCATGATATTACCGCCTGCATGTTTTATGGTCTTTTTGGTGTACCTAGGATTTAAATCTTGGTCTCTTAAACGATGAAATGTGGTTTTCCCATCTGCCTCCATTCTATTTATTTCAGTTTCATCGGTCCATAACACAATTTCCAAAATCGTATCGCCCGGTTCTCAGGCGTCTTAGCAAACTTTAACCGTTTTTCTTTATGCCCTTTCGATAGGAGTGTTTTTTTGCGAGTATTGCGTCAAAAGAGCTGGGCCTTATTTAAACGCCTTCCTACATGGCTTCTTAATATAGTCAAATCGAATTCTTCGTTTATTTTCAGCATTTTTTGCCTAGACAATTTGAAAGGATTTACATTCTTTTTTCGTATTTTGGCTCTGTCTTCAAAAATCGCTGTCTAGCGAGGAGCAGGTGCCTTGGATTTGTTTTGACATAGATAATCTTCACTCTCTTGAGCCAGTTTAAAAACATTATGTACTATTTTACGGGAATAATTCAAGAAAACTGCAATTTCTGAAACAGTTTTTCTTGTCTTAGCCATGTTATAAATATTGCTTATTTTTTAAGGAGAACAGCGTTCAATCTGAGTAAATTTTGATAGAACTTTAAGTTCCACTAAAAATAAATAAAGAGATACTTTCAAGATCCAACCGATGACTGTGCTATTTGCGTGACCACCATAAACTAATAGCTCGAACAGATAAATCGACTAAAAAAATACGATTGCTAAGATAACGGGAATGTACGAAACGCACTGTAAACTAGATAACATAAGTAACTATTATAAATTTTTTTATTCAGAAACATACCGTTTTATTTCCTCAAAAGAGTTACATTTTCTCTTATGATATATTTTGTGCATAAATTTTACTACATTGTTATGATTTTGTAAGCGAAAAGCCTATTTGATTTCATGAGTGGACATTTTGTTATACAATAATTTTATTCCTGAATGATTTAGGTTTATAGAAAATTTACAGTTTTGGGTTTTAATATCATTTGAATACTTTTCATATTGAATACAACAATCAAATCGATGTCTATTAATTCTAGTATGTGAGCTCTAGTACCTTCCTTTACCTAAGGACCTCAGTGTGGTAACCAATTGTGAATAGGTGGAATGGAAGTTGTTTATGTATAACTTCATCTTCACTTAAAATGCATCCTAATTTAACGGTAAAAAGAACAAATGAAAGAAAGTTCCTATAGAGTGTGATTTATTATTTCTTTGGATGGATAAGACTGCTGAACACATTTGCGTCGACTCGGAAATCTAAATTGATACAAAAACAATTGGACAAAATTATATAAATTGCAAAGTTTAAATATAATATAACAAAACATTTTTTACATCTATATATGTAAGCTAAAAAAAAAAAAGAAGTGGCAACCACTCACCAGCTTACTGCCGATGAATGAATGAATGGAGAAGGCCCCCACCTTTATGCCGCCTACACCAATCCCTCCCCTAAACAATGTTGTTAGGTAACGAAGGCTCAAAAAAAAAAAAAAAAAATTCACCACACCAACTAGCTTCTCTATCGATTTTTCATATGTAACCCACTCAAAACATTCTTAGATATGTATATATGTATGCAGCATAACCACTGACACCGGCACCATTAGCAAGCAGCTGACTGTGGCGTTATAGTATACGTCGACTTCGGCGCCGACAAAACGCAATCGTTACAAACTCACCATACCAACACATCAATTATTACGGCAATCTTAAGTAAGTAAACAAATACTAACCGCTACATGCATTTAATCACCCGTTCACCGTTTGACATTTGCTGTTAACATTCAAGCATATGGATATGTACATATATTTATATATATATATATATATAACTATCACGCGACTACACCATTATCGTCGACAACCATCCGTAGTGCAATGCTTTCATCCAAAATTTATTTTATGACCGTGTAAACAATATGTAAATAACATTGCTAACTCACCGATATGCGTATCCTCAATATGTTGTATTAAATCTCCTAAACTAGGAAACGTGATACCGCATCCATTAAATTTGCAAATGTTTATTAAGAACACGGCCATATCCCGACCGATTTAACCGATGAAGATGAATGTCGCTTCGCTCTGCTACTTTGCAATGAACCGACGATGTGTTGTTGGTTGACTCTGTTTAGCAGTTGGCAGACACTAGTAATCAGACACGCAGCACGCAGCACACACTCACGCGGGTCGGCTCACTCCAATTCAGCACAGTTTCTGTTAAAAACAATACGCCACTTCATGCATACAAACACGAACGAGTACGCCAATACTGCAAAAGTACGAATTAATGTAACGCACCTGCTTACTCGTTAAGCTTTGCTGGCGTTTAGCTGCTGCCGTTCTTCGGTCACTTGTTCTTCACCACACTAAATTGATACGCTTGAGCTCGCTCCCTCTCACACATACACTTGGCATATAATATTAACGCGTCGAAACACAATTTCTATCTTGCTCACATTCGCTGAGTTTATTGATACAATACTGATGGGTTACGTTGTTAAATCTAATTTGACTAAATTATATGAGTAAATCCTGTTTTCTGCTTTGCTGAAATTTCAAGCTATTTGCTATGGGGCTTAAAAGCGATGTATCGAGTTAGAATAATAGCCAAATTCAGTATTAACTGCTATGTCCACTCTATTGCTAATGATTTTATGTAGTTTTAGACAAACTACGCTGCACTTTTCTCTTCGTAACTCTCTGCCTGCGCAGAACAGAGTGGTGGCTGCAGCGACGACAACGCCAATAGTTGTTGGGGCACACTAGGGTGGTGAATAAATTCGACGGCTTTGTTTATTTTATTGCTGCTCATGTATGTGTTGGCTCTGGTTTTGAACGTCAAGATGTTAATTAGATATGCTGGCTATTGTTTCCCATTCATCTTTGTTTGCATGATATAAATCAAAACTATTGTGACTTATTCATTATTTACATGGTTACGCTTAACATGCCGGTCATTTTGCTAATCACAAGTGTTTGAAAAAAGCAGCGTTCATACGATTCTACGACTACTTTCACATACAAATCGCCAATTATGCCGGTGGGACTGTTTGACTCAGTCACTATGATCTAATGGAAAAGCATAAAGCGTACACTCGAAGCTTGCTGTCCAATTATTGTCCGTTCACAGAGTTTAGGTAATGTTGTATGTGCAGTGTACAGATTGCTTTCTAATATTCCTCCTAGAAGCATAACATAAAAATGCAGATTAGCATATGCTCATCATTGCTTTGTGCTAGCACATACAATTATTAATGGCTGATCCTAGAAATCGCCAACTTCTCACTATAAAACTTGTATGTAAGTTTGTACATAGCTAATATAAAACTCAAGAAGAATAAATATTTTTAAATACTTAAATATCGTACCTCAAACTACTACTATTTTTAATAAAAGGGTTCACAATGGTATACCACTGAGATAGATTGTGTTTTGTATATAGATTTCTACATCGTCGTTCTTCTCCTATATTTTAGTTTGCTTGCCTTCCTCATATATTTTGTACATTTCCTCTCCTTGCTCTAGCAAGCGCCATTCAACTCAACTTACGAGTTTTGATGTCTTCTATAATTCCACCACAGGTAATGCGACAATAAACCAACACTCAAACATTCACTTACACTTATACTTATTACACATATACCACTGTGTTATGCAATTTGGGATCGTTGCTAGCCCAAAAGTTAACCAACCAGAAAATAAGACAAATTTTTCACAAAATATACTATATTTACACAGATTTCTATTTGTTTTACTTTTAATTCGCTTCCTCGTCTTTTTTAATTCCGTATATTGTCCGTTCTGACCCGGTTAGATTATAGCATTTCGCTGCAGCTGCTACTTATCGCTGCCTTTAATTAAAAAACATTTTTTAATTGTATATGAATCGTAGCGAGGCGACGACGTTTAGCACAGCGAACGCTCGACCCTCTTTGCTCGCGATTCCAAGCGAAACAATTTGCTGTTTGTATTGCTGTTTCGGTTTGATGCTGCTATAGCTTAGCTGCAGTCGCTGCTCCCAAGCATGAGCGTCGACGACGACGTCGACTCTTGGAGAAATTATATGGTTGTGTGTGTGATTCATTGCTGATACAGAAGAGAGATTTCTTGATGAAGTGTGGTGAACTGAGACGCTGTCCAATGTAAATCAAGGTTACCAGAAAATTTTAAAGCGAACAAAGGATTATCGCATGCACAATTAGTTTAGATGTTGCACGTTAACTTTAAAAAAGCTCACTAGCCTGGATTTACGGAATTCACTGCGAACATCCGTAGTGATCTCCCCATTCCAACTGACGTGAGTGTCGGTGAACGCTCCTTCTACTAGATTGTCGTGTCCACTGCCACCCCATACATCCTGGCAGGCCGACTTGCATCACACACCGATCCTGGGAATCCCCTCATCAGGGATCTCAATAGATAGATGCAAGTAGGAGGAGCACTTAGGGTCCTTTACCCTCTCATCTGGGGAAACCAAGCTCAGGGCCGCAGTCAAATCGTTATGCTGGTGCAGACTATCTCTCCAAGGTCCTCAATTTGTCTCTGACCTAATAATACCAGACATGTGGAAAATAGATATGGCTCATCAGCTATTAAAACCAGGGAAGCCAGTCAACAAGGAAGAATTTCATTTCCTCTTCCAAGTAGCCGAGATTGTTGAGGCTTTGCTGCACCGAACTTTCACACACAAACTCAGTACAGCAACGATATTTTTAAATAAAAAAAAAATTATAAATTATTATAAAGTGATAATGATCATTTTTGTCTTGAGCTTTACCGATGTGTACCGGAAGCCAAAATTTTAAATCTCTACCACCTTTTTCGACTACAACTATTGTCATAATATACTTAACTCATTACTAACTGTACAGCTGCACAACTATACACGTAATATTATTCAAATAAAATAAATGTTTTCTGTTTACGGCTCACAAAGTTAATCCAACTTCGTCATTAAGCATATGACTTTAATGGTGGCGTATTTCTGCTTCCTAATGATCTTGCTTCTCTTCTATAAATTTTATTTATAGGTGGCTGCAATGGCTAAAAGGACGGAACGTGCCTAATGCCATAGCATAAGCAAAGAAAAACAGCATCAAAATGAAAGCAATTACTTTGCCTAAAGAAGTCTTGCTTGCTGGAATACTTATATTTTGTTAAAATACTAAATTAAAATACAGTAACAGGCCTATTCTGTCGAGGTAACAAAATTTACCAAGGTATTAAAATTTACCATTCAGTAAATTTTGTTACCATTTCGTATTCTGAGCTCACTGTTACCCTGTAAATTTTGTTACCAGCAAATATATCTGCTGTTTGATTATGTGTTGTAAGTTTGAGAAAAATTAAAAAATCAGAATGGGTAGGCATATTTTAGACCTTCATTGAAGATGAAGCAAAAAGCCATATTTTAAGAACTGGCAAATGCAATTTGACATGGACGAAAAAAGCAGTGCTGCCATTTTTTTTTCAAACATTGTAACCAGTTCGTCAGAGTACCAAATTCAATTTCGGGTGTTTTGGAAAAGTAACAAAATTTACTTTATCGGTAACAGTGAGAATAGGTCTGTCAGTAAATTTTGTTACCATTTCGTATTCTGACCTCACTGTTACCCTGTAAATTTTGTTACCAGCGAAATAGGAGGTAACAAATATATCTGCTGTTTGATTTTGTGTTGAAAGTTTGAGAAAAAATAAAAGACCAAAATGCGTAGGCTTATTTCAGGCCTGGAATTCATTGAAGATGAAGAAAAAAGCGCAAAAAGCCGAATTTTAAGAAATTTTCGAGGCTGAAAAATAGCCCTTTAATATGTAAGATAACGTTTTCGTTCAGTTTTTTTTGTTGTCCAGTCATATTTTCCATAATTAGGTTCAAATATTTATGATTTAATAAACAAATTAATAAAACATTCTATTTTTTTTGTGCACCATTTTCCATTTCGATGTGCATTTTTTCTTGTTACTTAATCAACTGGCAAATATAATTTGACATGGATGAAAAAAGCAGTGCTACCAAACATTGTAACCAGTTCGTCAGAATACCAAATTCAATTTCGGCAACAGTCAGAATAGGCCTCAATTAAAAAAAAAAAATATATGTTACGCAATACATCAGCACTTCTTAAAGAAGTCACCAAGAAATTGCTTCAAAGTAATTTGGCTCATCATTGTTTCTAGTCGCACCTTAAGAACGCGTTACGAATACAACAGTGCTTCTCAGTAGCGCAAAGGATTTTCCTAATGACATCCCTGGGTTAACAGCATGACGCAAAACTAAAAGGCGTTGTGCGCAGCTCTAATAGTACAATTACTCCAGAGGTATAGCAAAGTAACGTGTCAGCTGACAAAATTTATTTAAACAGAATAGGAAGCGATTATTCAAAATGTATTGTAAAGCTGCGTGTAGTAGAATTCCAGTTCGAATGCATTAGAGAATTATGAAGCGTAAAAAACTTGAATGTTCGGCAACATTTTTATTCGCCTTTCCTCAACCACTTTTTATATGTGATTACTCAATGCATACTTCGAAGACATCTGTAAAACCGCAACTCTCGGGGTAAGACAAAGCAAAATTCTTACATATATATGTCAATCAACTTTTAAAAACCCTTACTTTAAAACCTCAAATTACATACCCGGAAGGCAAACGCGAAAGTAACTGCTCGAAAAACTAAATATACTCACACATGTTTACTACACCCTATAATAGTATGACGAAAAAATTTGCTAAGAAAAGAAAATTAAACTACCAAGTTTGTTTCGACAGGACCAAAACAGTAACGCTGATTTCAAAAGATAACGAAAGGTCCTAATTCAGCTACCACTAATGCAAAATGGCGGCCGCGGTAGCCGAGTGGTTAGCATTGCATACTAACACTCGGAAGGCTCGGGTTCAAATTCCCGTGCGACCAACATCCGAGAGTTATAGGAAACTAATTTAAATAATAAATAAAGTTAAATTTTCTAATTGCGGTCGCCCCTCGGCAGGGAATGTCCACCTGTCCAAGTATATTTCGGACATGAAATAAAGGCTCCTCGTAAAAAAACCATTAGTCGTTCGGAGGCGGCTTAGTATAAACTGTAGGTCCCTCTATTTGTTGGAAAAAAGAGACTCAAAAGAACAAATTAGAGGAGCTCCGCCGAAAATCGCTTCAGCGGTTACAAAACGCCAATTATATATATAATGCAAAATATTAAAATCGATTCTAGCCTATTTTCCAGAAATTAATTTGTTTTGCTTTTCCTTTTACATCAGCGACTGCCAATAATAAAAATGGGAGTGTATTAGTGTGAGAAGATAGAATGTACTTGACGGTAATACTCGTTGTACCTTTTTAATCGTCAATCATTTTATTCTGCTTCTGGAAGCAAGGGAATGAGTGAATTGTACTATGAAATTGGGACTAATGATTTATATAGACATACGAATACATACCTTCGTACAAAAATTCAACCGAGCTGCACCATAAACAAAATTTTAGTAACATTTATTTTTTAAGCTCGTTGTCTGGCCCGGGACAGGAAATAATTTCAAGTAAATCGAGCCATAAGTAAGATTTTTTCCGGAAGAATAGGTAATACTCAAGATTAACCATGCAATGAGCTAGATATGTAACAAATTTGAAGAAAATCGAACCAAAATGACAAATTTTCCCCTTTCTTAAATTTATGAATGGAAATCGGTCCAAGTCTTTATGAACACACTATTTATTCACACAGTTTACTCTATTTTACTTTACATCGGTGTTGTCAATACCGAGTCCCAAAATCGACTTAACATGCCAGCAGAATAGGATTCACTTTTATGTAGCTACAGATTGCTTACATCTATCTTCTAAATGATTTTGTTAAAATGTTGTCGATAACGAACATTATCAGCATACATATATTATTTTGGAATTTCCGCCATAATATCTACTGTCAAAAGCCAAATGGAATATAAATAGATCGTCAGGATAATTCGCAATACCGTTTAATAAGCGTTTAATGCACAAACTTTATTTTCGCACCTTCTAGTACAGTTCGCTTTAGTTTTGACAGTTTTTATAGCAAAACCGGAAGGGTCATCATCTTTGGTAATTAAACCCAGTTTTCTTTAATATTTATAGAATAATTATGATGGTGATTCCATATATAAAAAAATTAATATTGCTTAAAGATGCCATTAAGATGAACATTTTTTTATAAAAAATTTAAAACAGCTCTGTTTTAAAATTATTTCAGATAGATGTTAGCCTTTTTAATTTTTTGTGAACTGGTTATTAGAAATTACATAACCATACCACATCCAATATAACTTCTAATCGGTTTCACCACGCGAAGGGAAGACATTTGACTCGTTCATTCGTCATTCAATTTTGAAAGTCGACCACTGTTGTAAGGGTTTGTTCGAAGTGAGTACACGGAAAATCTGCAAAGCTTCTTGGAGTAGAATTTTTTTTAATTTGCCACCCGCTGATTATTTAATCACCAAAATGTACTTGTGTAGAAGTGTATTATAAATTATTATTTTTATTTTTTTAATAAGTCTAATAATAAAATATGTACAAATTAAAGTACGTTCAACTTTTGTAAATTAAATTAAATTGATTTAAAGTGATTTGAAATTGTGTAAAATGTGATTTTCTTTTGACATTTTGGCCATTTTGGCATAAGTGTGTATATGTTTGTGAAAAAATGTCTACCATAGAAATACGAATTGGGACGAATACGAAACGAAACAGCACGATTACTAACGTCAACGGACGGCTGCGGTGAATTTGTCAGTGGAGCGAGATCATCGTAACGTTACGAAAGTGGTTCTGTGGGAAGACTATAATAATTGTAAAATAAAATATTTTCTATTAACTGTGTAAAATAATTAACGTTTACAAGCAGCTTTTTTGATTAGACCGATTTTCACTGTTTTAAATTTTGATTAATTTGCGTAAAGTTACGTATTTCACACCTGGTTGAAATTACGTAACTTTGCTGTGAATATAATCGTGTGGCAGAATTATATATTTTAACTCCAATAAGAATCTAAATTATTTTCTGATACATTACTAATGAATAATTTTTTCTTTACAGAGCACTCAGCGCTAGCTTCAATTTCAGGTTGATCTACGTACCAATATCATAATAAAATATACAAAATGTTCGTGTCAACAGTCTCCCGTATTGCCCCTGTCGCCAGGAATGTGGTAAGTCAACTTGTTAATATTCATATTATGTCAGTATTGTTAAAATTATTTGGCAAGATGAAAAAATTGGCTTACCAGCAATATTAATTACATAAGTATCCAAAAATCGATTTTTCCTCATTTTCTCCATTATCTTTCGAATGGTACGGTGTGGTGAACTTCAACTTTTGCGATGAAACATTACATAAGTTAAATTGAGGTTATGTTATAGCGGTGTTATACCCTCTTTTTTAGGATTAAACATTTCTTTTGTTTATATAAAGTGAAGATTTTAGAAGCGAAATATATATAATAATAATAACCTAAATATTTTTGATATCGTAATACCTTTCTTTGCTGATTAGATTAAGGAATTTGCTGACTAGATTTCGGGAACTTTTAATTTTTGTAATTCACAACTTTGATATTCATTATTACTGAAACCGGTAAAATCATCTTCGTGGCCAAAAAAATGCTTATTACTGTGTACAATAACACAATTTATTACCTAAGTTACAATAATAATTAATATAGTATTTTCACAGCTTCTTTCCTTTGGAAGTCTTATTTAAAACTAATCAATTCTAAAAATTGCACATGTGTCAAGTAAATTGAGTAGAGTAGTGAGAATTTTGTCAATTGCATAACCTTTTTACTTTTTTATTTCAATGCAAATGTGAACGCATTGTGTACATTACATAATTATGTACGCAATAATTTAAAACAAAAGTTGTTTTTATTATTATTATTATTATTATTATTATTATTATTATTATTATTAACATTATTATATACTAATAAAAAATCGAAAAATCTTATTAGTTCAGTTTAAAAAGAACTACATATATATCTCTGTTATTTTATTTTTTGTAGCTCCTTAACGGTTCAAAGCAATACTTGCGACCATTGAGCAGCGCTGTGATCAGTCAAAGCCAATCATTGGCCGCACAGAACACAACCCCCGTTGCACTACTGCCACAAATCAGGTCATTCCAGACCTCTCCAGTCACTCGTGACATTGATTCAGCTGCCAAGTTTATTGGTGCTGGTGCTGCAACAGTCGGTGTCGCCGGTTCCGGTGGGTATTGGAAGAGTGAAAAAATTAACTAAAGCGAAGGAAACTGCAAAGCTTGTTGTGCTTACTAAAATGAGATTTGTTTCAACAAAGTCAGTTGCAATCTAGCATCTGGGGCACACAAACGAGTATTTTCTAACAATGCCATTCACAACCCTTATTTGGGAAGTAAATGTGCTTTGATAGAATGTAGATTACTCTAATATAGCCTCGGGAAGGTCTGAGAGTTGGTCAAAGTTCATTTCAAACATGCTGTGGTGCGTGTGAACTTAAACCGATGCATTTTCTAGCAGGAAACTTGTATGATTAAGAGGCGAAGGGACAAGAAATTCTGAAAATTCCAATAGGTTTTAGGACCTTACGAATATTCATTGAAATCCTTTGTGACCAGCAATTTTAGTGCGATGTGCTTGCTGCATTCTATGCAGAACTCAATTCAGACTAATCTGTGACTGACTTCATTTAAACGAATACAAATGGTAGCCATATATGCTTGCATGTTCCTTCCGCATGTAAGTTTCTTAATTATCATTACTAATTTATTTTTTCTTTTATTTTCTTTATTATCCTTCCAATACAAACAGGTGCTGGTATCGGAACAGTGTTCGGTTCCCTCATCATTGGTTATGCCAGAAATCCATCATTGAAACAACAGTTGTTCTCATACGCTATCTTGGGTTTCGCCTTGTCTGAAGCTATGGGTCTGTTCTGTCTTATGATGGCCTTCTTGCTGCTCTTCGCTTTCTAAAGTGTTTGATCATTGAAAGTTAATAAACAACAGTAACAGCAACAACACCAGCTCCACCATTTATTGTTTTTAGAAAACATCCAAGAATAAAACACGTTTATTTAAGTTTAAAACGAAAATAAAATACTATAATAAAAAAAACTAGAAATGTGCAAAATCCGTTAACTAACAGAGGCGAAAAAGTAACCTATCGAAAAGAAAGAAAGCAGCCAGTAAATTGTAATCGAAACATAAAGTATAAATGTTATCTGCGCATCGAATAACCTACAGATCGAAAATGGCGAGTCTGTGAAACCAATTCTGATTCGACTTGGCAGAGTGGAATAGTCACGATCACATACAACTATTTAAGCAAACATGTATGACTTTTCTTGCATGTTCTGTAAAGGAATCTAAAAGCCAGACACCAGTCAACAAAAACAGTTTTAAGCTTTACACCTGCCAATATATGCATTTTACTCATTTTTATGTATGTGTATATTGTGCAAGCTTAAGTTTTGGAAATTTCTGTGTCTATGGAACTTTGCTCCCTCAGCGCTCTCGTTAAACAACTAAGATATGTAGTAAAGATTCAAGTAGTCATGGAAATTTAAAAATATTTATTTAAGTTTGTATGTTAAAATCAGATTTATATATGTGACTTGTGCAGATGCTAAAGTTTTTATATACGTAAATTTCCGCATAGGCACCATCAACATATTGTTGCGCCTATGCATTTCTTAGAGAAATTAAAATACAAATGAAAAGAATTGAGTCCTTTAAGCCTATAATATTTTACTGCTCATTTAATTGTAATCATACAAGATTGTCGCATAAGGCAGGAACTGAATAAAATCAAGATGGAATTCATGAATGGTAAAAAAAAGATTCTGGTATTTTCATTAATTGTGCCCCTAGCCCATAAAACGTTCTATCTTTTTGAATTTTGCTTCACTAATGGTACAAAGTTAGTTAACTTGAATCTCTTAGAAAATAGCCCCTTAATTAGCGGAACCATTGCTGTGTGGACGTTTGTTATGCCACAGTTGTGTGTTTAGTAAACTGAATCTATTTGATGGCTGGAAAATTAGTATGTCTACGTAATCACATAATATTTCAGAATGGAAGATATCTCAACTCTATTGAAACAGTCCACAGCTGATTTCAAAATGTTTTAGACAAAGAATGTTAACATTCAGTGAGAAATGATAAATTTAGTTTAGAGAATATAGAAGTAAAATGGCTTAAAGCAGCGTTCCAAAAGGACGTATTAATAGATCTGACGAATTTGCCTTCCATCCATCCTCATGAATTGAAAAATTTATTTACCAACAATGAAACATAGAAAAATAATTATTATATAAATAGAGATAAAAAGTTTTGCTTAAAACTCGTAGATAAAAAAAATTAAAATAGCCGATTCGCTGCCGCTGTTCTTTGAATTCGCCTAATATGCTTTGTAATCATTTTAATGTTCTGGCATCTCGGATTGTCAATCAAAATACAGCTCTGTGTTTTTAGTGTCATTGTAAAGCGACAGTGCACGTGCAGCATTTGTTTTTAAATTATTTGCAAGTTTCATTTGGATAAATTCGTAAAAATGAAAAGAAAGCCACAACTGGAAGCTGAAACAGATTCCGAATATTATTCGGATGACAATTCGGACGAAGAGGTGAATTAATTTTTTAAATTAACTTCTAAATTTTAAATAAATTGTAATTATTTTTATAGCTGCAAGAAGCGTTTGCTCGTGGTGACCTTAAGCCGGGCTTAAATATTGAGTTTAATGCAGGAAAAGAGAAAGTCAACGATATAGTAAGTAAAATAGTAAATATGAAAAAGTTACATATATTCAATTTATAATTCTTATAGCCCAAGCTGTTATCAAAAGCTGATGAAATCAAATTAGATTTGCCATGGGTAGAACGGATGGATATGATCAACGATTTAGCACCGTTGGCACCAGAATTAGTCATACAATTAGAAAAGCATGAACAAAAGCGGGAAAATATGTTTAAAGGCAATGCTAAAATTCCATATGTACGTCCCGAGGAAGATCCTGTGCTTAATGATTTCAAACGTGAAATGCTATTCCATCGTCAAGCTCAAGCCGCAGTCTTAGAAGGTATAAAACGTTTACATGCAGCTGGTATTGTTACACGTCGGCCAGATGACTACTTTGCCGAAATGGCTAAATCAGATGAACACATGCAAAAAGTTCGAAAAAATCTTATGGCCAAACAGGAGGGTCAAGCAAAGTCAGAACGCATTAAACAAATTCGTGAACAGCGTAAAATGGGCAAATTGCTGGCTAAACAAACAAAAGTACAGAGAGAAATGGAAAAGAAAGATATGCTAGACAAACTTAAAAAATTCAGAAAGGGAAAGCTTAAAAATCTGGATTTTCTTGAGGATGCCAAAGCTTTAGAATCACAAAAGAAGAAATCAGCAGATAAACGTAAGCAGCGCAATAAAAAATTCGGGTTTGGTGGAAAAAAGAAGGGTCTGAAACGAAACACAAAATCATCGGCTGGCGGATATGAAAAGGTCAAAAATTTCAGAAAAGGATCAAAAGCGTCCAGCAGCGGTAGCAAGCGTCTCGGTAAATCCCGCCGGGTTAAAGCTAAATCAAAGAAGTAAATTTTTTAGTAATCTTAGGTAAGGCTTATTATAAATAAATATTAAAAAAAAAAATAAAAAGTAATGTGTTACTAATTTTTATTAATCATAACTCATTTTGTTTTTTAATTTTTTTGTTTTGGTTTTTTTCTCTGCATCTTTGTCGATAATTTTCGTTTTCTTCATTTCAGTAGTTGCAGTTCTTAGTTCTTCGGCGGTATCCGCGTTGGCCATCAAATTAATATTAGACTCATCTTGTTTTCTCTTATTTTTATTTTTCTTTGTTTTTAAATTGTTTCCCTTTTCCTCACTTAATTCAGAACCGTGTTCCATGGCATTCTCTTCTGATGAGTCCGAAATTTGCATATGTTTGTTTTTATTTTTCTTAGATTTTTTCCTGCTTTCTTCTTCGGGGATCGAGTTGGTTTCTGTTCTTTTCTTTTTTCGATTGTCTATGGGATTCAGATCTAGAGGTACTTGGGATTTCACATCACTTAGCTTCCTTTTACTTTTCTTCAGCTTATGATTTTCCCCAATATTTGACTCTTCTTCAACAGGATCAAAGACTTTATTTTTCTTCTTTTTAGACAATTTTGTAATGCTTTCTGAAAAGCAATGATAATCAACTCTGTCCTCCGATTCAACTTTGTGAATTGTATCCTTGTGTTTCTTCTTATTGTTGTCACTGCCACTTTCATTCGATTTATTATCTGATTTCTTTCTCTGTGCCTCCATTTTTGCTAAAAGTTCCCGCTCCTGTTGCTCTATACGAGATAGTTTGCCACTTAATTTTAATCCATGCCTTGCTCCTTTGTGTGCTGTTCTCCCACCGCAGGCACGAAATAGTTCTTCATCGGTTAAAGTTTTATATTGCGTTACCGATATATCAGCAACTGCAATTTTGTGGGGGTTTTCAATTTCATCACCAGATTTCGTAAGTGTAGCTGATTGTAGAAAGTTATCGTAACGATTGTCATTTGTGCTACGTTCCTTTTTGGCTTTCTTAAATTTTTTAAGTGAGTATCCTTTCGTTGAGATTTCTACACCATCATCTTTATTTTTTAATTCTACACTTACGCCATTCTCGTTTGCCTTTACGTCTACATTGCCTGCAGCTTCATTAAAAACCCGCTCCCACCAGTGGTTATTGAAATCACTTGCTGCTTGATCTGAACCAAGACCGGCATTGTCGAATTTCATACTCGCCCTAAGTGGTTTTGCAATGCCATCATTATTCTTCCCCAAACCATCGCCTTCCTTCCAGCCATACTTGTTCAATATTTTACGTGCGAAATCCATAGCAAATCGTATTGTTTATTTATTTATATTTTTTGAAGGAACGTGTTCAGAGAAATGTCATAATTTACTTAAAGAGAAAATGCTGCCAGATTAAAATATAGAAGTGGTGGCCGGGCTGCTAGATTAATTAATTTTATGTATTGTTACGATTTTACTAAATCAACCTCGATTATTTTCTAGATCCTTCGGGTACGATCTCTGGATTGTTAAATAAAAACTCGCCAATTCAATTTGCAGTTTCTTTCGTTATAAAGAATTTATCTAATGTCTTTTATTTACTCCGTAATTCACAATACAATTACAATACACTCTACTATTTACAATCACTATCATCAACTTGCACAATTCACTCTACTTAAATGTACTCTCCAACGTGTTTACTTTACGACTTTACTGATGTTAACGCCAACGAGTTTACTTTATCACTAACTTGACTTGCAGCTGAGTGTCGCCTTTATATAGCAGTCGGCTGCTCGCAGACGAAAGCGTAGAAGCATCGAATTGTTCGCTATGGAAGGTTCTTGTTTTATCGTTTCTAGAATGGTCTAGTTATCGACTTCTCTCTTTCATCTGACATTCGCCTCGCATTTTCGCAACAGTATTCAAATTTATAAAATATGCGCGATTATCATTGCCTTAGGAAGTGATATGAAAAAGAGCATTGTTACAGGCCTATTCTTACCGAAATCGAATTTGGTATTCTGGCGAGCTGGTTACAATGTTTGATGAAAAATAGACAGCACTGCTTTTTTCGTCCATGTCTAATTACGTTTGCGTTGATAAAATAAAAAGAAAAATATTCACATCAAAATGGAAGACAGTGCACAAAAAACTTAAAAAGTTTTAATGAATAAATTAATTAAATCATAAATATTTGAACCTAATTATTGAAAATATGCCTGGACAACAAAAAAAGCTTCAATGAATTCCAGGCCTAAAATATGCCTACCCATTTTGATTTTTTATTTTTTCTCAAACTTACAACACAAAATCAAACAGCAGATATTTTTGTTGCCTCCTAATTCGCTGGTAACAAAATTTACAGGGTGATAGTGAACTCAGAATACGAAATGGTAACAAAATTTACTGAATGGTAAATTTTAATACCTAGGTAAATTTTGTTACCTCGACAAAATAGGCCTGTTAATGTGATCAGTCGAAAATCGGCGTATCTGATTTTTTCTTCAACATGCGACCGTAAAAAAAATTTCAAAAGTGTTTGTTTACGCAAAAATTTTGGTTTCTGTCATATTTTATTCATCTTCTCAAAAAAAAAAAAACAAAAAACATCGTTATAGTTCATACCACGATTTGTATAATCTTGTCGTGTTTTTTCACAAACTGCAAAAAAAATTGAGTTTTGTCACTCTCTTGAAAACAAAGGAAATACCAAAATTTTTTTAATTTAATCATCTCGTATTATTTATTTTTTACTAGAAACAGCTATGCATCGCTAACGGAAACAGCAGTAATGCCCACTCTCATTTAAAAATGCCAATATATTTACAAATTTGTAAACTTTAGTGTAATTTTTATTTTTAAAGTCATATATTTCTGTGTCTTTATGTTGTTTATATAAATAAAAATAAAACAAAATTTCCTTTTTTCAGCTTCCTATCAAAGTTGTACTATCATCTTGCTGAGCTTTTGAGTCAAAATTGATTGAACAGCTATTTAGTCTATGATAATCAGCCAGTCGTTAAGAGTGGCCTAAGTAGGCGCGGTTTAAAGATTACGAGAGTAGTAGTTCAATTAGTTTTTAATTACTATGAATTTCAAAATATTTACATTTCTATTAACCTTATTTGCGTTAATAATATCAACTCTAACCATCAATATAGCACCAAGAAAACAGACTAACAGTATAGAGTACTTAAGAAGATCACCTCGTCAAATCGATATAAATTTATCAGCTGAACATGATGATAAGGAGGATGAGACGGAAATAGCATTGGAAGCCATAGCCAATTTATGGCGCAGTGCTGATAGCAAAACTCAGATTGAAGGATCGGCCAAAGTGGTGCACAACAGCAATGCATTAAATACGGGAAACACTCGATTTTCAGGACGTTTACATGTGCATCACGATTACAAAAGGAAGTAATGTTCTTATTAATGGACTACAGCGTTATATAACTATATGTTAAATAAATTTAAAAAATGAATAATCGAATACAATCGTATTTTAATAGTTATTATTTTCTTTTAAATACAATTACTTAGTGCAAATTAAAAATAACCATTAACACTTTTATATATACTAACATAAATATGTATATATGAATGAATGACAATACATATATGTATTTATAAACAGCGATTAAAGTTTTCAGAACATTGAGACCGACCTAGCTGTTATCATCACGGTGATAAGACATTCTGTATAAACCCGGTTCTTATTTAAACGGTGTGTTTTCATGTAAACAGCTAGAAACTTTCTAAGAACAATGAGCAAATCAATTCCTTATATCACTATTTTAATTTTTGTAATGAGCTTAGCTCTTACGTTTTCTGAAGAGAAAGCAGATTTAGAGCTGAATTTTAAACGATTACGCCGCCAATTTGATTTAACTCTGGCTGCTGAACACGACAATCGTCAACAACAAACTGACATATCACTAGAAGCTTTAGCTAATCTATGGCGCAGTGCAGATAGTAAAACTACGTTTGACGCTGGAATAAAAGTGACTCATAGCAAGAACGCTTACCAAATGGACAACACAAAGTATAAGGCTCGTCTTGATGTGAATTTCGAGCTTGGAAGAAAGTAAAATTTGAATCTCAAGATTGGAATAAGCTTCAAATGTAATATATTTCAAGCAATAATTTAAGCCTATATTTAGCAATTAATTTAATTAATTAATTAAGAAATATATATGTATATACATACACTACTCATATAGGAGTTTTCGCTTAGCAATATTATTAAATACATAAATAAATTCAAATTTATAGTTTTATACGCTTTATATCATCCATGCGGAAATCTATACGTAATGCAAGCAAAATCCGTACTTCTTGAGGTGTTAAGCGCCATGATGGTGTTTCATTCTCATTCTCTGGTCCCCAATACTCTGTCAGCTCATCGACCTTTTCTAAATTCAATATCGTTGCTATCTGCGTTAAACGTGTCATTTTATCGCGCACAGACCAAGATGTGACACCAGTCAAGTATGAGCTGAGTGCACGAATTTCTTGATCGAGTATGAGTCCACCTAAACGATTGAATGAAGTCTTCTTGATAGCCCTTTCCAGTCTGGCTGTAGTATCTGTTGCTAATATACTGACGAAAGCGTCGAAATTACGTGGTGTTAACACATTTTTGAATTGACTCAAAAAACCGTCAAGTTGTACAATGAGTGTCTGTATGAAAGTTTCACCAGCCTCATAATCAGCAAGTTCTTCTTCGGATAAAATATGACTATAGTTAAGAAACTGATCAATCCAAGGATTTAGACGAGGCTTAACCGCACTTGATCTTAATTGTGTCATACCGAAATTAACGCACGCCTTTAGAGTATCTCGAACAGTGCGTAATTCCGATATACAACTATCTACAATTCGCTGCTCGGTTACGGATAATGTTGGGAATGTATTTTTAATATCCTGTTCAATTGTTTCCCACAATGTTTCGAGAAACTCTGTTGACATGTCGGCATTATTTAACCGATTGATAAAATTGCTACGTGCTTTCTCACTGTCGCTTGATTGCAATTTTCCATGTTGCACTGCACTTTGTATAGCACTGTAAGCTAAGTCTGTGTAGCCAGATGGATAACCGTTTTTTAAAGGCACCTTCAGCGCGTTTATGAAATTGTATAGACAGGATGCGGTATTGTTGATTACGGCACACAAACCATTTACGGATTGCGTGGTCAGCGACCGACGAATACATTTTCGCAATATATAGAAAACGTCATCCACCATTGAGGAACACTGTTGTCCAACTTCGAAAGTGTCCAAAGTAATTGCCTTATTCACACTTTCCTCCATAAAGTGTCGCTCTAAAAGAAGATAATTACTCAGCAGTTCTTGCATTTGACGACTAAGCCCCGAATTATTTAAAAGAGAATTTAGGCGTTGAGTCTGACGCTCCTTTTCAACATCTTCAACATTGCTTGCGTCAATGTCCAACTTGACCTTGCGCCTTAAAAATCGGAAATACAATTCTACTCGAGAGTGCATAATAGTTAGCTCCACAATGATAGGATCAATATCTTTAGGTTGTGGTTTATCGGCATTTACAGATTGTTTTTGATACTGACTAAGTGATGGCATATTTCCACCTGTAGCACGGTTGTATTCTTTAATTTGCTGAATTAGATCATTTATGCGTCTATTTTTGTTAAACTCCAAAACAACATTTTTTACTTCCGAATCACATTCATTTTGTAACAATATCGCTAGTATAATAAGATATCCCGAACCGTAATGAGCTTCTATAATTGGTTTATTTACTTCAATTACTCGTGCAAAATTCTCTAGCAAAGTTGTTAAAGTGTCTGCAAATGCCACTGGCAAGCGATTTTCCGACTTTGCAATATCTAATGAAGTTCGCAGCTCCTTTTCCGATTTGATTGCTAATTTCGTACAAATGTATTTACCGAATTTCTCAATGCCATCGTAGTGTATGCCCAATAGTGGAAATAATTTCAAAAAACGCTCCACGGAAGCTAAGTCATCTTTGTTAACAGCCTCATCGAATCGTATTACTACAAGTTTGCGCATTTTTTCCGTAGCATTTTCAAGTGTGCGAACAGCATCGCTAACTGACGTTACGGATCCACTTGAACCGACATCACCAGCCGTACGCTGCAGTACATTTTGATCAATTGACAAAAAACGGCCAATAAGTGCAGATCCTTTTTCATAATCCTCCTCTTCAATTGCTTTTAAAACACCCTGGCTGCATAGTTGTAGATCTATCAAATCGTGTACGCGTTGCTGACATTCAGATGCGCGGCTTCGGGCCAAATCTACACAGCGCACCTTGGCACTAACAGATTCAGCTAAATTAGCAGTATGTGAAATTTGTGTACTTAGCTTTTTAGTATCTGCTACTACCGTGTTCAAAGTTCCAAGAAAGTAACAAATCGCTCCCATCTTTGATTCAATCAATGACTGCTTAGACAACAGATTTTCGAGATTGGTATCGATGTCATTTTCCTCCTCCGCTATTTTGCGTAAAGTTGTCTGAATGCTCTCAGGAGTACTGACATCGATAGTAGTGGTAGTGGCCATTTTTTAAACCAAATAGTTTTTCTCTAGTTGCACGAATTTTTTATAGGACCACAGATTTTTGCGTTTTTGTCGAGTCGGCAATGTAAACAAATTCGATATCATCTGGTATCGATGATCGAAAACACTCTGATGAGTTAACAGCTGGGGAGTTAAAGGCTCATTCACATACAAGTAATTTCATCTTGCATAACATAATTTAAATACTTGTATATCAAAATGAAATGAATTATCGTGTGATTTGTTTCCATCTGTTATGTTTAAAGGAAGTGTGAAAAGTGTAATGTTGGGCAGAGCTTCTTCTGAACTTTTCAGTTCGTCCTAACTACTCTTTATGTGTTCTTACGCATATATCAAACAAACCTGCTATATATAATCGTAACTTTGGACTCAGTTAAATATGAGCTTTGGGTTGCTTTAAATAGTAATGTTACGATTTTACTAAATCAACCTCGATTATTTTCTAGATCCTTCGGGTACGATCTCTGGATTGCTAAATAAAAACTCGCCAACTTAATTTGCAGTTTCTTTCTTTATAAGAATTTATCTAATGTCTTTTATTTACTCCGTAATTCACAATACAATTACAATACACTCTACTATTTACAATCACTATCATCAACTTGCACAATTCACTCTACTTAAATGTACTTTCCAACGTGTTTACTTTACGACTTTACTGATGTTAACGCCAACGAGTTTACTTTATCACTGACTTGACTTGCAGCTGAGTGTCGCCTTTATATAGCAGTCGGCTGCTCGCAGACGAAAGCGTAGAAGCATCGAATTGTTCGCTATGGAAGGTTCTTGCTTTATCGTTTCTAGAACGTACTAGTTATCGGCTTCTCTCTTTCATCTGACATTCGCCTCGCATTTTCGCAACAGTAATTTATTTTATTTGACAGGTAATATTGGGTATTGCAGCATTTTCAACTTTGGTAGCAAACAAAAATTTGGAGCCAGATATTTTTTATTTTGGAATGGCGTACGTAACAGTTACGTGGTAAAGCTAATATTTCCTTACCAACCAAAATAAAAGCTTTTAGCCAAAAACTCAGTTGAACCTTTTCTTTTGTCATAATCTCGATTGCTTTCGCTCTGTTCTCAAAGTTTTACCCGTTAAGCGATGCGAAGCGAATTTTTGTTTTAGCCTTAATCAACACTGTCTGCTTTGTTCGTTTTATTACTTATTTTGTTCTAAATTTTAAATCAGATTAAACTCAGAATTTAAAAAGTAATTGGATTTATTGTAAAGTAGAATTTCTTTCTTTCAATATGACCGCTCATCTGGCTAATGTTTATGCATCTTTATTACGGCGATATGGCGAAACATATACATTACTATATACAAAACCTTCTACATATTTGACGAAAATAGTTGGAGCTGATGGATTTGGCGGCAAAGTGGTATTTATTTATCAAGAGGTTTGTGTAATAAATTCGGTAAAAATTAAAGAAATATTTGTAAATATTTTCGTATTTATTTTTTTTTTTAGAATCGTAATAATAAAGCTGATTATGCTTCTCCACCGAAGTTGATATTGAAAAAAGAAGATAATGCAACAAATGTCGACTTAGATCTTACGGGTAGCCCATTGAAAGATGACTGTGTAGTGGATGCTATTGAAGACATGTCTTTAAATATAAAGTTGTTGGCACAAAACCCTTGGCAATTACAGGAAGAATGCCATAATGGACTTAGTGTGGAGAAAGCCCGTGGTATAATATGCAAAGAGGAATTTCAATGTGTAGATCCTGATGCAAAAGGTTCCATATGGATACTTTGTAACGCCGCTGACAAGGAGAAAACCTTACTACTAGAATATGAATTTATTCCAGGCTTTTTCAGTCGCGGAATAATTACATATAATGGGATAGTACATGTTAATGAAGTAAACACGCAATCGCTTATGCGACAACATTTGGCTCTTATGAATAAATTAAACTCGCCGTCAGTGGAAACTTCTATAGAGAATATATATCAGATCAAACCTTACATTTCTGTTCGCTGTGGTTGGACATCTACAGCACCATTGCCATCCTTAATAGATCTAACATCATGTGATGTTACTTTAAGTCAGACCTTTCGGGTTAATGCTTGCAATGACCTGACTGAAGATTTTATGAACCAGTTGCGTATACTTACTGTAATTAAGAATGATATTACAGCTTATAAAAATTTGGATAATGCAGATATAGAGGCACGCAACGCAGCACTTGTCTACCGTTGTGGTTGGTGAGTTTTTACAATTAAAAATTACTTTTAATATTATATGTTAATAACTTTTGATACAGTGGCATTGAAATGGATGAACTGCGTGAAAATATAAGCAAAGCAGTTCGAGAAATTTCTGGCTTCTGCGAGATAGACTCTGCAGAGGACGGCTTCGAATACGACATTGAATCAGTGATACAACGCGTTAAATTCAGGAAACCTAAAGATCTCACAGACAAATTATGGGATATAATGAAACGTAAGTTATTTTTATCAATTTAATAAAAAATACAATAGTTATGAATTATTTAAATGATTTGCTAAACTTTACTAGGTTGCTCCTCATATAAAGATTTAAAAATGGCATTTACATTGCTCTTTAAATGTGCTGCTCATTGCAATATTGTGGTAAGAATGTTTAGTTTTGAGTTAACAAAAAAAATCATGTACTACTTACAACCTAAAATCTATTAGCTGTTAAAGTATTGCATTTAAAAAATAAAGATACACTCAACAGCTTAGTAACAACAAAATAAAAATATAAAAAATAATCCTATAATTGTTGAGAAAGAAAATAAAAATAAGCTCATAAGTACAAATTTGATTGAGCTTTTCTTTCCAATTTTCTTTCTCTTTTTTCTTTTTTAAGAATACGCCAACCAACAAGAATCGGCTAGCAGAAATCATTACCGAGGTTGCAAATCGTCGTTTGGCCATACCATGCCTCACGGGCACTGAACCATTAGAATTGTTATTGGAAATTGGATTGGAAAAGCTGTACAAAGACTATGAGCTCATATTTGACGAAAGCAAAATATGTAGCGCCACCGATTTGAAAGGCAGAAGGTGATGATGATTACAAGTCTTCGAACATATTGATCCATTATTATTGCATATGTGATGTCATACCTGGTGTTATGTACACATTTTTTTTTAATAGTATTTGTACTTTGCTATTTCATTCCTTTTTTTTTACAGTCTATTTGAATTGCGCCATAATGATGAGAATGGGACAATGCCGAATGTGCGCATGTCACTGCGCAATGCTGTGCGTCCGGACACGTTGGCGATGCGCAAGACATTGTTACATAATAAAACGAAAGGAGGTGATAAATTCGAGCACAATGAAACGATCGGATTTAAGAACAGCTATTTTGAAGAGACCGAGGTAGCTGAACGTCTGGCAAAACTGTTGCAAGTGCATTGTGCTTTGGAGCATATGCTTATGATTCATGTCAATTTGAATTTGAGCAATGGTAAATGCTTTTTATTCTTTTTCTTTTAGTTAATTATATATGTATGCACTATACTGTGCTTAATATGCTCTAGTTTATAGCGATGTATGTGAGCAACTATTGAGCAAGCCACCACGGTTTCTAGATAATATTGATGAGAGCTTATCAGATGAAATTGAAATTTCCTTGTCAGCGCATGATGTGCGTGACTATTTGGAAGAGTAAGTTTAATAAAACATCTGTTTTAAATGTGCATATTAATATATATATATATATATATTATTTTTTTTTAACTTTCAGCAAAGATCCGCATGTGCGTCGTATATCGATGCGTTCCAAAAACAAATTACGTGAAATAAAATCGACTTTCTACTATAGTATGGATAATATTTGCCCGCCAAATATATCGGAAAATTTTGAAACTGATGGTGACTGGAAATTTTGTATTTAATCTAAATATATATATTTTAATAGGCTTTAAATTTACAGAAAAAGTAATCGGTAAAGAGAATACATACTACAGTTGGATTTATCGTAAAATTAAGACATTGCATTAAGGGCTTATAAAAGAGAAAGCAATAATTTGCGATGGCAAAATTTTGATAAATACATAATAAAATAAATGAAATATGATATGAAGTATGTAACATATACATAATAAAATAAATCAAGTTGCCAACTTTATTTATTATTCCAACCACTTTTATTTACTTTGTCCAATTGCATTCCCTCTGGTAGGTTACCTTACCACTTGTGGTAATATATTTTGTTTTGTTCTCAATATTCTAAACAAGTATTTATAGCTAAAGTAAGTAAAAATTAAAACAATTCATCAAAAGAAAGTGATATTTTGCCTTCAGCCTCCCTCTAATGGTAATTTCCAGACGAAACTCAATACAGCATAGACAGACGCAAGCTTGTGCGTGTGTCGACTTGACACTAACGAATATGCGAAAAATAAGTACATACATATGTGCAAAATACGAAAATATCCGAACAATGCACTGCAATATGGTCCAATCCAATTAGTGTGCAGGTTAAGCTGCTTTTTTTTTAAGTATTTGAGGTTTACTTTTGAGCAGCCAACTATCAGAACGATATTTGCAGTGTTGCGGACCGGACGTGTTTCAGCATTAAAAGCAAATGCCCCCTTTAGAAAAAAGAAATAATTGCTAAAAAATATCTACTTTATTGAGAAACAAAATAGTCCTTAAGTATCCTGTTTCAGTGACGGAAGTGTATCCGGTTTAGTAAATACGATACGAAGGAAAAAAGTTCAATAAAAGAGATATAAGGCAACCGGCATTCCAGTTAGCATGCACAACTGATCAAAGAAATTAACGGAAAAAGAGTGCAAAGAAGTGATTGAAATTGAAAATATAGCATTTGCATTATCCTTGCTACTAAAGTCAAATAAATAAATGCAAATGCTGTTTATGGTGTAAAAAAGAAAAACAAAAAATTAATAATGGTATGTGTGATAATAAGGACTAAAGGATATTCTCTGCATGATATATTTTTAAATTTTCTGTGAATTCAGACGTTAAAAGCCAAATAGTTAAAGCCACACAATTTCTTTAAATATCCACGAATTTTGTATGCGAAAAATATGAAATTTATGTTGCACTTGTATGGTTTCGGTGATATTTTCAGTGCACACGTGAAAGGATTATAGTATTTTGCAAGAATTGCATTAATTTTAGCGAAAACAGAATCAAGGATACTTAGTTTTTACATTGTTTTAACCGAAAACTATGTGTGTATGAATGTATGTCAAATTAGATAAATGCTAAAACTTTGATATTGCGGTATATTTCTAATAATTATAATAAGGAGTCCTGCTCGGTGTGCTGTTGGGCAGTAACAAGCAACAAAAAGACAAGCAGCCAGTAAAATTCGCATTGAGAGCGCTTAATTTTGACATTTATCGCTAAACAGCGCTAACAAATGATAAAATCATAATGTATTTTACTAGAGGTCCTTCAGACTTGTTAAAGTTCATGGTTGAAAAATTAAGAAATTTAAATGACAGTTTCTGCGGGGAAGTTTAATTCTAATATGACTATTAGCTAATTTAATTTGTTAATTAAAATTTTGCTAAATAAATTTTGAAACATTTACATTTATATATGTACATATAAATAATACATTTATAATATATATAATATATATAAGGTAAAAAGTTCGTTCGGTTTTTATTAATGATTTTTCAAAATATGATAACTTTCAAATATGCGCCGTTTTGTTCGTAAACTTGTAGCCAACGAGATGCCAACTTCATTATACCCCTCTCGAAGAAGGTTGCCTCCCTATTGGCAAAAAAGTCGGAGAGCCCATTTCACAGGCCTCTATTGAGGCCAACCTCTTACTATTAAGCACGTTCGCCATGGACAGGATAAGATGGTAATTACTTGGTGCCAGGTGCCGACTATAAGGTGGGTGCATCAGGACCTCCCATACGAGCTCCTGGAGCTTCTGCCGCATCACCAAAGACGTGTTGTCCTGATGGAACTCGGGCTCTGTTGATCGAAGATGGCCTCTTCTGGATGAGTGCTGCCTTCAAGCGGTCCATTTGTTGGCAGTAAAGAGGCGAATTGGGCGTTTGACCATAGGGGAGAAGCTCGTAGTAGATGATTCCTTCCCAATCCCACCAAACACACAGCAAAACGTTCCTGGTCATCAATCCGGTCTTGGCCACCGTCTGGGCCGCTTCCTCGAGCTTTCACCACGACCGTTTGCACTCGGTGTTGTCGTAAGTGACCATTTTTCATCGCCAGTCCCAATCCGCTTCAGAAACGTGTCGATTTTGTTGCGATTTAGCAGCGATTCACAGATGGAAATTCGGTCCATCTTGTTTTTTTTTGCGTTAGTTCGTGTGGCAACCAATCATCGAGCTTCTCAATTAAATGAGTGCTCACGTGACGGTCTGCTTCCACTATTTCTATGATTTTATCGCAATTTTCGACGACAGGCTTCCCGATGCGTGGTGCATCTTTGACATCGAAATTACCGTAACCGAACCTAGCTAACCACTTTTGTTTACAGTATCGGGCCCATAAACTAATTTGAGTTTTTATCCGCTTTGACTGCTTTTTCGCCTTGATCGAAGATAAATTGTAAAATTTAACAAATTTTCTCTTTGCTGGTGTCCATCTTTGAAGAGCGCTCACAACGTACTGAGCCAATAAATCAAAAAATTGTCAAAGACAAACTTTTAGCGCGAATAAACACGTTTTCAGCGCCGTATAGTTTGACATGATGCGATACGTAACACTAGTACTACGGACAATAACGCCATCTCTTAGATAAAAACCGAACGAACTTTTTACTTGACCAAATATATACCAATTTTCATGAAAATCGAACGATTTAAAATTAATTTCAATTTTTCCGAAAAGATCCGCATAGGCCCACATCTCTTAAAATCCTTTATTAACTCCTTGATCTTTTAGTCATTCAGGACAAAGGCTTTTATATAAAAATATGAGAGATTTTTTTTCCAGAAAATCCTTGCTTTTATTCTGGTATTCAAGGATAATAACGAATATTTTTTATTTACGACGTGTTTCGCTCAATTCATTGGCAGTTCGGTATAGTCTTTTATCCCTTGCTTCATGCATTCATTCAGCTTTCAATTCGCTTGCAACTAGTAATGCTTTAAAAGCTTTCCGACTATTTATTTCATATGCAAATATATACTATGCCTTTCATGAGATGCTAAAAAGAGATTTTTACGATATAAATTCTACTGCAACCCCTAAAGTACGTCAGCCGACATTTGACTGAACAAACACAACTTCGCTTGATCTAATAGGCCCGAAAAGCCAATTGATGCAAAATTCAGCCGCGATGTTATAGCAGAGATATTACTGAACTCATCTCAATCTCCGTATTCACTTCTACCAATGCATTTGAATATTTATTTTCCACTTTTTTCAGGGGTTGGAATTCTTTTTTAAATTTGGCTATGCCTTCCTCATCATAACACTAATGATAATGATATGGATGTCCTTGGCGCGTGCCTCCATGCATATGTATGAAATGGATGATACACGCTACCCACCATGCACACAGAACGCGCTATGCACATGCTCGAAATCGGCGCCAGACTTGGGCATAGTGCATTGTAAGAATATACCATTTCCAGCGCTGCCAAAAATGGTGAATGAATCGAAGGTACGTATTATTACTCAGCACCAGCATTAATTAATTAATTAAAATTGTGAAATATATAGAAAACTTTTGCTAAGTTATTATGCTAAGGAAAGTAGCATACTTTTAGGCGCACAACTTATTTCTCATAACAGAATGAATTGTCTGACTTGAGCTTTCACTACAAAACCTAAAATTGCATACATTTTAAAAAAGCTCATACATACCGTTTATGGAACATATTTTAAATTGTCAAACAGGTCTTTTCGTTGCATATGGAAAATACGGGTTTACGTGAAATTGAATCCTACTTCCTACAATCGACAGGTTAACAATTCTCATATTATTTTCCACAAACGTTTTCTCAAACTTTGAATTCGTTTCACTTTTAGGCATGTATCGTTTGAAAATATCTGGTAATCATCTGACGGAAATACCCGATGATGCTTTTACGGGGTTAGAACGTTCGCTATGGGAGTTACTCTTGCCACAAAACGATCTCGTAGAGATACCATCGAAAGCAATACGTCATCTGCAGAAATTGCGTCATCTCGATTTGGGTAATAATCATATAACACATGTGCAACATGACTCCTTTCGTGGTCTGGAGGACTCACTACAATGGCTGATTTTACGCGACAACTGTATATCTATGCTAATGGCGCATAGCTTTTCGGGTCTACTTATTTTAGAAACATTGGATTTGAGTGGCAACAATTTATTTGAAATTGATCCTAATGTCTTTGTGGATGGTATGCCGCGTTTGACCAAGCTCTTGCTAACCGATAATATACTCTCCGAGATACCATATGATGCGCTTGGACCATTGAAGAGCTTACGTACCTTGGACATATCACACAATGTGATATGGTCCTTGAGTGGGAATGACACGTACGATATTAAATCCGCCACAAAGCTTAATTTGGACAATTTACATTTGGAATATAACCATATTGATATGTTGCCACCAAATTCGTTTAAGAATTTTGATATTGTGAATAGGACCTTCTTCGATGGTAATCCCATACATACGCTAAGGGTAAGTGTGCGGCAATAATAATATTATTTCTTATTGTAGACATGTGAAATATTTGTTACTATGTGACACATTATTTTTCTCCATACACTCACAATTCAAATGCCGTGAACAGGAGGACGCCTTTAAGTCGGCTAAAATACGTGAAATCTATATGCGTTATTGTGGCCTAACCAACATCTCACCGCTGGCGTTCGATAGTCTGGTCAATAGCCTGCAAATATTGGATTTGTCGGGCAACAATTTAACGCATTTGCATCACAAATTATTCAACAATTTCGATGTGTTAAGGTGAGTTTGCGGTCCGTTGACGTAGTGGGAGTGTAGTAATAAGCAAAGCTAGTGGACTTAAAGTTCATAGAAACACTTCTGTAAGCGCTGCTAAAAATACTTCCTTGAGTACCACTCTGTATAGGGTAAATATGAAGGTGTTTATTATTAGCATTGATATTTTCGTTGAGTTCCAGCCATGGTATGTGGAGGCTGAAATGGTTTTAAAGCACTTGATGCATAAGACTGAACGCAAAACAGGTGGTGGTGGCGCCGTGCTGATTTCACTGTCATTTTAATCCGATTGTCATAATATGTTGGTGGGGAGACTCACTGTTTCAAACATATAAACGACTATGCTAAATGAGTGAAAGTGTTGACCGGAGCATAGTGAAAGACTGCGAAATGCGAAACAGCAAAGAGATAAGATAAAGCACATAAATGTATTTGACCAAAATGGGAGGGTAAATATTTGCACTTTTTTTTCAAGTAAACAAAACTATGGCTTCCGCGCACTGACACAAAGCGTCTTTAAACACATTAGTAATGGTATAGCATATCGTTAGGCGCGCAACCGGTTTTTTGCCGATTAGTAATTGACCTCATTGACTAATTTGAAAATCATTTCGCACAAATTACCGCTAACGAAAGTCTTAGCGATTTTTTTTTGTTTTTGTGTTTTTTGTTTGTTTTTAGATGGTTAGTAAACTAGTTTTCTTTATGTAGAGTATGCCAAAGCGCCAGCGTTCAAACCAATTTCTGATTATTGTATGTATGTATTATCACCTTCTCATGACCTTTTCGCGCACATATATATACATATGTACATGCTCATATCACACAAAATTGCAGAGTTATAAGTCTGCGCGATAATAAAATCAAGATTGAACAACCACTGGAGACTTTCAACGCCATGCAGTATACCTTGCTTAAATTGGACTTAAGTGGCGATATGAACGATCCGACAAATCTACAAACACTACGCAAGTAAGTTTCGTATTTGACCTTGCCTCGAAGCAAAAAACATATGTATTTATTTGCAAAAAGTATGACCAGAATGCGGAATATGCGCTCGTTGTCAATGTCGCGCATGGGTAGTGCAACCACTATAGGGCCGGATGACTTCAAGGATTTCGGTGTTGAGTTAGAGGATTTACAAATAACACGTGCCACACTCGGCACTATACAATCGCATGCCTTCAAACATGTACGTGGGCTAAAGCATTTAGATTTTAGCGAGAATGGCATACAAACAATCGAGAACGATGCTTTTCATGAGGTGAGTTGAGATTTAAATGCAAAATTGCAGCTATTCAAATAACAGTCACAAACTATCAGGTGTACAACTTTGCTTCCGCCGTTTTTTTTTCCCAAAATTAAAAGCTTTATTGCGAAAAAGTGCTTACAGATATATTATTCAAAGTATAGTCCTTCGCTACCGACAACTTTTTCCCATTTTTTTTCGGCAATTTTCGGATCCCGGNACACTCACTTTAAAGGCATTGTCATCTATGTATTTCAACCAGCCTCAGCCGGTGCAGCCACCTATCGGAAAACGGCGGCAGCAAAGTTGTACACCTACATTCTACAATGAGTTTTGTTGTCAATGTATTTTCTCTTACAGATTGGCCACTCTTTGATTTCCCTAAAAATTTCGCATGGATTCACGGGCGCAGCGCTACCCGCCGATCCCTTGCGGCATTTGACTTCTCTACAAGAGTTGGACTTCAGTAATAATAAAATCACAAGTATGAGTGATACAAGTTTTCATTTTTTGAAAAATCTACGTCTGCTGGAGCTGCATGATAATCGCATCGAGCAGGTCATGAAGGGCACATTTCAGGCAAGTGTAGCTGTCTTGAATTCATGGTATTTTTTTACTATTTTCCCAAATTTCACAGGGCGATATTCATTCGAAATTAGAAGAGATATCTTTGCGGTTTAATCATCTAACACAAATTTCGCAACACACTTTCTTTGACTTAGAGGTGAGTGTTGCTTTTACAGGCGGCTCTATGGAAAATAATTTAAAATGTTTTATGTTTACATATGTACATATATAGGCGTTGCGTAAACTACATTTGGATGATAATAAGATTGAGCGTGTAGAGAGAAGAGCATTTATGAATTTGGATGAACTAGAGCATCTCAGTTTGCGCGGCAATAAACTCAATAATTTGGCCGACGAATCATTTCAGGTAAAAAGGAGTCGCAAACATTTTCAATTATATAATTATAATAGTTATTCAAGGATTTATTTATTTATTTATTTTTTGTTAATTTTGATATTCAAAGAAACTTTTTCCTTAAGACATCGATGGTGTCGTTGCTTGTGTGACCATCCTGTTGTCTAAATCCATACCATTCAATATCGGCCATAAAAAATCACTAATCATCTCTCGATAGCACATTCCATTCCCCTTCGAAAAGTAAGTAAGATCCAGTGCGGGATCATAAACCGCACCAAACAGCTACACGTTGATAATGGTGAGACTTTTCAATAATAAATCTAGGGTTTTCCGAACCCCAGATCCGACAGTTTTGCTTATTGACGTAGCCATCGAGTTGGAAATGGGCCTCATCAGTTAAAATGATTTTTCGACGAAATTATTATATTCCATTCTTGGCTTACTTTTTACTTGTGAAACACCTCTTATGAGAAAACCCATTATAATATAGATATTTAATTACTTGCGTACCCTGCTCTCTTGATCTGCACACGGCCTGCCATCGAACGGAATAGGTGGAAGTCAGAAGGGGCGACATCTGGGGAATACGGCGGGTGGGGCAAGACTTCCCATTTCAGCGTTTCCAGGTACTTTTTGACCACTTTTGCGACGTGAGGCCGAGCATTGTCGTGTTGTAGGATGACTTTGTCATGTCGCTCTTGATATTGTGGCCGCTTTTCTTTTAGCGCGCGACTAAGGCGCATCAGTTGCGTTCGGTAGCGATCGGACAAGTACACGTTTGGGGGAATTTCGATTGATTTTATAAACTTCATAAAAACTGTGGGTACTCGCAAAAGCAGTCCTTCAGCGCTTCTTTCTCTACCGATTTAATCTTACCTAGCCTTTGACGATGATATCTCAGGCATATATGCCCGGCAATATGAACACCATTAAGAAGACTAAGAGCGATTAGGAATTTGTTCTGTCTCCAATCCTCGCTATTCCACAAAGTGCTTGTGGAACGTCGATGATGAGAAACTCAACACGTCCGCTTTTTGCTACCTACTACATTCGTGTTATCGAGAGTTCAAGTGATAATCACTGTATTTTCCTGTAAAAGTATGTAAGTTGCCATCTTATATCTTCTCAAATGGATTTTTTGTTGATAAATATAATTACCTTATTTGCCGCTTGACTTCCTACATGAAATCATACATATATTTCTCTATTAAAGCGACAAGACCAAGTTGTAGTTGTTGAGCTCGAAGCTACCTTGGTTATTGGGGTGGTTATAGAAGAACCGTCTACCTAACATTTTGATCCATCAGTATAGATGTCGATATCTTTAGTTTTGCTGCTCGGGAAGGAGTGATAAGGCTTCTTTTCTCAGTCGTATTGTACGTTTAGCACGATTTGTGTTACAATTTTTTGTATGCTTATATGTCCTTCAGAGGCAGGGTGTTGGATCTATCCATCAAGGATTTTTAGGCGACTCTCTGTCAGTCCTGCTTTTCTAAGTTACTTGTATATTAATAGGTCTGATGTCAAGTATGACTTCTCGGGCTTTAGTTGAGATAGATCTTTAGTAGTGACTTTTCTTCTTTAGTGTCGTCTTTCATACTAGTGATACATAGGACTCTTGCGTAAAGCCAATGTACAATTTTGGGTCACAGGCTTCATTTTGGCGTAATAGTTTTTCTGCGGGTATTCCAAATTCAGAGCACTTTGTTGGTATTGTTGTCAATATGTTCTCTCCAGTGAAGTTTTTTTTATCAAGATCATTCTCATACAATACTCTCTTCAAATTCTTCACAGCAAGCAGTTGGGGTAGTTGGTTTATGAAAGTGACCGACGATAGCGGATACCAGATGTCAACGGTGTTGCATTATTAGAAGTAGCCTATATTTCAATATATGTCACCGACACATTGTGCCCTTTCGTTTATTTGTATATATCGACTTATCCTTGACCTATGTACGCTGTTGGAATGATAGCCACTCGGGGGTATTTGTTGTCGATCAAATAGTCACAGATTCTTTTCATACTTTCCAACAGAAAGGGCTTATACTGATTGGTCTATAAGATTTCGGTACAGAGTTGTAGATAGTACGTTTCGGATGTCAACTCGAATATTAAAGATTTTCCAAGGAAAGAAGATAGATAGATAAAGTATGAAATGTACTCGGAGTGCTTCAAATTCTCTGCGAGGGGCGGCCACAATTGTAAAAATTAATTTTCTATAATTATGGATGTTGGTCGAACTTGAGTCCGAGCCAAGCTCTAACCCGCAATTTGTTTAATCTACTGCTTGAGAAAATATATTTGAGCTGCAGAGCTGAATAGAGAAATCATGTCTGGTAGAGAGCTGGGACAAGACGAAATATCTCTTGTTTATTAAACAAACAGTCATCGCATGCGCGACCAAGCTCCCATGTCACTATTGACATGACACTATTGACACTATTGATCTTGTAACAATTATTAACACCAACAACAATGTCAGCCTGGAAATCCAGTTCAGAATGACACTTGCCAACAATTGCTACTTCTGAATTTGTAGACAATTAAAAAGTAAAGACCTCTCCCGGCGAATAAAGCTCTAACTCTATTTGTCATTCACCATAATGGTCCTTTGCACATTGGCAACTACGAGTACCGATGAGTTGGAGATCTACATACATGGCGACGACGACATTTTTCAGGAAGTCGAGAGACAATTTCTATTCTGGCTAGGTTATGTAGTTCGAATGGCAGGGAACACCTCGGTTTTGCAAGTTTTCGATGCATTATCTGCCCGTGGAAGCAGTGGAAAAGGATAACTTCCGTTCCGTTGTGAAGATCAGGATCTAGTTAGGTCATTGGTATTTCCCATTGACGCTAAACAGCAAGAAGAAGGAAGGAGTGACGAACTGTTCTTAACTCGGCAACAATCGAAGAAACTGCAAACTGTACTTAAATCCATAACATTTTTTTATCGAAGTCTTTAAAATTATTCCAAATGCGAGTATATCCAATTTCATATTTAATTAATACTTTAATTAACTCTCCTATAGAATTTGCCAAAGTTGGAGACGCTCGATATGGCTTTCAACAATTTGCCGAATTTCAACTTTGATTATTTTGATCAAGTAAGTTGCTGAGTAATAAGTAGTATTGCCCGTTCAATGTTGCTATACTATATACGTATGCACATATATTCTTAAAGGTTGGCACCTTATCGACTTTGAATGTAAATGTGAGTCACAATCAAATCACCATGTTGATGTACAATAGCTCCTGGGCGGGTCGAAGTGATCATGGTGAGTATGATAGATGGCTTTCGAAGTAATGTTGAAAAAAAATTCTCTGCTCCATAGGTTCCATGCATCATTCCAATATTAAACTACTTGATTTATCACACAATAACATCTCAATAATCCATCCGGGCTATTTTCGTCCAGCGGAAATTTCCCTAACCCACCTATACATGGGTTATAATTCATTGATGGTGAGTATTAAATGTTGGATGACATCCATCTCTCGTATGCTGTTATAAGTTGTTGCTTTTATTTATTTTACCTCCAGAATGCCACACGTGATGTGTTCGGTAATATGCCGCATTTACAATGGCTGGATCTGTCCTACAATCGTATACGGGAGCTTGATTTTGATGCATTCAAAAATACTAAACAACTGCAGGTGAGTGCGAAATGGAGCTCCAACCAAAAACATTACATATACTTCAACGCTTGCTGTTTGTGTATTTCCTCAGCTCATTTATCTGGATCATAATTACTTAACAGACATACCGCAGGATATTTTCAAGCCGATTTACGCTTTGCGTGTAGTCGATATGTCACATAATCATTTGCGTGGCTTACCTGATAATCTCTTCTATAATGGCGGCATGGAGAAGTAAAAAATTTATTTATTTTTAAAACGAAAACAATTCTCGTATATTTTCCTTTAACAGAATGGACGTATCGCACAATATGCTGCTCAAAATACCCTCGTCATCGCTTTCCAGTTTGGCCGCTTTGACACTCTGCGAGCTGCATTTGTCGAACAATTTCATTTCGACCATACACAGTATGGACTTGTCAAATAAGTTTAGAGTTCGTATAAACTTGAAAATGGTATGAAAAAATGATGTTAATAAGTATATTATTGCAGTCGCTTCGCTACTTGGATATCTCTTATAATTATTTGCTGAGGATAGACGATGCAGTTTTTGCCACCATGCCACGACTCGCAGCGCTCGATCTATCTCACAATCGTGATCTGAAAGTGATGGATAAATCGTTTATGGGTCTAGAGAATTCGCTAATTAAATTGGGCATGGAAAATGTTTCTCTGAGCACGATTCCTGAAATACGCTTGAAATACTTGCGTGAGCTGCGTTTAGGCTACAATGAATTGCCATCGATACCGCAGGAGTTAGCTTTTAATATGAGTAATCTACGTATGTTAGATTTATCCAATAATGACTTGACAAATGTGCCGCTAATGACACAATCACTGCCTCATTTAAGGTGTGTGTTCCGTGAGACTTTTCAATTTCCTCGCTTAAGATTTTATCAATATCCCTTTATTTTTTGCTATTCTTCAGGAAATTGATGCTCTCAGGTAACCCCATTACCTCTCTGAATAACAATAGTTTTGATGGCGTCAACGAGGACTTGGAAATGTTGGATATATCTAATTTCCGTTTGCACTATTTCGAATATGGCTGTTTGGATTCCTTACCCCATCTGCGTTCGCTTAAATTGACTGCTTACTCACATTTGGAGCACTTCAATATACCCCACTTACTGCGTCATCATCATAATATACGGGAATTGTGGATTGAAGCACCACAACCTTTCACGAGAATCATAAAGAAAGGCTCGGGACCAAATCAGGATATACAACAAGTGCAGATGGGTCAACCAACGGATTTGGCGCGTGAGATGGAGGGCCATCTACCTTCCAAGTTGACGAATATCACTTTCAGCGGTCCACAGTTTAGTAGTTTGAGCGAGAGAATATTGAAGGTTGGTATGAGGTAGTTGGGTGGGCCGTTTATAACTCTATGCTCATCATTTAGATACTAAACGAAGCTTTAGACATGTAATGAGCTCGTATTAAGAGATTTACGGCGGCCTTTTTTATGAGAAATTTTTTTATTTCATGCCAGAAATACACTCGGAAGACTTGGCATTCCACGACGAGGCGTGAGCGAAATTAGAAAAAATAGTTTTATATAATTTTGTTTATTGGTGTAACTCTGGCCTTCCGAATGATAGTACCTAACCAGGCTTCTATTACGGAAGAAGAAATACTTCTATAATTTTTCATTAAGGTGGAAAGATTTGTGGTGGGTTGAGCTCTCGACACGGATACATGGTAATTGCGCAGTCGGCTAGCTGGCTAGAAGGAAAACTAGGATAGCATAATCTCAGATAGTACCTGCTAAGCTTGCGCAGTAGTAGGCTTAGTAACAGATGGCGGGAGAAAGTACGTGCAATGTAACCAGTCAGACCATTACAGAGAAGAGAAAAAGGGGAAGAGAAAGGGGAAAAGGGAACCTCCATCAGTATCCTTTAATAATAAGCCTCTGATGGGGACTTCCACTCTTATGACTTGTGTTGCAGCTGCCATTGTTCTCTGCACGGCCCAGGGCTCCACTTTTTGTTTCGACTTTTGGTTTGCGCGGAGGTTAGAGTGACTTTTTCACAGGCAGACCTGGCCCTAAGTGTTAACTAACTGTCTACGATATTGGGACTCTCAAACTCTCTTGATCTTTTCTTGAAAACTTCTACATCGGATTTGATGCCGTACTTTTCATTAACCTAAATATGTGAGGGTTGATTAATGAGTACGCCAGCTTTGTCAGGTGAGGGCATAGGCCATGGTAAAAAGAGAGATATAGTTAGCTTGAGATCTCCCAAAAGTGAATGAAAATTAAGTAGGACTTACGAACGGGACGTTCTATCTAGCCTGCCATAGAATTATTATAAAACAGTATTTTGAAATGATATCCAGTTATAGGTTCTAGTCTTTTATCTAGACAGAAAAAATAGAATGAATATCGATGAACTGAGTATTCAAGATGGCTCTTGTGTTGAAAATCTCTTGGAATAGGGCTAAAAATCCTTTTTGTTTCATTTCAGGGCATGCGATCGCCATACTTGTATATGCAGCTCTTCAATACAACCCTGAAAGAGATACCTACAAATTTCTTCAAAAATATGGGACGCGTTCGTAACATATCGCTCGATATTCGCTATAATAATCGTATGCTGAAGAAAATACCAAATCCAAACACGGGAAATGTACCTTTCTTGGCAAATAGCGTTTTTCTCACCGATCTCAAAATGTCCGATACAGATTTGAATTGTGATTGCGATTTAGGGTAAGTCGAAAGGAGTTTCCTTCTTATATTGTGGTGAAATTCGCTTATTCTTCGTTTGTTTTTTCAGCTGGGTTGAGTTTTGGCAACGAAAACGGCGTCAGTACATTTGCTCCTCGCAAACGTGGACAGATGCTGTGTTCCGAACCTTTATGAACTCACCATGCCAAGTGTATGGACGCCACAATTGTGATGATCATGATGATGATCTGCGTGAGACACGATGTGATAATAAAGGCGGACAACAGTTAATGGAGGTAAGAATATGATAAGGTCGCTCTCCACTTGATTATTTTCAAGAAGTGAAGGGTTTCCACTTCCTCTATTTTCACCGTCGGATAATACATTGAATACTTTTTCAAACTGGAGCGCCTTCATTCATAGGGACGATATGGCTTAGCCGGCGTAGCAGTTATCTCTTCATTCGCTGAACTATATCTATGAACTCATCATTTCGTCATCTGCTTTATTCACCGCAGTCAATACGGAAAGGACCACAAGTCGTTCGCAAAACTTTTCTCTCAAAGATTCCCAGTGCCGCCTTATCGAATGTCAACACCGTGTCTGCACCATATATGTAGTTGGACGTGAAAGATGACTGATTTGTAGAGTTTGGTTTTTGCTCGTCGGGAGAGGACTTTACTTTTCAATTGCCTACTCAGTCCAAAGTAGTACCCGTTGGAAAGAGTGATTCTGCGTTGAATTTCAAGGCTGATATTATTGTTAGTGTTGATGCTGGTTTCTAGATAGACGAAATTATCTACAACTTCAAAATTATGACTGTGAACAGTGACATGGGAGCCAAGTCGCGAATGCGATGACTGTTTGTTTGATGACCGGAGATATTTCGTCTTGTCCTCGTTCACTACCAGACCCATTCGCCTCGCTTCTTTATCAAGCCTGGAGAAAGCAGGTTGTTGAGGCCGATAATGTCAATATAATCGGCGTACGCTATTTGTTGTACACTCTTATAGAAGATTGTAACTTGTCTATTCTGCTCTGCAGCTCTTATTATTCTCTTCAGCATCAAATTGAAGAAATCACAAGATAAAGAGTCACCCTGTCTGAAACCTCTTTTGGCACCGAACACCTCAGTCCTTCCCAATTCTGACTGCGCTTCTGGTGTTGTCTAGCGTCAGTTTACACAGCCATATAAGTTTTGCGGGGATACCAAGTTCAAACATAGCGGCGTAGAGGCAGCTCCTTTTCCTGCTGTCGAATGCTACTTTGAAATCGACGAAAAGGTGGCGTGTATCGACCGTATTTTCCAAGACTTGACACATGATGAATATTTGGTCAATGTTTGATTTACCAGGTCTGAAGCCACACTGAACTGATAAGGTCCAATCAGTTTGTTGACGGTGGGTTTCAGTCTTTCACACAAAACGCTCGATAGGACCTTATATGCGATGTTAAGGAGGCTATCCCACTGTAGTTGACGCAGACTGTGGGATCGCCTTTTATGGATTGGCAGAGCACACTTAAGTTCCAATCGTCGTTCATGTATTCATATGACCATATTTTGCAAACAAGCCATCATGTTTGAGTAGCTCTGCCGGTACTCCGTCAGCCCCAGCTGCTTTGTTGTTCTTTCTTCGACATGTTCAGGTAGTGGAACGTCTGTTCCATTGTCATCGACTGGGTTTTAGGGTTCACCGTATCCATGTTTCTCTCCGTGTTTCATTTTCTGTGACACTCAGCAGACTGGACAAGTGTTCCCTACATTCTTCGACAGCACCGATTTGTTTGAATTTGGTATTCCCGAGAAAATATATTGATGCACAGTCAGAATCTAGAAGAATATCTCCTTGCCTTTCGATCGTAATTGAGATTTCAGAAGAAGGTGACTCTCTGCCGTGTGACTTTTTCTTAGGCTTGACGAAATAATTAGAGCTTCAGAACTAAGCAGATCTTTGATAAGATCGCAAAACGGCTGGTTTATGTAGGGCAATGAAATTGACATCATTGATCTCGAAAACTTCAACGTTATTCCACGTTTTTCAGTTTGAATAAGGAATGTAGGGGAGTGGGTATGGGAACGCTGAAAAGACAAAATAACATCTTTCATCACGCAATCAGTCAGCATTTTCATTTCCACGGCTTGCACGTCACTATTGACAGTCATAACTGTGACGTCGTAGAATTGAGGACAATGACGACATACGTTGAGTCGGCGTTCGGAGTTTTCGGGGAAAGGTTTTGCGAAGTAACTGAGGAGGAGCTCGATCAAAAATTGCTTCAGTGTCTACCAAGCGCGGTAATACAAATAAATATCTGCCGGTGTAAGCAGAGGAAGAGGAACACTCACACTTTCTTGGAAAGATCAGGCCGTGAAGGATCTGGCTGCACTTAAATTATTATACACCATAAATATATTTTGTTCTTTTTAGGCACTCAAATTCGATTTGGAATGCGGTTGGGACAATGCTGGTTGCCGCGAAACATTCATTCTACTCATAACTGCCTTATTGATGATTGTGTTTTGGATGTGACTGCTAAGATGCGCATTCAAAGTGTCGGCTGATTTTTACAAAACCCTCGAGAAGGTGTACGGAGATTGTCCGTTATAAAGAGAAATTTTTACGAAATGTCAAGCAAAGCGATATAAACAACAATGTATGAAAGACAAAGCAGAGTGAGAGATGGAAAAAGAATTAAGAGAGTAAATAGTAAAAAGTGTGCTGAAATACTTACATATATACTACCAAAAAAAAAAATGATGCCACCAAACTCTAACGACCCAAAGTAATGAGGAAGAAGAAGAATTCCTGGAGCTCCGCTGAATTTGGTTTTGTAGCGATTTTTTTTTAGAAATATTGTATTTGAATGTTTGTTTTGTAGTTCAACCGATAATTGGATGTGCTGGATAATTATTTGATTGGAATTTGGGAATTTTATATTGACTTTTTTATTAATTAATTAATTTTTTTTTAATAATTGAATTAAAAATTCTTATAAAATCACCATTTAAAGCACGAACGCAAATTGACACTCAAACATAAATTTATCTATTAAGCACGCACTGATTTGTGTGAATCCACACAAACCTCTTAAACCACTTAATCCTTGAATAATGGAAATTCACACACACACACGACATACGTTTTAGTAATACAATTATACATAGTACATACGTGTACATAATACATATGTATATGTAATTTTGTTTTCATAAAGCGAGCGTCCTTGTTTCTATCGCTTCAGTACTCCTAATGAAAGTCAATGTTCTATGCTGCTTTTTGCTTAAATAATTTTAATACCATTATTTGTAAATTTTTTCGTATTTATAATAAATATATTAAGTAAAAAAAATAAAAAAAAAATTGTTTTCATGATTTTTTAATATATTTTTCTCAGCAAAAGCAGCTTTCCTGAAGGTTGCCGATTGTCTGATTTTTTGCGAAACTAGTCCTGTTCTGTGTACTGATGGCCAGTAGCAATTGATAATAAAAATTTTTAATGAATCACATTCGGCGAGGCAAAAAGCTTGTCAAATTTCCGCAGGGAGAGCGTAATTTTTACATTTCGCTACTGGCTAATTCTTACTGAAATTTCTTACCGAACAGAGCTAATAATAAATCATTTCTTCTATCCATAAGCATTTGAATCACCAATCAAACTAACGGGTTTTCTAACAGAAGGTGCTATTTTGATATTTAAAGAAAGTTTTCCCTAAAAAGAGATCCATGGTTTCATTGCTTGTGTGGTACCTAGTGCCGTCTTGTTGAAAGTAAACGTTGTCCAGATTAATACGATCCAATTCCGGCCATACAAAATTGTTAAACATCTCTTGATAGCGCTTTACACTCATTTTCGTAGAAGTACGGTCCAATGATGCCGCCGGATTATAAGACGCACCAAAAAGCACCACAACATAGAGGATGAAGAGGCTTTCCAACAATGAATCTTGGAGTTTCCGAGCCCCAGATGCGACAGCCCAACTGGTTTATGTCCTCATCGTCCTGGCAGTGCTGTGGACGGGACAAGAACAGATACGTGTAGATCCTTGAGAGAGTGGCCATATGAAGAAACACATATTTGGTTTCGGACTCGTTGTAGGCAGAGAATGACGTTTACGACTTAAAACCATGATTGGCGACTCTAACTTCCGGGTAGACAAAGAGGTATCTTCAGTAGAAGTGTCGAAATATTCAGGTTGGGTGAGACCGAACGACTTCGCTGGGCCTGAAGCAAATTGAAGCTACTTGATTGTTTCCAGACCGAAAAACTCAACACCAGAAAGGTCACGTTGTGATAGACGGAGGACATTCCTTCAGTATTCTTGCGTGCGTACGCTTTGACTCGGACACTATATTTTTTTTTCAACAATAATAAGCCCAGTGGTTATACTACTCCCGCTAAATATCTTGTAGCAGCAAAGATATGCATCCACCTTTGCGTAGCACAGAATTCCCGTCAACAAACATAAGGAAGGTTCCCCATTGAAAAGCTGCAATCACAACAGGGAGCCAAATGGTGTTCTATTCAACTTGCACGCCTGCTTTCCGAGAGCGGTCATTAGCAACAGCTGTGAACAAAACTAATGGTTTTCGGAAGAGTCAAAAAAATAGCCGATACGATGAGGACTTTTATGACGCAGTGGATAGAAAACAGGCTGATAACAGAGAGATGCGTGAACTTGGAGAACTTGCTGGCCAGCACAGGTAATGCTCGTACATTCTACGAAAAGTTGTGAGAATTTACAGAAAGTATCAAGACCGGATACAATTTTTGTAGAACCCTGAGAGGTGATCTAGCCTGCACTGAATTTATGTAGGGAACACTTCTTCAGCCTGCTGAATGTCATTGGAAATGGAACACCAGGATATAACCAGGATGACGATAGAACAGATATTACGTTTCTCATTCTATGAAAAATTTCGACTGGCATTTGTCTACTTGAAAAACAAAAATGATGCTGGAGTCGATGGGTTGTCAGCCAAGCTATTTAGATAAGGTGCATATATAAGCTTTCCGAAGCGGAAGTGGACTAAGACAAAGAGCTAAAATCAGTTGGAAAAACAAGGAAGGGAGAGCTGGCTAGAGCTGGCTTTAAAGCGTTGGTGTGCTATTCTTGACTCGTCTAAAATTTCGCAATTGGGAAATACGGACCTCATAAAATTTAATCAAAATCCCTGGTAAGAACGTCTTACCGACATTCAGAGAGGCTCTGCTAACACGTTTATAAAACTGTCTCTTCCCGTGATTGGCGTGTTCGCAATTCAACTACCACCCATAGCGGATAAAGCAGACGAATTGCCGCTCGAAACCCGAGTTATACTGGAATAGTTAAGGTCTGGATACTGACTTAACTCATAACTAATCAGATTTGGCGCGATATGATTACCGTATGTCCTACATACCATGAGTCCCCGCACAGCACTCGACTAAAACTCACTCGTCCAACCTGCCTCTCACTTTGGGCCTCATTTACAGAGGGTCTGACAAACCTTTATAAACTATCTTACCATGAATCGAGTGCTTGGAGCTATCACCCAGAGCGGACGCAAAGCTTTAGTTTACTCGCAAAACCCGAGTAAGTCTGAGATAATTAAGGTCTGATATGTTTAACGTATGTGTTGCAAACATTGAGTGCCCTCACGGCACTAACCCTCTAATTTCCCTCTATCTCCTCTAACAGGAAACACTAAATACTGAATAATGTTATAACGGTGTATAAAATAGTATTTAGTTTTCACAATCAAATCATTCAAGTATATAAATGCACATTCAAATCAGCAAAAGTGTCCTTTACTACAGAGTTCCATTTAGTTTAAAGACTTGGCGATAATCTCTTCCACCTCTCGTTTATGGACTTTGCCAATGCCAGTTGCTGTAGTGGCTGCTTCCGCACGACCAACATAATTTAACTGTAAATTAATCACGATAAATTGTTGGTTTTTGCTTGTAACTGCAGTAGACAATCTAAAAAAATTACCCACCTCTTTGCCAATCAAGCACTCAAAACGTGGACGCACAAAACTCCAAGCACCCATATTGCGATGTTCCTCTTGACTCCACACAAAGGCTGTGGAAATCGAGCAGAAAACCAAAACACAGTTAATCACTTGACAGCAAATGATGCTTTGCTTAAAGGTACTTCACTTACATTTTGCCTGCTTATATTTGGCTAACTCTTGTTGTAGTTCATAGGCTGGAAAAGGACACAATGACTCGAGTCGTATCAGAGCGATGTCGTTGATGCCTTTTGTTTTGCGTGCCTCATCTAATACAAAGAAATGCTTGCCCGAACAGATGATGACTTTACGTACTTGGTCGGCATTGATGATGGGATCACCTGAAAAGTGGATGTGTCCGTAATGTTTGTATATAAAATATTAGCGGAAAGGAGAAACAGATGGTAAGTGTAAGTTTTTGAATGAACAAGCTCTTAACAGAATGGAGCTATTGAAATGGAAGTGCATTAGAATTTAAGCAAGTTTTCTGTTGGCTCACAACTACTTGTTGGTCTACCTTGTATGGCCAAAAAGACCTTTATGGAATTGGTTCCAATTCAACCAACTTGGGAGACTCGAAAGAGCTGAAGTTCTAGCCACATCATGGTAGAGGTGGATTGCGTTACAATCCTTCAACAGCGACATATACTCTTGCAGGGAAAATTCTCTCGAATATTTCTCTCGGTCGCTGGTAGTAAATTAAGCAATAAATGATAAGTTTGAAGCTTTTGGTTGCTAAATGCTGCAAGTTCTACACATCGAGCTACAGGCAATTGTAGAAACTTATCGTGGATAAAATAACAGATAGCCGGAACTTGTTTAGTTTGCTCCGATCAGTAGAAGACTTCATAGAAACCTCCCTACGTTCTTACGTACTTAAATCCTGCTATGAACTCCATTATATTCCTACAGGGCAGGGCAGACCATAACTCACCTAACACATTATGGAAATGTGTACCCGGCTGGAAGTCGACATGTGTGGATGTGGCAGCTGGATGACGTAACATTATTTTCGGTGCGACCACAACGAGTGGTTTGCGGAAATTACGCAATAACTGTCGACGCAATACATGGAAGTACTGTGCAGATGTAGTGGGATTAACAATGTTTACATTTACGTTGTCACCATCGGGTGCGGTTTCTTTGGAATCACACAATTGTAGAAAACGTTCAATGCGGCAGGAACTATGCTCAGATGCAGCGCCATCATAACCGTGTGGTAGTAGTAAAACCAAACCATTTGAGTCCATCCATTTGGCTGCAAAAATATACATACATATGAATATACGAGTATATGCATGTGTACATGGAAAGGAAACGAAAACGTATAACCGTTAGAATATTGTGTGGTTTAAGGCAGGTTGGTAATATAAAAGATCAAACTCACTCTCTCCCGTTATAATGTAGTTATCGATCATTATTTGTGCACCATTGGCAAAATCACCGAATTGTGCCTCCCAAATAATCAACTTCTGCGGATCATCTATAGCCATACCGTACTCGTAACCCAATACCGCCTCTTCGGATAATATACTGTGCGCCACTTCAAGTTTGCCACCGTGACCGCCTTTCAGGCTATTTAGCGGTATATACATTTCATTGGTCTTCTGATCGACCAACATTACGTGACGATGTGAGAAAGTGCCGCGCCCTACATCCTCACCGCTAATACGCACATGGTGGCCCTGATACATGAGACTGCCTATAGCCAAGGCTTCTGCAGTAGACCAGTCAATTTTTTCGCCGCTATCAAGTTTCTTGCGTCTACCATCGATATGTGTTTTTAGCAGATGTGGATGCACGTTCTGCAGAAGAGGTATAGGGTTGAGAAAACTGAAAATCATTTACAATTATGCCAGCCTTACAAAGTCTTCAGGAAGTTGGACACTCTGATGTCCGATGTAGTTAAGTAGTTGATAATCAAGACCCGTATCCCAAACGGTTAGCTGATCTGTGGCGCTAGTTAAACCAGTCCATTGTTTCTTAAAGTAATTCGCCTCGGGCTTATAGCTTTCGGATAATTTCAATTCCGCATCTAAATAATTCCAGTAATCGGTGCGCATCGCCTCAGCTTGTACAGTAGTTAACACGCCGTCTCGTACTAGTTTTTCCGTATATAAATCTGGCACAGATCTGTAGAAAAAACAGCAAAACGAAATTTAGTAAAATAATTCGAACAACTCCTGCTACAAATTCAACAAACCGACTTGCGATTGTGTATGATTTGGTAAACACTTGGATTTGTAAAGGTCGGATCGTCCATCTCATTATGTCCCCAACGTCGGAAGCAGTTCATGTCAATGAAGATATCCTTACGGAACGCTCGTTGATATTGCATTGCCAATTGTGTTATTAAGACCACCATTTCCGGATTGTCACCATTGACGTGAAAAACAGGCGCTTGTATAGTTTTGGCCAAATCCGAAGTATAATCGGTGGAGCGTCCACGCTCACCGGGCGTTGTAAATCCGATTTGATTATTCACAATCAGATGTAAACTACCGCCCACCTCAAAGTGTGGTACGTAGGCCATATTTAGGCACTCTTGATTGACACCTTGACCCGCAAATGCAGCGTCACCATGAACAATCACATTCAGTACTGTTGTGGCAAAGGGTTTTTCCGGATCATCACTGAAAGCGCCATCGCCCACGGTTTGTTGTTTTGAACGAGTTTTTCCCATAGATACTGGATTCGCTGCCTAAGAAAAGTAAAGGGAAATGAAGTGAAAGGATCTGTTGCAAAGTTAACCAACTGTGAATAGTTCTAGCAACACAAGGAAACTGTCTTAGACAATATTTATGGCCAAGGATTTTTCTGAAAAATGCCAACCGTACTTAGGAGTAGGCTAGATCAGTCTAAGTCTTCGAGGGCATCTAAGGGAAGGTCCAGAAAACAAGCCGTATCGACGGGTTTAGACCAGAAGTTTTCGACCTTAAGATCCAGTACTCCTTTTCTGTTGTGCCTGGGTGGGAGTTCAGCTTCTATTAAGCGCCTGTCGGGGTGTCCCCTACGACAGCATCTCAGCACAGTTACTTGCACAGCAAATAATTATTCTCCTTAATTTGTATCAAAGAAACTTCGGCGATTTAGCTGGTTATAGTCTTAATTGGCTTGCAGTCAACAGAGGACAGCTACGGTTGTAGCTCCAGAATAATCTAAATTCGTCCCGAGCGCACGTAAATGTAGAGTGAACTTTTCAACACATCCTCATCGATTTCAAGACTTCGAGAAAGAAAAATTGTCTTAACTTGAACGAGTTCAATAAGGCAGAAGAACCCGAACAAAAGAGGTGAAATCTTCAGAGCAAAAAAAGAGATCGCTTGAAGGAATATCCCTGCAGTTTAATGAAATATACAGGCCTATTGTAACCCAGGTACAGAGCCGCAAAAAATAATACATATAGCTGGACGTCTACAACACTTGAGTACTTGAAGACAAAGTAAGTTTGTAAAAAATCAGTAATCTGATCGGTTGCCTAAGCTGGGGAAGATATCTGTTCCGATACTGTCCCACAGATTAGCTCTGCAACCACTTGCTTGCAGCCGAACCGCCGCAACACACAAATACGTAAGAAAGTTGGATCTTCATTGTACAGACCTCGTCATATGAGCGTAGCAAACATTGGGTACATTCAGAAAGAGACAAAAAAAAACCCTTCCTAGTGGAACTGTTCTCAGAGAAATTGGTACTGAAACACTCAGCGCACTCTTGGTTCGTATCATAAAGTTTCTCTTAGACAGAGGGTAAGTAATAAGAGTATATAAGATTGAGTGAGTTCGAATGACAGTCAGGGAAGAATCTTAACTAAAAGGTACCAGATGTCTGGCTAAGAAAAGATATTCGATATAGCACTTATTTTAATCTCTAATGCTCACCTCTAAATGAGACGGATTTCTTATTAAACTTATGTGCAATTTTTTTCCGTCCACTTCCAAGTCCTCAGAAGTATCTAGAAATAAATGAAATTGAAGTGTTTGAGGTTTAAGCAAAAACGAAGTTCGAGCATGAATCAAGTTCGGAAATTTTAAATTAATTAATTATTAAAAAAAAAAGTTTCAAACTTTCTTAGTTTATAAATTCACACAGCTTACTTACGAAAGTGACTTAAAGTATCCGACATCGCTGGTGCATCATCCGGAAACTCCGACTCCCCGCTGAGCTTATGGAAAATTTTCGCCGGACGCATATTCAACATAGTCGTTTGCAAAGGCATGCGGCCGCGATGAGGCATTGCCACCACAATATCTTCAATGCCAGCTGGAAGTCAAACAAGACACACACACAAGTGTAGAGAGAAGTTAAAATTTAAATTATGCCAATTTAACTACACTAACTCTTGTGTACAACTATTTTCTTTCTTTCCCTACATTGCTGGAGATAGTACTCACCTTGAGCCGCGCTGCGCAATAGCTGCCAGTAGAAGGGCAACAGACTTTCAGCACCCTCACCACCATAACGTTTAACGCTGGCAAATCGTATGGCCATAAAATTATCCCATGTTTGTGACTTGATTAATAGTTCGGCTATTTGGCGGCGAGCATCGTTACTAACGGTAAAATCTGATTGCTGACGTTGTTTTCCAACGGCTAGTTGTTCAAAATGGTGCGCTAGCCATTCGCGTTCCTCGAGGTTCTAACTCATAGTAAGGGTGGAAGAAAGCGGAAGAGCAAATGCAACAAATCGCCAAGAGGAATTCGTAATAAGGCAAAACTATATATGCTTTGATGTAAAGTAGGGAGGAGGGAGGGAAGGAAGGAGGGATGGTGAAGACATACACTATATGATTTTAACTGAACCGTATAAATTCACTTATATGTAAATATAATATGTACATTAGGGTCCTAGTAGCTTGCCTAATATCTTATTAACCGACCGTTGTGTGAAAGTTGTTGCGTCTTTGTTTGAGTTTTAATTGTTAAACTGAGAGAATTATGTCTACAGACATTATAATGTCGTTTTCATTAACAACCTAGCACATATGTCCTGTATGACCGACTTATTAACCCATATTCTAAGCCACTTATCGTAGATACCAGAAACTTTAAGGGTATCTTTTGTGTATGTCGTAGACATCCGATATGCAAGCATTATCCGGGATGTAGATTTGAGACCAATCGATTCAAAAAATTAAATTAATTTTTAATTCCTTCGATTTACAAAAAAATTGACATTTACCATTAACATCAAGAAAACTTTCTTCCGGGAAGTAGACCTGGGATCGATTTGATAGCTCGATTTTGCTTAATATGTGGAATACTTGTATTGGATGAGTGCATAAGTTCGTGCCCGATTTCAAGTGCAAACTAAAATTGAAATTTTTCGAAGAAAGCGCTTTTATTAATCAGTTATGTATTCGCCATTATGTTCGGCAATCCACTCCCAACGTTCAACCAGTTTCCGGATGCCTGATTCATAGAAATCTCGCGGTTTCTCGTTGAAAAAGGTGTCAAGGTGGTTTTTGACGTCTTCCACATTTTTAAATTTTTTTCCATTCAAATTGCTCTGCAGCGATCGAAACAAATGATAATCAGAAGGTGCAATGTCGGGTGAATATGGGGGATGCGGCATGATTTCCCAATTCATCTCCTTCAGTTTGGCCAGGGTCGGTTTTGCAACATGTGGCCTGGCGTTGTCATGATGGAAAAGAACTCCTTTGCGATTGGCCAAAATCGGACGTTTTTCATCAATTGCTTTCTTCAATTCGACCAATTGCTGACAATACTTGTTGGCAGTGATCGTTTCTCCAGCTGGCAAGAGCTCAAAATAGATCACGCCTCGGATATCCCACCAAATGCACAGCAGTACCTTCATCGGATGCAATCCACCTTTCGACATCGGTTCCGCCCCTTCGTGTGCCTGTTTCCATGTTCTTTTGCGTTGAACATTGTTGTACAGGATCCATTTTTCATCACCAGTCACGAGCCGATCCAAAAAAGGTTCGTTTTTGATCCGTCGAAGCAAAGAAATTGCTGTTGACATACGGTCCACTTTGTTTTTTTCACTCAACTGATGTGGCACCCATGTATCGAGCTTCAAAGTGTACCCAACCTTTTTTAAACGACGAAACGCAGTTGATTTGTTGACGTTCAATTCACTGGCAACCTCTTCCGTCGAAATACGTGAGTTATTCGCAACTAAAGTCCTTAGAACATCGTCATCAAGCTCAGAAGGCCGTCCACTGCGAGGTTGATCTTCGAGGTTAAAATCTCCAGAACGAAATTTCGCGAACCATTTCTTTACTGTGCGGAGTGCTGGAGCACGGTCCAAATAAACTTCGCGAATATCTTTAGTTGCAGCGCCTACTGTTTTTCCTTTGCGGAATTCGTATAACATAATATGACGCATATGATCTTTTTCGTTGTCCATCTTCCATGCGTCTTTTCACTAAGCAACTCAAATCAAAATGAAGTTATTTTATGCTTGATTTACAGTTCGGACTGTCCCCTTTCCAACGATATACAATATGATATGTATATATTTCTTTCACGAGCGCCACTCTCAAACGATTCGAACGGCATCCAGCGGAATCGGGCACGAACTTATGCACTCTTCCAATAGATGGCTCTATTCGAGGCGCGAACTCAGACGGGAAGTGGTTTTCGGGTTTCAAGCCCGCACCGATGTCATTGCGAGTCATTTTTTGAAAATACATACATATGTATATGTAAAAAGTTTTATTTAAAATATCAAATGAAGTCTTCCATAACTCAAATATATTGTAGAATCGATTAAACAGCGATCGGAAGGATGATATTTTCTACAATATAAGTGAATGGAAGAAGTGTTGATCACTCAACTCAATATTGTTTGAGCGAATGTCAAAGGTGCGTATCAGCTAATTTGTCTTCGATAAAAATGAAAAAGCAAGTCAAGTTATGATCTGATACTGTAACGCCTAATCATGCACCATTTTCGTTTCGTCGATTTCGTTCCGGTAATTTTCGCTGCAAAAATGGTCCATACTGTGGAAGTCCAAGAGTTAAAAGTTGCACAAATAACAGTTTGGAATCACTTGAAAAAGTGGATGTATGGATGTCAAGAGGACGTATTTCCATCTGCAAATCGCTGCTGAGTCCTAACAAAATTATTCCTAAAGTGAATGGTAAGTGGTGAAGAAAATTGATTCACCGACAGCAAACGGTAGCGAACGAAGTGCAGTGACGGTCTCCGAGCCACGATTGACGGTCAAGAAGGTTTTTGTGCATTTGGTTGGATCAGCCAGAAATCATACACTATGAGCTCTTTCCCTTTGGCGAAATTCTTAATTTGGTATTGCACTGCCAAAAAGTGCCCAGCTTTGGTCAACAGGAGGAGGACAACGCCAACCCACACAGATTTATAGTGGCTTGACGTAATAAGTGGAGAGCTTTTCTTTCCGGAAGTGAACGAGACATCGATCTATTGCTCGATTTGCTAGATATCTGAAACATAGAAAGCTCCAGGCCTAGGTCAAAATATTTTTTCCATAATAATTTAGAAATTATAATAAAATAAATAACGTAGAAATCTAATGAAATTATTTTTAGAATCAGCTTAAAATTTTATGCAGAGGAAGTCGCCGGCAAACTCTTGTTTCATACTGGAAAGACAAATTAATTCCGCCTATTTTTACATTTCAAAAAAATGTGTTTTTTTTTTTAAAAAGACAAAAACATTTTCGGACGGAGGTGGCTACTTTTTCCCATCTATCTGTTACTTTTGGAATACCTTCTCTGAAAAATGAGTCCCCTCTGTCTTCGATCCAATCATTGAGCCAATCAAAAAAAAACTTTTTTTTATATAAAAAAATATTTATTGTTAAAATTAAACCCCCAATTTAATGAGTAATGAACACCTTAATGTGCATCTGCACATACATGCAAACATACCTCGATATAGTCGAACTCCGCACTAACCGCCGAACCACAGTAAATTTCCTGCAGTAATGATGCCAATTCTGTTACCGTAGCTGGACCGCCCACGGGCAACAGCGGCGCACTTATTAAGCCCTGCGGTTGTACTGTCTGATCCGGTGTCAGCCCATAATATTGTGGATTCAGCTCATCAATGGTAAGGCTGTGGATGAAAATAAAAGAAAAAAGAATTAAGAATATATGCAAGTAGTGAGAATCACATAGAAACACTCTTGTTAATGAGTTTGGCTTGCTAAATGAGCTTCGTTTGAATAAGTGAATGTACGTCAACACTTTGTGTATATATATGTTTTAATTTACATACACGTATAGGTACTAATATCGAAATGTTTGCGGAGATTAATGTGTCCTTATAATATTTGAACATATACGCACATATACATACATATGTGTAGAACACTCACCTTTGCTGGTCTTTGAGGCTGATGGGATTGACAGTTGCCAATTTGTGTCCATGCTTGCGATAGGCCTCCACCAAACGATAAACATTGCCTTGGGCATTCCTCGATTGGAGCACTTCATCAGCCACTGCGTACACATAATATTATATATCAACATAAGTAAAAGTAAATAAAAGTAATGAAAAGTAGATGTAAATCGCTATCGATTTTCTTCGAGTTATATGTTTTCAAGTGGAAAAGGTTAAAGATTTGACTTTTTTCAGTTTTTTCACGGTTTTCACCTATTAGTTGCTTTGGCCTCAGACTAAGAAGGCCTGAACTTTTGATACATTTTATTTTTCCGAAGCATTTTAATGGTTATTTGGTTGATTTTTAGTGATCAGCGGGCATCAGCTCTCTGAGGCCACCAAATGAGCCCATTGTGATACCACTGAGGACCAGAATGACCTCCACCCGCTATTCAAGCCCATGTGTGGAGTTTGCAAAACTCAGCAATAGCTGTATCTTCGCGCCCGCTACTTTGTTAAAATCTCCAAAGGGTGCCTTGAAAACTTCAACCTACTCTTCCAAAGTGCGGGGAATTAGGTGAGGAAGTGCTTTAAGGTTTCAGGTTCCTTTTCTTGCCTGCAACTCCTGTAGAAGTCCTTGCTTAGAACGTACATGCACAATAGAATATGCCTTGTAAGAAGACCTCTTTCTCTTTAGCTCGATGAGGTCACTGGACCTATTTCTGTCCCATTCTGGCCATAATGTCCTTGACACATTATACGCATTGAGACTTCTCCATCTTGAGTTAGCATCTTTAATGAATAACTCTCTTATATTGAGTTTATAAGTGGAGAGTGGCACGCCCAAACTCTTCCATGTTGGCAAAAGGTGAAGGGAAGTGCCCTTCTTTGCTAGCTAATTCGCCATCTCATTACCCGGCATTTTACTGTGTTCAGACACCCATACAAGGCTTGAGGACAACTGCTTAGGTTTTTAATATAATAATTGGCGCTTTGTAACCGCTGAAGCGAATTTTGATGAAGCTACTGTCAGATGTCCTGGACGATTTCAATAGAACAGAGATAACGGTAGTAGAGCTGTAGCCTCCGCAGCCGCTTCACAATAGAGATCAACGTTAGCACCCGCATCACTATCAATCTACTATTAGAGATAATAATCTATCTCGCCTTCGCAATTAAGATCCTCCTCTTCGAAGTCTTCCACCTTATCGATGAGTGTAATTGAATTTTCCTTACGTAAATTCGGTTTGAACTACTACTTAATGGTTCGGATAGATCTAGTATCGTTATAGAAAAACTAACTTCTTTAGGGCTAACATAGGCAAAATCTTAGACTGGCGCAAGCGCATGCGCATCGGAAACCCCATTATCATCCCTGTCACCTATTTTTGTCGCCGAGAAGAAATCTCTTCTAACACTGATTGTCGCATGGGTACTTTTTGTATTATTATTACCAATACTCGAAAGCCCAATATCCCCATTTAGAGGGATCATCCTTATTATTATTGGAATGTTTAAATACAGGCCGTGCAGACAAAGGAAGTGCTAAGAGACGTCCACGATCCTCCATATAAGCTTCTTTGATATCAGCGAACTGTCGCTCTATTTTGTTCGAAAAAAAAACCGCGGAGAAATTTTATACAACCCAATAATTGAGATTGAATTAAGTTTGGAAAATGTCTATTGAGTAAAACAATATGAGTTGAAGCAATGTCTGTAGCTTACGTTCTTGCTACTTATATTTACAATCTACGAAAAGTAGTAAGGTCTAGCTGATCCAGCTTAATATCAACCTAGTACTCTAGCTAAATGCTAATAAAAAGAATTGGGCGATGAAGAAAGAATGGAGTTTGTTGCATTGAAAGTCTTGTCTTCATGAAAGTCTTTCTTAACATTTGAAAGGAGCTTAATCAGCGCAGTTTTAGTAAAAATAAACGACGAGGGTTATACTCAAAGCCGGATTAGAAGGTTCTCATACAAGGGGCAACCCGCGCCTTCCGAATGGTAGTACGCAATGCTAACCACTCGGCTATCGTGGCTGCCATGTCCCACAACTGATGATATCTCCCTTCCGTTTTTTTCTCTTCATTCAATGCTTTATAAAAAGTGTTACAGTGATCTGTTTCCATCTAGACGGCAACTTCATAATACCTTCTTCGTAGAAGACCCCTCCTTATTTGCGAAGAATTCAGTTCAGTTCAACTTCACACCACCAAGGGCATTCGCCATGGACAGGAACAGGTGGTAATCACTTGGCGCTACGTCCGGGCTATATGGTGGATGCGATAAAACCTCCCATCCGAGCTCCCGTAGCTTCTGACGAGTCATCAACGAAGTGTGTGGTCTGGCGTTGTCCTGGTGGAACACTACACCCTTCCTGTTGGCCAATTCTGGACGCTTCTGGTCGATCGCCTGCTTCAAGCGGTCCAGTTGTTCGCAGTAGATGGTAGAATTAAGCGTCTGGCCATATGGGAGCAGCTCATAGTGGATGATTCCCTTCCAATCCCACCAAACACACAGCAAAACCTTCCTGGCCGTCAATCCCGGCTTGGCCACTGTTTGGGACGATTCACCGGCCTTCGACCACGACCGTTTTCGCTTGATATTGTCGTATGTGATCCATTTTTCGTCGCCAGTCACCATCCGCTTCAAGAATGGGTCGAGTTCGTTCCGTTTCAGCAGCATATCGCAGGCGTTGATTCGGTCCAGAAGGTTTTTTTGCGTCAAATTATGCGGCACCCAAACATCAAACTTTTTTTTGTATCCAGCCTTCTGCAGATGGTTCAAAATGGTTTGGTGACTAACTCCCATCTCCTGGGCGATGTCACGAGATGCCATATGCCGGTCTAACTCGATGTATTCCATGATTTGATCGGTATTTGTCGTCACAGGTCTTCCGCCGGCTGGCTTATCCATGGTGTCGTTTTCACCGGCTCTGAATCGTCGAAACCATTCCTCCGCGGTTCGAAGTGATAGAGTACCATCCCCCAAAACACCATTAATCTCACGGAACGTTTCTCTAGCGGATTTGCCTTTAACGAAGGAAAACTTTAAAATAGCGCGAATTTGGGCGTTAGTGAACTCCATGTTTACACGTCTATAACTGTTGAACGCTGTTGTAGGTTATGTCACGACCTTTCAAATTATGTATAGTGTTGCCAGATACGAGCTCTGTAGCGCTTTGTACATAGCCGCGAAATTCAAAAGACAAAAAATGGAATTTGACAACCTAATATAAATAAGCCATATTCATTCATATAATAGTATCGCGTCTTAGAAGTAGAACCTACGAACTAAAGGCAGTTCTCTGAGCGACTAATGGAGTTATCTAAGTTCCAATTATTTTCAGAAATACACCCGGTTTCAACATTACCTACTGAGGTTAGGTTGGGCTGAACTGGGTGACTAAGCAGTTAACTCTTAGATAAAACTACGTCCATAGTTTTATGAGATATATTGCATCCGACCTCTACATTCTTTATTTTGTCCTACCAAGAATATTTTGAAAAAATAAAAAATTTTATGCACCTACGAGTACTACGCACTGCTAGCCACTCAGCTACTGTAGTTCCAAGGATGGTTTTAGATACTGCACAGATTGACATGAATATAAAAGCGGCAATTTTATATTTTACGTTCCGTCTTCCAAAAGCATAGAAAGAGCAGGTTATATGCAGGATAAGCTTGATTGAATGCACAATGCTAAATATATGTACATATCTACATATTTATGTGACTATGTGATGAATTGCTGATGCGTCTGGTTGGCTGCGTGACTGACAATGGGTGAATATATTGATAGAGGAGATTTGTTTAGTTTCCTTTTGTTTCGGTGTAAGCGGACGTAAGTCCGCATGTTGATATATACATATGTATGTGCATATACCATAAGCACCTACAATAACATTAGACATATGTACGTTTGCGAAGACATATATTTATTTCAACGTATTTACACAGTGAGATCTCATCCTTGTTCTTTATGGTTAACCTTTAAAAATATACGACAATGGCTTTTTGATTGGATTGTCGAGTGGAGTAATCGAGTGTAGTTAATACTTTAGTTGTACATATGTATATAAATATGTATACCTCTTCAATGTGCGTGAAGCACGTGTGCATATAAATGATTGAATATGATATTCATTCCGTTTAAAATTTTTGCTTCAGATGCCATTCTTGACTTCACATTGAAAATTAAGAGGGCAAACAACTCAGCCAGATTTACGAGAAATCATGCTCACTCACCCGGTTTCAAACTTGATGTAAAAGAAAAGTAATTAATTACGGTTATAGGCGGCGGCTATGTCATATTATCTTCCGATTTCGTTGATTTTTAATTTCAAAAAAATATTAGAATTTAAATGTGTTGAATGCAAAACTTCGTGCTCTTGGATGTTTTGGGACATAAAATCTCAAATCCGAAATCGCGGTGGAATCCATATTTTTAGTTTTTTGTTCAAACAAACCAACAAACAGACAGACAGAGAGACGGACAGTTAAAAATTGCTATATCAACTCAGCCCGACATTTTGATCCGATCGGTATAAATTTTAGTCTCTCTCTCTCTTCTCTTTCTGATACCAAAGTTGTTATACCATTTTGTTTGTATGAAAATTATAATGATCCCATTTCCACACACACAAAGAGTTTGTACTGTCTGTAAAGAGGCCGGACTCCAGGCTGTTGATACGACTATCAACTGAGCATTGCCTTTTGGCGTCGCATGCTTTTAATATAAGTCTGATTCGGGGTAACAAGTGCAGGGATATGTAAGGAATATATGGCGACAGTGGATTCTGTGATTGCCCAGCATTCGGCAGACAAAGCTTACTTGGCGGAGAAAGGCTCGAGGATCTTCAATCGGCAATGGCCAAGAGGTTAGAATGACTATCTAAAATTGCGAAAGCAACTGCAATATTCTTCAAACTCCAGACACAATAAAGGGTGTAGCAGTGTAGCTTGGTCGTATGTAGTGTGTCTGGGAAGACTGTGAATGTATTATTGTCTATGTGAGACGGAATGGGTTAGCCAGCTCTACCTAACCTAATCTAACCTACTTACCACTCATCATATCATATCGACTCAAAATCCCTTTATCTCACCTCATCTGAAACCATATCTCGTTTTTAAAATATATACTTACATATAAAGGTATTTGAATTACTTTCAAATGGTAACATAGTCTCTTCTCTCTGTCGTAATTTTGGAAAAGGTTATGAAAGGGTATTCTTAATTTTAGAATACCGATAACGAATTTTTAAGCATTCTCGAATCAACTGCCGAAACCTTATTTCAAAATAAGCTAACTTTAATTTACATCGAACAATCTAAAGTTTTACTTAAAGATGATATTCTGAGGTATACTTTATTGATATTATTGTCATGAAATTATAATTAGAATTTTTTTGATATACATATATACCATTTCACAATTCTCTTTTCTTTATATTCGACGAAATGTGCCAGGAAGTTTTTGCTAGACGCTCAATGTCCTACAAGGTCTTAAATTATATAAGTTTATAAACATTTTATTCTCTTTTGTAGAGATCCGGAAATCTCCAAAAGTTATACCAACCGATTGATTTAGAATTTTATCAGTTTATTTCTATGATCCCAGAAAAAGATTTATACATAAAAATTTTATTTAAAAGTAAGAGTAGAAGACTATTCGAAAAAATTGTATTTAAAGTTCGAGAACTTCTTTTTTACGGGAGTGGATCGATCTATATGAAAAAAATACATATTCGTGGTTCGTGTAAAGTTAAGTTAAACTTTCTAATTGTGCTCGCCTCTCGTCATACAAATTATCAGACCTCGGAGGCGGCTTAGTATAAATTGTAGGTCCCTCCATTAGTTGAATAAATATCAAGACACAAAACTACAAATTGGAGGAGGAGCTCGGCTGAAAATCGTTTCATCGGTTACAAAGCACCAATCATATATATATATATATATATATAAATCTTATAATATTTTTTAAAAGTCCGCATATCTCGAAAAGTTACCGACAGACTGAAATTTTTACAAATTAATACTGTCGTAATTCCTCGGTGAACACCAGAGGACGAGATTAACGCTTGCCTAAGGTACTCAATGTTATGGCGACATGTAAAACTCTGCAATTAATCACCAATATACATAAGTGTCACTACGTGGCTGGTTGAGTGAGCGATCTATTCCCTCTGCAACAAACTAAGATATTTACGATCTCAACCACACTATTCAGTCCAACATTGAAATGCGTCACATATAAGTCAATAGACCCCGTGGTGGATGCAGATGAAACATGCAGTTGCCCTTGAGTTCTATGAACTTGGTGGGGGTCCATCCGTACATATTATATTTGAAAGAGGTGTTAAAAAGTTGTTTAAATAAAATAAATAACAAATGATAAGCAACTACCCTGTGGCTTAGGTGTTCAAGAATTTATCCGTGATAAGGCATGGCTGACGTAAGAGGTGACTAAAATCCAAAAGCTGCCACTACAGACGGATTTTTATATTGGAATTTTATCTGGCCGAGGACTGTCAACATTGCTCAAAAACTACTTTATACTTTATATTTGCGACTACAACAACAACACAAACAATATTGTTTATTATTTATTTAGAATACAAATTTAACTGAAAAAAAAACTCTTTGCAGGCCTATTTTCACTGTTAGCGATAAAGTAAATTTTGTTACTTTTTTTTGACACCGGAAATTGAATTTGGTATTCTGGCGAACTGGTTACAATGTTTGAAAAAATTTTGGCAGCGCCGTTATTCTCGTCCTTGCCAAATTATATTATATTTGCCAGTTGATAAAGTAAAAAGAAGAATATTCATTTAGATATTTGCATAACATTTGTTGTTGGGAAGCAGATTTTCCCAGCTTTTACTTTGACAATCAAATATCAAATGTAGTGCAGTGGTCGCGATACAGAAGGTCGGCTCATTTAGATTTAGTTTTTTTAGTTAGATAATTGGTTCCAACGAATTCGTCAGACGGCCCGTGGGAAAGGAAATATATTGTTGAGAGAAACCTCAAATAAAACGGCAACGACGTCTCCTGTCTAAATAATTTTGATTCAAAAATTATTGTACATATGAAAATTAACACCATCTCTCTTGTCATATGGTGCTATGAGCTCTAAACAAATTGTTTTGTGCATCGAAAATACTGCATGCCAAACTAAAATGATATTTTTCCAAGCAAACTTCCTAACTTGTGCCATCTTGCACTTTTTTCTTCATCTTCAATTAATTCTAGACGTAAAATAAGTCTATACATTTTGGTTTTTTAGTTTTTCACAAATTAAGAACACAAAATCGAACAGCTGATTGTCTGTCACCTTCTATTTCACTGAGAACAAAACTCTCAGGTTGACAGTGTACTCAGAATACGAAATAGTAACAAAATTCACTGACAGGCTTATTCTGTCGAGGTAACAAAATTTACCTAGCTTTTTTGTTGTCCAGGCATATTTTCAATAATTAGGTTGAAATATTTATGATTTAATAAACAAATTAATAAAACTTTTTAATTTTTTTTTTTGTGCACCGTCTTCCATTTCGATGCGTTAATTTTTCTTTTTACTTTATCAACTTGCAAATGAAATTTGGCATGGACGAAAAAAGCAGTGCTGCCAAATTTTTTCAAACATTGTAACCAGTTCGCCAGAATACCAAATTCAATTTCGCGTGATAAAGAAAAGTAACAAAATTTACTTTACTGGTAACAGTGAGAATAGGCCTGTGAATGGTAAATTTTAATACCAAAGTAAATTTTGTTACCTCGACAGAATTGGCCTGTCAGTGTATATAAGCCCGGTATTCATACATAATAACTTTAGTGAATACCCGGGCACTTGGTTATTGGACAAAGGAAGTATCAAATTTAATAGTTAATTACTGTTAATAATAATAAATGATTATAACAAATTTAACAGAAATTAGATGTCAAACTTTTTCAAGTTCGGGGATTCGGACGGTCATAAATTGTTTTTGTTAAGAAGTAAATAAATTCTGTTTGTGAAGCTGAAATGAAAATCTGGGTACCTGGTCATTGACCGGACGGTTAAGGGAGTAGTCTTTGACAATATGAATATTGTATAAAAATCTCCAAAAATCAAATCATCTAAAAATGACTAAGTGGATTTATTTTATTACAATTTTGATGGCAGCACTAAAAGATCAACACATCGGAGAGCATTTGAGCGCTTATAATTTAAAGGTTCAAAAAGGAGAACAAAAAGTGCACGCTTCTTGAATGATAAGAAATCAACAAGCTCACCAACTAATAAACAAAAAATATAATAATTTATTACATACAAAAAAAAAAAATAGTAAAAAACAAAGTGATGGCTCAATACGTGGGGTCTTACATACTCATATGTATAACAACAAATCTGGACATTTAGAAATATCTTCTGAATTTATAAGTAAATAATGCTCTTCAAAACATATAAACATACACATATACGCTAAGTACATATGCAGCTACATATCTCATGACATTTGCAGAAGCATATAAATCTATAAATTTACTCTGGCAAGATTAGCAACAAGTAGCTTATCAAAAGTTAGAAAACTTTATCACGGAAAGAATTATAGCCATACGAACTGATTACTTCCTTAGGTACACGTACAAATATGTATTTCTTATTTCTTAATTTCATATTTTAAATTAAAAAAAAAATATTATTCACATTTTAAGTTATAATTATATATTTATACCTCAGCGTTGAAAGTTACCTCGAAAAATACGCTTGGGTAGCGGCCTATAACCGTAAACACCGTTCACACTTTGATAACCGCGCCGCTGTGCCTGCTGCACCAGCGAGAGTTGCGAGAAACGTGCAGTTGTAATTTGACGTAACATTTTGCTCTATTAATTATTAATAAATGAATTTTATTTTATTAATTTATTTTAAACACAAATTGCTATAATAAAAGGTTTTTCACATCTCCATGAACGATCAGCAGCTCACGCAATTAAACACTGATTGTTATAAATTGCTTAGTTTGTGGGTAAGCGTAGACGTTTCCCGTATCAGCGGCATCTGCGTATACACGCTCCTCAAATGTAGCTTGGGTGCAATTGCAAAGAGCACTCAAGTGATAAGAGGCAGTCGAAGAAGAGCGTGATAAGAAATAAAAACTGAAGAAAGAGTATCGGCATAATGTGAGATCGTTGTTTGGTTCATCATATGAGTGTTTTAAAATGTAAACTCTGAAAAACATTATTAATGGAGTAATTAACTACACGTATTTGAATGCTTGAAAATGCCGGAAAGATATACAGGGTGATACATTTTAAGACAATTTGTTTTTATTCATAAAATTCATTTCTTATCACAAAGTCTGAGCTTTCGCATTATGTTTATGTGAGACATTACGACATTACATTGTTTATTTATTCATGAATATCTATTTTGTCCCCTTCAAAGTAATCCCCATGAGATATTATACACTTGTCCATAATATCGGTCCGAGGTAGCTTCTCCGTATGCCACAGTCAACATTCAGAATGCATCCGCGCACTTAATTTCGTTTCTCACACAGAATTTGAACAGGTTCTTTGATCCATTTTTTTTTGAATAGGTAAAAATCGAGGACCATCCAAAACACGTGCAAGCGAAGCAGCTGTCAACAATTAAGTGAACATTCAAAATGGCCGAGCTTGTCGGCATAAGTGACAGACATGAGTACCAACATAACGCCACAAAAAAATCGAAATTCGATTATACGTAACCCGCGAAAATACAAAATTCGCGATACTTTTTGAACACTTCTCGTATGTCATTACTTTTCAGCAAATATTGGGCAGTATCTCAGCCATAACTTGACAAATGTTGGTTTCCAAGTGCTCAAGAGTTACAGGTTTATCCACATTAATACGGTCTTTCGCGTAGCATCACAAAAAAATCCAACTGTACTAAATCACGCGATTTCGGTGCGTAATTAACATCGCCAAGACAAAAGACTGCGGGGCCGGGAAATTTCTTTGAAAATAAAGCCATAAACCGCATGTTGTCCAAGCTATCTTCTTCAATTGCAGACCATTAGATCATAACGCGTCGAACTTACAGTGACAGTCTATGCGATGTCGTTTTCAAAGAGTAAGAAGTACTATCTTTTACAAGAGTGTACAACTACTGGCGTACGCCGATGTTAATGATATCATGGGCCTTAATAACCGCGTCGTTAGTTCTACTTTCTCTAGGCTTGATAAAGAAGCGAAACAAATGGGTCGGGTAGTAAACGAGGACAAGACGAAACAAACAAACAGTCATTGCATTCGCAATCACGTCACTGGAAATAGTCATAGTTTCGAAGTCGTAGATAATTTCCTCTTTCTAGGAACCAGCATCAACACCAATAACAGTGTCAGCCTTTAAATCCAACGCATAATGAGTTTTGCCACCGGGTGCTACTTTAGACTGAGTAGGCAATTAAATAGAAAAGTAATCTCTCGGCGAACGGAAACCAAACTCTACATGTCGCTTATCATACCCGCCCTACTGGCGCAGAGGCGTGGACGATGTCAGCAACTGATGATTCGGCTTTTAGAGTCTTCGAGAGAAAAGTTTTGGCAACGCCGAATACCGCAGACGATGGTATGATGAACTGTACGAGCTGTAGGATAATATTGACATAGTTTAGCGAATGAAGAGATAGCGGTTACGATGGCTAGATCATGTCGTCTGAATGGATGACAGCGCTCCAGCTTTGATCAAGACTAAGACCTCCACTCCGTTGGGAGGATCAGGTGGAGAGTGGCCTGCTTTCGCTTAGTATTTCCAACTGGCGCCACTATAATAGATCCAGATCCGCGCTATAAAAGATCCAATTACACCTCCAGACCAAAGAGCGCTCTTCAATTATTTAACAAACAAATATACGAATGAATAAAAGTTTGAGGTTACTCTATCTCTTACCGACTGTTTAGCAGCATCAGAATACCTTGGCTAATGTGTGTGCGCAGCTTCTTACCGTGCCACGTGAAAGCTGTCCTTTCTTTATTCGCGTAGACACCGTTTATTCTTTTTACCTTTCAAAGCTTGGAGACATAAAGATAGCCACATCTTTTCCTAACTGATATTTTCAATGCAGTGGATGTCTTTCTTTTCTTTTGTTCACCCACCAGCGGGGATTGCGTCGAAACTTTCAAAGCTATAGTATTGTCGCCCGAGCGGGCGTTATGACCTACTCACCGTAGTGGCTGTCTCATAATTCAAGCAACTATGCCAATGTCGTAAGAGCTCCACTCAGTTGGATAGACCAGGGGGAGAAGAAATAGGTTAAGCTCTCGCTATTTAGATCTGCAGTTCTGATAATTTTCACCATCACTAGGTTGAAGAAGTGACACGGAAGAGGGTCACTTTGACTCTTATTTGGTACCTAATAGTCTGAACCATATTCTGACAGAGCTTTTGTTTTTGTTTAGCATTATATTGCATTGGCATATATGTAAGTCGATGCTAAAGTAAATGACGTTCCCGCAACGTACGATGATGAATCTCGAATAATAGTTCCACAGTCTGCGCAAACATCCCGAAGTCTATTTTAAAGCAATCTTTCATCGAAAAACTGCTCGAAACCGACTTTGAAATGCATACTGAACTGACCAAAACCTTTGACCGGAACGATGACCTTCAGGCAAAAGGCCCGTAGTAGTCACTGAAGGCCTTTAGCTACTGACAATTGAATGGACATCGTCCTGGTGACTTTATTAAATTTCGAGGAAAAGTTTAGCGGCAAAAGAATTACGTCCAGCGGCTAATACATTACGATTAAATTTGAATAGGCTCTGCTTAATCCTACCAAAGGAGAGTCCCATACGACGCTGAATTTTGTTTGTGGGAAATTTGTTGCTATATCCTTTGCTATAATTTTGCATGAGCTAAAGAGACGGTAAATCGATATAAATATTTTAAATAAATTGCATTTTATTTATTATTCAGTAATTTCATTAAACTCACTGTGTATGTATATACATATGTATGTATGTATGTGTGATTATACATACTTTTCGTGAATGTTTTTTAATTTTTTTTGATAAATGTTGCAACTGTGGAGTGGCAAATTTTTTAATCGTATTAAATACATACACACATACGAATATATGCTTTTGTGGAGAAAATATGTAAGGTGTGTTCAAAAAATATGGCGAATTTTGTGTTTTTTCAAAAATTATTTATTCATTCATGAATATCTATTTTTTCCCCTTCAAAGTAATCCCCATGAGATATTATACACTTGTCCATAATATCGGTCCAAGGTAGCTTCTCCGTATGCCACAGTCAACAGTCGGAATGCATCCGCGCACTTAATTTCGTTTCTCACACAGAATTTGATAAAGGTTCTTTGATCCATTTTTTTGAATAGGTAAAAATCGAAGACCATCCAAAACACGTGCAAGCAAAGCAGCTGTCAACAATTAAGTGAACATTCAAAATGGCCGAGCATGTCGGCATAACTGACAGACATGAGTATCAACATAACGGCAAAAAAAAAACCAAATTCGATTATACGTAACCCGCGAAAAATCAAAATTCGCGATACTTTTTGAGCACACTCGTATTATGGTAAGAGCAAGTTATTTTTTTTTTATTAAATTGCACAGATTTACATATGTTTATGCTTAAAAGAAATTTATATTATGTATATATATATGTATGTCAACATAAATGTAATCCCGCAATGAAAAACTTGTTTGTAAGCCTTTAAAAAAAAACAGAAACAATAAATCCACTGCCAACACAGTTAAAATCAATGACGTTTCTTTGTAAATCTCTGTATATTTGTATGTAGTAAAATGTTGTATGAAATGAGCAATGTACTTAACATTTCATGAAGCACTTGGAATTTATAAGTGCACTAATAACTTACTCGCTCTTTAATTCCAACAATTTGTGGACAGAGATTGTTTTTGTTAAAAAGCATGGTCTACTTTTTGGCGGCATTAAACGGTTTATCGTTTTTAATACGATCCCAATAATGCACTGACAACAACTATTTAAAGAGTTTAAAGATGGTTTTACCTAAAATTAAAAAATATATTACTGCCCTCACTATGGTCTCTTCTGCTCGAAGTATCTGGATTTCTGTTTAATAGGCTGTTTGGCGAAATATCAAATGAATCCAGGTGCTTTCCACCTGATCCTTCCAACGGAGTGAAGGTCTTCCCCTTCCTCTGCTTCCACCAGTGGGTTCTGCATCGAATATTTTCAAAACAGCATTATTTTCATCCATTCGGACGACATGATCTAGCCATCGTAACCGCTATCTCTTCATTCGTTGAACTACGTTAACAGCATCGTATAGCTCGTACAACTCAACGATCCAACGTTTGCGCCGTTGCCAATTCGTAAGGGACCATAAATCGTTTGCAAAACTTTTCTCTTGAAGACTCCCAAGGCCGAGAGCAGCACCTGTTGGCAAGCATGATTCTGGGAGCCAAGTTGCAAATGCGATGACTGTTTGATTGATGACAGGAGATATTTCGTATTGTCCTCGTTCACTACAAGACCTATTTGTTTCCCTTCTCTATCAAGTCTGGAGAAAGCAGAACTAACGACGCGGTTGTTGAAGCCGATAATGGCAATATCATCGACGTACGCCAGTAGTTGTACACTCTTATAGAATATTGTACCTTGTCCATTTTGCTTCTCAGCTCTTATTATTACTTTCTTCAGCACCAAATTGAAGAAATCACAAGATAAAAATTCACACTGTCTGAAACCCCGTTTGGTACCGAACAGCGTAGTCCTTCCCAATTCTGACTACGCTTCTGGTGTTGCCTAGCGTCAGTTTACACAGACGTACAAGTTTTGCGGGAATACAAAATTAAGACATAGCGTAGAGCTCATTTCCGTGCTTAAATTTTTGTTTGCGCAACCTTTAAGGACCTCCAAGATTATATTAAAACTTAATATACTTAATGGTTTTCCAACAAATGTAGGTACCTACAGTTTATACTAAGTTTCCTCCGAACGGCTGATGGTTTTTCATGAGGAGCTTATGTTTCTTGTCAGAAATACACTCAGAGGGGTTACCTAGGTCTTGAAACTTCATAAAATTTTCTTTTTTGATAATTTTTTGTATAAAAGTACAAAGTTTCAGGAATATTTTCCCCAAGTTTCAAGTCGATCGAGACGAGACTGTAGAAATTAGAGAGTTTTATAACCCGCCGTCTTTGTCATAGCTTGACCGATGGCGAAACTTCAAACACGTTTTTCTTAAAACCACTTTATTGAAATCGGTAGTCAAAATTTCACAACGACTATTGAAGCGATTGAGTTCAAATTTTCCACACTTCTATTGAGCATGTTTTGTAATCCCTGAAGGAAGGATTTATTTTATCTTCGATTTCAACTCATTTTACAAGCCAATTACGATTTTTGTAAAAAACGCTACAAAATATTTAATATTCAGTTCTATTTAATTTATATTCGTTCAGGGACAAGAAAAATTCACATACTTTAAGAAAAAATTTGGAAAAGTTATCATGACTACCGCGATAGCACTTTCTTGTGGACGGTCTACATCACGACACTGCCAACGCCTTAACTTATACTATTTTTCATTCAAATTTTCATCAAATGTTGTCCACATGTTGTACTTTTATATGTAAACAAAATAAATTGCATAATTTATTTAGTTTTTTTTTTTTAAATTAAAGAAAATTTAGTGTGTTTTTGTAACGCTCTTTGCCACATTAATTAGAATAAAAATTCGACAAAACACAGAAAGTCCCAACAATGTGTGGCCACATCTGTTCGTAATAATATAAAATAAAAATATGAGGGAAAATTGATATTGTAACATTTTCATTTTTATATCTTCATATGTAAAAATTCCGAGAATAAAAAAGCAGTCATCAATTATATTCATGCATATATACATAACTATGTATAGACTCGTACGCATGTATGTATTTCCACAACGGTTGGGCTTGAAGAAACCGACCAGCGAAGTTAATGGTGCGTAATGATAAGCACTGAGAATTAAGATTGAAACTTAATAATGAATCATAACAGTGCACAACAAAATTCGATAAGGTGTCGATAAGTTGTAAGTAATTTATATTGAGAATTAAGCCTATTTATTTTTATAAATTTCTATTTAAATTTACAACAAATGCGGAAGTCCGGAAAATGCATTTGGTGGCTTTTTTCTGGTTGCACCGAGGCTTAACTTTCACATTGGCCTATTTTTTTTTCGAAATTTCATTCCCCACTTTATGCATGCCACAAATATTCATGACTGCTTTAAAAAAATCGTTCACATAGTGGCGAAAAAACCTTCGGTTTTATCGCGAGTAAACGTACTAATTGATAAGATAAAATATGAAACTCATATTTGTACAATCAAATTATCTCAGTATATGTGTAGATAAAGGCACATTTGTTACAAAATAGCAGGTGCATTTTTATGTATTAGTACACTTCCGATTGGCAGGTGAATTTGGGCTCTTAACCAGGGTATGACAACGCCCCAACTTCAGTCTGAATTTACCGTGGAGTCGTGTTGTACGTGTTTTTCCAAAAAGGTGCGCAAAACTTGTGAAAGAAAAGTGTTTGAAGAAATCAAGCAATAATAAGAAATATTTTGAAAGTTTTGTTGTTGCTCAAAAGAACTGATAAGCCGTTAGTTGGCCTGATAAGGCCTTATATAGTTAAATAGATAACGAAAAATTAGTGGCAGCTACAGACAGTGATGATCTCATCATGTTGTGAAAATGTGAAAAAATTGAATTTATGCATTTATATATTTTTTTTTTAAATTTTAATTAAATTAATTTTGAATTTTAATTTTTTTTAGTGAAAACACAAACAAAAACGGCTGCACTTAACGAAAAAGTGCCATTAAACGAAATTTTGAAATTATTATTTTAACGAACAAAATTTAACGAAAAAAAAAATTAATACAACATACAAACATTTATTTACAACAAAAGAAACATGCGTTTCAAATTTCTGCACTTACTCATGCTCACCTGCACATTCGCTGCAGCTCTGGCGAGTGCAAATGAGAATTACTCATCGGAACTCGATAACGATCCACAAGTAAGCGATGCCAAATTCAAAGTGTCGAAGGATGCCGAGTTTGTTGAAATGGTGCCGGAAATAGTGCAAGAAAAGGTGAAATCAACGAAGAAACCAACAATTGCGCCAACTACAAAAACAACAACCACAACGACTAAACCAACAACACATAAATTAAGTCCCGCACTGGCAATTGCGCCGCGCGTGAATAACGGTATAACAATGAGAAATCAGACAAAACTCTTCTTGGAAAGAGCGGGCGCTATAAAAGTCAGCGAAGATTTCTACCTCGGCGAATTGGGCTATGATATTAGCGATGACGGTTATGATTGGTGTAAGTAACAAAAAAAAAAAAAATATTAATAATAATAATAATAAAATAAGCGGTTGGGTCTATAATGAAATCCCAACATATGAAAAGCCTATAAAATGTAGTGCAGACATGAAACATAATCAGAACAAGAATTTCAGCATGACCACATTTTTCGTAAGGGTAATTTTGAGAGAAATAAAAGAAATAAACTGGACCTTTCTCCATTTCTTTCCAGCAGCTGTTATAAAGGGATATAGAGAGTAATAAAGGGTACAGTTTCCAGATTGAGAACACTTTTTTGGAGTCCATTCAAGAATAGGCGAAAATGGTAGGCTTGGCGTGCTGAAACCCCCGTGGTTGAAGAGGAAATTCTATTAAGCTTTTTGTCAAACTTCCCAACTTTAACTGATCAGTGAAACCTCCTTATGTCCTTCCCAGGGAATAGTTTCTTCTTTATTTAAAATAAAGCGGACATTTTATTTATTATTTTTTTTTATCTTTTCGGTATTTTTTCTTTCATTTTCCGCTCAAAAATAATACAAAAAAGATACTTATAAGGTATTGTTGTATCATTTAGCGAAATATTTTTTCCTTAAGAATTAAATGAAATATTTTGTTTCCGGTTATGGTTATGGTAAATATTGACTAATACATCTAATATTTATGAAAAATTCTCGGGTCAAAGTGCTTGCTTGTAACCAAACTTCTCCGAGATGGCGGGACCGATTTTTCTGAAATTTAATTGAAATTTGGAACATACATAGGTAGCCTTAACTTAGATCAGCCGGAATAATACTTGTATTTCCTGGAAGTGTACGATGGTTTAGTTTAATATTAACATTAATTTAAATAAAAAATTAAGCTAAATTTTCTATTAGCGGTTCCCCTCTGCAGGGCATGTCCACCCTTCCGAGTGTACTTCTGACATGAAAATCAAAAGCTCCTCTTAAAAACCATCAGCCGTTCGGAGGCGGCTTAGTATAAACTGTAGGTGCCTCCATTCGTTGGAAAAACGTCAAGACGCGAAACCACAAATTTGAGGTGGAGCTCGGTCGAAAAATCGCCTTAGCGTTTACAAACCGCCATTTTTTATATAAACATTTAGAAATTTTTTTTGAAGTAGTCAGTAGTAGTAGACCAGTAACCAGATTTGCTTGGTCCATTCCATGATTTAATAGATGACATCAAATGTTGACTTAAGCTGGAACTTAATATGAAGATCCGTCTCTATGCATTTCGTTTTCCAATGAATTATACAGCATACAAAATTTATTTTTAACCGAGTGAGAGTTAAAATAACTCAAAATGTGACATGAGACTTACTTTTAGTAGATCTCGTAGAAAACCCTTATTTACGTATCTATGTTCAAGCATATATAAATTGTTAAAAAAATAAATACATATTTTTTTTTGAAATGTGCCTTTTTGGGCTAAATTTTTTACATTTATCCGGGTTTAATAGGACTAGGTTTTATGAAATAAAATTTATTTCTGTAAGTGAACCAGGGATCGGTTTATACGATCAAAATCTAGCTAGGATTAGATTCCTTGAAATTTAAACTTGAAATTTAAAATTGAAATTTATACTTGAAGATTAATGGATTGGTAACTTTTGGCTTAGATTAACATGCAGAAAATGGTTTTTAAAAATCTTATTCAATCTTATTTCTTTTCGAGTAAGGGATCTGACACCGTTCAATTCGGAAAAATCGTATTTATTGCTCGGTTTGCTTGAACTGTTGTCGGGATTTTCTGAGCAATCCTAAGTAATTTTAAGGGAGGGTTGTCTCTTTGAGTCATGCATTCCAGCAGGCGATAAAACGTGCATGAGAAAAGGGAAGCGATGTGCCCATGAATTTTGCATGGCTAGTCTACCTCGCTTGTTCGTGTGTTGATAAACCATTTTTGTTGTTTATTCTCGCAGGAAAAAACTAATCGGTATGCCACTTTCTGCTTATTTCGAGAAATTCACATTAATATTTAAACTTTCTATATTTAATTATCCCTCCCTCTGTAGTTAATTCCAAGGCAGGGAATGGAGGCGAGGCAAAGTTTGCCGAGTCCGGTAGTGTTTATAAAAAATATATGTATGTATATTGTAGTGATCAAGATTGTCTTCGCCAAGCTGTGATGAAGTAACATTAAAACAAAAAAAAAAAATTTTCTTCGAGCATTTTAGAATTGCTAGAGCATTTGAGCAACATTGTTGAAGTTCGAGCAATTCGAGCTTTTCCACGGTTTTTGAATAAAAATTTTGTCATTTTTCTTAGAACTTTTCTACTTCTATTTAGGCTAAGTGTAAAACTCATTGAAATAGTAAAGAAAATTGAAAATTTGGGAAGGTGAACAAAGAACAAGCATCAAGCGAGCATCGAGCGGCGCGTATCTAGAGCTCTAGTACATATCTATGTACATATGTATATTCGCAAGCTGAAATAAATTTTTTCCTCATGTTTCATGTGAAACATTAAACATTTTTTCTACTTATAAGTAATTTTTTTTATGAATATTTGTTATATTTGTAAAAAGGTTAACGAGTATTGCATTTTAATCTTGAATGAAATATTTTATAATATTTTTTTTGGTAAATTGAAGACAAAATATTACCAAAAACGAAAAATTATGTATATTTCCTATTCTGGATAAAGTTTGTTCTGTCGGGAAGTTGTTATTTCGGTATTTTGTAACGTCGTGATTCTGTATTGTCGGGCTTTGTGAAAATTGCGTGAATTTTTAAAAGTAGTGATTGCGGAGTTCTCTCCCATAAAATCCGCTCATAAGGTGTCTTAGTGATATTTTCCCTTTTTATAACCCTCCTAAATTCCACTGTAATGACTCAACGCTTACTCACCACACACCCGCTAAGTACTGATATCGCTATTACACTGGTGGTTACGTTTATTGGCACAGCATAGCTTATTTATTATTTAATTCTTTTGACCATTTTTATATTCCACTACACATCTTTTGTGTATGAGTAAGCATGTACTGTTACTTACCAATTTTACACTCGTATTTATCTTCTCGTCACTTTTTGAGTTAATAATATTATATTTACACATACATATTTTTCTTTATATTCAACAACTTGTTCGCTGCTACGTTGAACAGTATTGCCTAACAAGGTATATGCATGTTTTGCTGTTTTTACCGTTAGTGTTTTTACCGTTAGTAAGATAAGGAAATGAATGGTATTCTTGAAATAATGCCAAAGCTTTGTATATATTTTGTATTTACTTTCTGCTTAGTTATTTGTCATACAGAAATTTATTGGTAATACATATATACAATTACATATGTACATATATTATATTATATATAATTAGATAAATAGATGATTTCACTAGAAATATTTTAATGCAGGTTTATGTAGGCATGGGAATTGCGCAAATTTCGAGGGAATATATACATACATATATAAAATTGGCGCTGAAGCGCCGAGGGGAGATAATATCAAAAAATTAATTAATTGTTCTAAGCCAAAAATAATTTGTAAAAAAAAACGATGATTTATGTGCATACAAATATTGCGTGTTACAAATTGAAGAACCAAATTTTTTTCTAAATTGAAAGAAGTTAACTTTTGAAACTAGTTTTTAAACACAAATAACTTATTTTATAATTGGAAAAGCTATAGAGCGCGTATAGAGAGTCCCACATAGGGCTGTGTCTCAATTGATAGAAATCCAGGGACTTCTATTTGCTTTAGCGAGGAAGTTGTATACTTTTGCTCTGCAGTGCCACCGTTTATCATGTACATCCCACTGGAACGGAAATCTTACGTAAAACCTTTCTCTCAAAAACGCATAGTGTCTAGTCATCGGATGCTGACATCCAAGCTTCTGCACCATACCAAATAAAGAGTTTTCCAACAAGAGGTCTTACTTTGAATAGCCTGTTATTCCGGTAGATGTCGCTTTTACAGCTTTAATTTTTTGACATTTGACAAGTAAAAACTACGTCAGTAATAAAAATGAAATAATGCATGGAAATTATTAAAATTCACCATAATAATTTCTTCGAGAAATCATCTTGACTTATGAGGCCCATTTCCACCTCGATGGCTATGTCAATAAGATAAACTCGCTCGGAAAACTCCATTATTTATTGTTGTAATGTTTGGTGCGGCTTATGGTCCGACGGTATGAGTGAACCTCACTTTTCGAGGCTGGAGCAACAGTTACGGTGAATGGATTGCGCTATCGACAGGTGATTAATGATTAATTATAGCCGAATTTCGTATCGATCTGGGCAACGTTTATTTTCAATAAGAGGGCGCTACTTGCTACACAAACAAAGAAACCATCGATATTTTAAGGGAAAAGTTTGTTTTGAGTATCAAAATCACACTTCTTATTGAAAAAAAAAAAAACGAGAATGATGAGTGACTTGCAATGTTTGGCCATTGTTTGTCGGGAGAGGACTTCACTTTTCAATCGCCTACTCAGTCTTGAGTATTAACTGTTGCGCCGAATTTCAAGGCTTACATAGTTTTTGGTGTTTCTCGAAATCGTCTACAACTTCAAAATTATGACCTCCAATAGTGGAGAAACACGCGAGTGCGCAGATTGGTTATTGGATGGAAGGAGATATTTCGTCTAATCCCAGCCTAAATTCTCTATGCAGTCTTTAAAAAGCAGAACTTATGACGCGGTTTTTGCGTTGAGAATATTATATCTTCGTTGTTTAGTCTTTGTAGTTCTTGAAGCCATACTCCGCAGCATTAAGTTGAAGGCATCACACGAAATGGAGTCACCCAGTCGTTTGCCTTAGATAGGTCTTTCCTAATTCAAGCAGAGTTTCTGACACAGGTCGTGGATTGAGTAGAGCACACTTAAGCTCAATTCCTTGTGCTTTATTGCTTTATTTTGTACAAAGATATTCCGTAAAAAAGCTTGCTCGAATAACTCAGCCGCGGTTTCATAATCCTTTAAGCGAGGAGGCAGATCAGCTGTATGTGAAAAACTTCGCTGTGGTGCTGTTTGTGGCGGGACAACAGGGTTGAACGAGAGTATTCGATA